GAATCAGATCTATAGGGGGCGACAAAATTACAAGCAACTTGTATAATTGACCTACCAATCTATTCCTTACAATATCAAATACAATATCTCCCAAAAGAATCACAATATGTCATTAATTGGTGAAGATATTCATGATTCAAAGTGCAAAAATGGGTGAAAAATGTTTAAATTCTCCCAAATAATAAGAATGGTTACCATTCTTATAGAAAAATAATACATAATTGTAAGAATCTTTAGTTTTTCTTGAATAAAGTATGCACTTTGGTGATTTTTAGAAAATAGATATGACAAGGAATGACATGAGCCAAAAATATTCTAAAATTGAAACAATTTTTTGTTTTGTTTTTGTTTTGCCTGCTCACTATATCTGATTCTCTCTTTAAATATACTACTGTATACTTTTAACCCTATTATTAGGGTCAAGGGCTAAATCTAATTGAATATATAACACACATTGCTCACGATAAATAAATGACACCTGGATTTGCTGAAGTGGGGATTAAAAAGGAGAGAATTTTCAAGAAAATCAAGATGCCTTTATTTTTGGTGAGCAATAGGCCAAACTGCCCTAATTCACGTCACCATACTAGTCAATGGGCAAAAGGGCAAACGCCTGACTTTTTGTCTCGAGTTTTTGTCGGATTTATGTGGCCTCACTGGCCTATCTGAGGTACTAAACCTATGTCTAAGCTACATTTTGACACTAAACTCAATAGGGGCCAAACATCTATTTTTTGAAATAATTGGTCAATTGTGACACTACCCCCTCTCTCTGCAGACAGAAATTGAAATTCACAAAAATGATGGCAAAATTAATACGCCACTTGACTCGAAATGTTCCTTCAGATAACCCAAATAAACGCATTTTCAGAAGAAATGGCATGTTATCATTGCAAAGAGATGACAACTGTACCTACATACTAGCTTACTGACTCGTCATGATCACAATTGTGTTGGGACTACATTTATTTTTGAAAACTACTTTTTTCTATTCAGCGGAAGTGACGTATTAGGACATTTTGGCCAATGTACCAGCTATTCCTGAATTTTTTCATACACTGTACATGCATATTGATATAATGTAACTTTATCATCATGATAAACCATGACATCTCATTTCTTCTCAGCCCTGAGATGTTTCAGGTGAAACAGAAAGATGCTATGAGTATCAGAATGTAACTTTATGTTCAATCACTATGATTGCTTATATAGAAGGGCAGATCAAAGTACTAGAATCGCTGTTAATTCTTAGTGGTAAAGAACTATCTCTCGGGCAAAATTCAGTCAAAACCATCAAAGTTTGCAGCAATTTAATATCCTTCTAGAATGTGTGCAGTTCGGGATTATTTTTGCTTAATTATTCACTAATTGCTGTATATGTGTCAAAAGGTGTAATTATCCTAAATAACCCCAAAATAGTTTCAATACATCATGATATTTAATGCAGACAATCAACTCCTGACTGGATAAAATCACACTTTCTGTAAAAGGTGAAACTTGAAAAAATATTCATGTAAAAACTGAATTAGTGGTTTTGAAAATTGAAAATTTTAAGTATTTTTTTAATTTGGAACATTTAGAACTGCTAACAAGGTAAGAACTTTTTTCAGGTTTTTAAGCTTCATGTCAAAGTCTATTGATTGTGTAAATTAAAGAGGGATGTTGCGATAGGAAAACACAATCAAGACCTCCTTGGACTTTTTGCATGTTGAGCCGTATCACATATTCACCTATCTACTTAACAACGAAGAAGCCCCATATCTGCCGCTTTATATCCTTTTTTGCGATTGTACCGACTGGTCGAATTATTTTCGTTAAAATTAATTATCTGAAACTTGAATAAAGCTGGGAAATCCATTTGTTATCTGATTGTTCGTTAAAGGATTGATATCGATATGGAGAACTGAATTCAACAATGTTTTTCTCTTAAACCAATCATTGAAAACATTCTGTAAAAAAATGCGGTATTTTATGTAATGTTGACTGATTGACAACAATTTAATGCAAAAATTATTTAGAAATATTTTATATAACTGCTTTTGCTAACACTTTTTGTTTTTTTTAAATTCAAATTTCCTTTGTACAATTACAATATTGAGAGACCTAAACATGTTGTGTTTATGTCGTTTTGTTCTAATGAGGTTCAGAAAGATGTTTCATTTCACTCTGGAAACATGATACCAGGAACAAAACAAGTGTTTGATGTGTTTTCTAAAACAATATAGATGAAAGTATTCACCTTTCCCCAAAGTCCAAAGTGTACTCATTTGACCGCTGCGCTGATTGGTCGATGAAAATCAATGACATCAAAGCAGGGCACATTTCGCGCCAAAACTTCAATTACTATTAGATCGCCTAATGAGTGAAATAGATCTCATTATAAAATGATAACAAAACTAAGTAAAATATATTTTTCTGACTATTTTGCCTTAATCTGTGTCTTAAATACACCATCCGGTAAATCAATCCATAGAAATAATTGTCATATGAGTGCTAGTCTTTTAACAAATTGAATCCAATTACGCAAACCAAAGACTGACAATCATTCAAACTGAGACTGTATGAATTAGGAATATTACATTTATCATGATTATTCAATTGCAAATAGTCCATTGTGTTTCTTATAAAAAATATCTGAAGAACAGTTTTTAATGTTTAATGTTGCATTTTTCTCATCGGATTGCTCAATTAACTTTCGATTGCTGGTCATGTATTTTTTGCAATTTACATATTGAAGTAACTAATATTCATCATGCTGTATTAGTTTGCATTTTAATTGCAATTCTAAGCTTAATTATACAGACCCAATACAAAGCCGGGGGTGAGCGGATGGAGCGGCCCCTCCCCCCCCGGCCAGAAATTCCTTCAAAATCATGCAGTTTTTCACCATTCTGAGCACTTTTCGCATGTTTTTTGCCAAAACTGTCAAAAAGCTCCCCGTCTTGGCAAAAGCGCCCATTGGTAAAACCACTCCCCCAGGTAAAAGTTTCTCTTTTGTAGGTCTACGTCCAAAATATCCTGAAAGTTCTCTAAAAAGTTCGATATTTAAACTGAAGAACGCCCATGGGCTTTTCAAGAGATAAATCTCTTCAAATAGACGATCATGGGTAAAACAAGCAACTCTGGTACATGAAAGGCCTTAACATTGTTCAATGAAATTAGTCATCACTCATGTAACCATTGTCAAATATTCTTCGGCAGACATAAAAGTAACATTGTCATGTGGTATAATAGGTGGCTGAACGTAAGAGAAAGTAACGCACCATTGGCCCAGATTTGAGAGTCGAATACTTTTTCTTCAAGGTTAGCCCGTACCCTCTTATTCACCCCATGAGAAAATATAACACGAACTAAGATTACCATGAGATGTTGACACTTTTGACAGTCAAGAATTAAACATGTAGGGGTTTTGTACAGTCAGCGTAATTTGAAAATGTACAGGAAACATTGGACTCTTCACATCAATATTTCTCTATTCATTTGATTCCCCAGAATACTATAAAGAAGGGGGAATATAGATGTGAGTATAATTAATCAAATTCCATTATATTTATCATAAATATTATTACTAGTCAACATAATTTGCCAATAAAATTAACCCGTATCCGTCACGATTCATATTGACTTCTAATGTGTTCAGATTTTGCCGCGAAAATCTGCCCTACTCTGATTTCAGATTTGCTAATTATAATATTCATGAGCTGACTTTGGGGAAAAGTGAATATATTTATTTTTCACTTATATTGTTACCATTCAAAAGATGACCATTAAATTGACGATGTGTTAAATTTTTAGATTTTTTTATGACTGGTTTAAGAGAAACGTGTGTTCAAAAAGTTCTCCATAACGATACCACTCCTTTGTTTATTAGTTTGGTTACGTGGCCAAAGCAGGCCTGTCAACTGTCGTCTGAAAAAATTAAAGTTACCTCATGCCAGTTTTTTGCTTGACAGAATAACTAACAGTGATGTGATTTCCCATCACAAACCAAAATATGTCACACAAATACGCATTTTTTCTGATTATTGTCAAGCAAAAATATTTCTGGAGAAGAACGTAAAAAAAATGAATACCAAAACATCAAAAAAACAAATGGCGAAAATATTTGAGGCATATTAAGGATGAAAATTACAATGACTACAGGCTCTTAAATCAATCAAAATCAATACAATTTACCAAATAAATTATATTTATGGTAATCTATTTGATTACATACAAATTCTTGAAGTACATGTTGCTTTGTGAAAATCTTTAACTTTTTCCAAATTCTTTTTAAGTTTTCTGTTAATTCCATATACTATAGATACTATGTGACAATACAGGGTGCTCCAAAAACTCAACTCCTACTGCCCTTTCATTAATACTGCACTGATCATATTCAATTTTTACAGCATTTACTTCCATGTACATGTATTAAGAATAGGAATGCAAAGTTTACAAAATATTCACAAAAAGTTGTTGAACATACAGAGCGGAGTTGAGAGTCGTTTCAGATAATGTATGTTCCATCAATTTGATATAAAAAAAACCGAAGAACATCCAATATCACAAGGAGAGCTACATTAAAAAGCACCAGAGTATCATACTCTAAAATATACCATTACTTTCTTTTTTAAATTTTAAATGGCATAATATAGTGACATGATAAAGTATTTTAGATATGTTTTCAGCATAACTCTGAAGATCTAGATCTAATGGGTATTTGGGTCTTAAATTAAAAATAAAATAGTGCTTAAATTTTTTGCCTATAAGGGAGCAGTTTCAAACATGTAGTACAAAGAGATTCCTAATATATATTTTACAACAACACAAAAATAGAGATAATGTAGATATTAGTATACCCTGACACTCACACACCACTAGGCTATATATAGTTCGAAACTGCAAAACTGGAATGCGAAATGTGCACAAATAAAAATAAATAAAAAAAGATGGAGGATTTCCCATAAAACCTATTGACTGACTTAATACAGGATCTATAATACAAAAGAAGTTCTTACCTGTACTAATATTGTCTTGGATCTGCCTCATTTGTAACATGAGCGAATAATAGAGAGCTCCTAGGCCCCCCACAGCAGCTAGTAAGATGAGCAATGATAATGCCACTATGAAACCACGTAAAGTACAACAACTTGGTTCTACTCGTTGTGTAATATGTACCTCCTCTTTAGGGAATTCTTTGAGCTTTCTGAAAATATAAAAGTGGTTGGAAGTGAATGTAAATATTAGGCCCGTGGCCAGCTTTTGGCCAAGGGGGTGGTCACATCTGTCACCTTTCAAAAAAGCCAGGGGGATTTACAGTTGACCATCACTTGAAAAGTGCTTGGAATGGTGAAAACCTGCAATTTTTGGCTGGGGTGTTTTGCTCGCATCTGCTGAACCTACCCTGGGTATGGGGCCTGTATTGTATATGACCTATAGAAGGGCCTAATTTAAAGTGTGCTGTTTACCACATACTGCACTGCATTGGCTACCTCCCACTTCATTAACATTTGAAACAAGGCACAGACGTGAACAAAATCATACCTAAAACACAGCATTGTACACTCCCCCCAGTTTTCTGCAAGTTAAAATGCTCAATTCTGCAAGTGAAATTAGTGAATTCTGCAAGAAGAAAGGGCTAATTCTGCAGAAATTCCGCGGATATTCGCGGCATTTTTTTGCGGTTATTATAAAAAAAATCAAGATTGGTTTAACAAGAACAGTATCATATATTCTAAAACATGATTTGATAATCATATTCCTACATGTTAAACCCTGCCACAAACAAATTTGACCACTGAAAGTTCCATTTCCATGAAAATGCTGTAATTAATCAAATTTCACATTTTTCGAAACTTCAAACACGGAGGATCGGGCGCATAATGGGAATCACGATATATGTAAATCAGGTTTTAAGTGTAATATCTCATTGGAGTTCGAAGTTTTCGATCAATAACTTAATAATATAAATAACTGTTATTAATTTATGTCTTTGTTTAACTTTCTGACGAGAACCGAAAGAAAAACTAATGGTTTTCGAACCAGTAAACGGGAAAATATCGTGATAGTCAGGTAGTCAGTCTCAGTCACTACATACATGCTGCCATCTAATGGCAGAAATCAAACGATGGCGTTTAGAATTTTCACTTCGCATAATTTGGGTTATTTCTGCAAGGGATTTGACTGAAAACGTGTCAAATTGTTACAGGTAAGACTGACTTTTTAAACTTTTGGAAAATATATGGATTCTGCGGAAAATTCCGCGGAAATTGACCAAAATAGTTGATTCTGCAATTCCGCGGGCAGAGGCAAATTCCGTCCGCGCTCTGCAAACACGGAATCCTGGGGGCAGTGCATTGTAGTCTTGTTGACCAAGAAAGCAAGATGGCCGCAGAAAAGTTAATCAGCTCTAGAACTTATCACTGTGTAACATACGTAAAAATTTGAACGGTTTGGCTGGAAACCTGTAGACAAGCCTCGATAGACAAGATTTTAGGACAGAAAATCTAAAATGGCAGCCTTAACATTTACCCAGAATGCCCTAAAACTAATCAGTTCTTGACGTTGATATGTAGAAACATCCCTGAAAATTTCAGATGAATCCCTCAAATGGTTTGGCTGGAAACCTGTAGACAAGTCTTGAAAGTGAAGATTTTAGGACGGAAAATCCAAAATGGCCACCTTAAAATTTAACCAGAATGCCTAAAATCTAATCAGCTCTTGACGTTGATATGTAGAAACATCCCTGAAAATTTCATATGAATCCCTCAAAAGGTTTGGCTGGAAACCTGTAGACAAGTCTTGAAAGTAAAGATTTTAGGACGGAAAATCCAAAATGGCCACCTTAAAATTTACCCAGAATGCCCAAAAAATGTAGAAACATCCCTGAAAATTTCAGATGAATCCCTCAAATGGTTTGGCTGAAAACCTGTAGACAAGTCTTGAAAGTGAAGATTTTAGGACGGAAAATCCAAAATGGCCACCTTAAAATTTACCCAGAATGCCTAAAAACTAATCAGTTCTCGACGTTGATATGTAGAAACATCCCTGAAAATTTCAGATGAATCCCTCAAATGGTTTGGCTGGAAACCTGTAGACAAGCTGAAAAGTGAGACGCCGCCCGCCGCCCGCCCGCCGCCCGTCAAGCTGACTACAATATCGTACCTCTTGTTAGGCACGATAAAAATATAAAATATGCAGGAGAAAAAATTTATATTTATGATCCCTTTTAAATTTTCACCTAGATTTTAGACTAGGCCTCTTTATCTATTGGTACCAATAAAAAAATCGCATGAGTATTAACATAACATAAAATTGATACTAACACTTTGACGCAACGCAGTTCTGACTCAAAAATGCTTGCATTTCCTTTTACCCTGTCAGAAATGAAAACACAAATATTGCATCTTCAAGTGCCTTTTTGCAACAGTTGTTTTCTGATTCTCTCTTTAAGGCAAGTGTGTATTTCCTCTTGCTTTTCTCAAGAAAGTAACCTACTAACCTTGCATTGTCTTCTTTTAGTAAACCTGAGAGTATGTCAATGGCGAATCCAGGAAAGTCTGATACTTCAAGAAAAATCTTTCAAAATGGCCACCTTTTCAATTTTCCAAATTGTTTGTCCAAGTTTCTCCATAACACTGGATTGCCATTAATTGACCACTTACTAGGTTTACTAAAAGAAGACAACATAATGATACTTTCCTGAAAAAGCAAGGAAATACACACATGTCTTCATACTTTATTTTGTACCAGAAAATAACATGGACAGGTATAGAATTTTTCCAAAAATGTTTTCTGGAAAGAATAACCTTAAATTTTCAAAATTTGGGCCCAGATTGTGGTGTTAGGGACCCAAATGAAATTTCCGCACAAGCGCTGACATTTTTTCTTGAAATATGGGCCCCCTTCTTAGCTTCTGGATCCACAAGTGCACATATGAATATCATATTTTCTTATTTTTAAGAGCCAAAGTTGTCGAAGGAAATTGTAAGGATAATGCTTGTAAGTTATAGCTGGAGAATGCAACATGTATATTCTTTATAGATGGGAACTGGACAAGACTGTATATCCTCTAGAGTGCAATTTTTTGGAAAGGAATGAAAATATTCAGACTATAGCCCACATATGTTAAAATTTGGGATCGAAAAATATTTGTTTGCAGAGGAAGTGCCACTCAAAATGGCCGATGGAGTAAATTAATTTGCATATTTTTTTCTTCCCCTAACTTTATTTCCATTTTGACAATGTTACTTTTTATAGCATTTTATTGTACCTTACTACAATTGAATTAAATGTTTATTTTTGGAAAGTGAAACTTCCTAAAATTTTGTGCAGAAAATTTCTTTTTTCCACAGGAGGGACATGATGATCAATAGATCGAATTCTGAAGATACTTGTATTCGGTCTATTGGATATAGATTAGGAACTCGACTAGATTTTTTATACATGTCCCTTTGGCCACAGTGAACAGAATTTCCTTCGTATTATTATTTAAAACTACATGTGCGGAATTTTTTTCCTAAAAAATATTGATGGATTATACACATCTTCATCATGATTTTTGAGATTTGGCAGTTATACAGGCCCGAGATAACACTCTAAAGGATCTAGAAAAAGATATTTCAAACCCCAATCTTGCTATTATGGCAAGATAATACTGCGAATGTAAGCACTGCATAAATCACAAAATTCGTAAAATGATCCGCGGTCCGCCTTATGACCAATCACATTGCGGGACGCACGCGCAGTATCCATGTAGAAATGAAATTCTACATGTATCTCTCGATCTCCTAACCTGATATTTATTACTTATTGTATTGAAGTTCCAACTACCGTGCCTTGGGCATATGGAAGAATGACATATATAGCATGGGGAGTAAGTCACCTTACCCCTCCCTCTTATGTTAGAATAATAATGTAATGATCCTGACTCATTACTTTTTATTTTATCATGTCTTTTATATTTTACTTTATTTTTTGTTGCATTATTTTATTTTGTTGGGAAATATTTGAGTTATCATGTTAAGGCTAGGCAGCACTATAGAGCGTCAGTCTACATGTGTTTTTAAATCTTTATAGCCAATCAAATTTCAAGATTAGTTAGCTAGTCAGAGAATTGACCAATAGCATCCTGGTAAAGTTTTCATATTGTTTAACAGCAGTTGTTAAGTTAGTCTGAAAGTCTTAGTTTGGAACTGACAAGGGAACAAAATCTTTGAAACAAGAAATAATGCATTGTGATACAGTTTTGGATTAAGTTTGAGATGATAGGAATTGCCTGCTAGTAAAGAGAAACATCAATGGACTGCTAAGATGGGTGACCGATCTGGATATGCTTATATAGAACTGATATAAAATAGACTTTGGTTGCAGATTTACCATATTATCGTGTGGGATGAATATATGTCAGAGTATGGTGGACAATTGTAGAATCCCTGTGAACTATTTTAATTAACGCAAGACTTCGTAACAAATTCGTAAAGCTGTTTAAGGAGACGCAAGACTCGATTGTGTATTCCAGACCGTGTGAACGTGCAGAGACACAGACCACACCCACTCATGGCAGCATCTCAAGCAGGGTTTCGCTATTAAGTATTCTTATTGTTCATGTTCTGTTGGTGTTCTGAACTTTAGTTTAGTTGCTTTTTTCTACCTTGTTCAGTTTGATCAAAGATGACTATTATTGCTAAGCGTTCCATTGGGTTAAGTTGTCAGCGGTCGCGCTAGGTATGTTATTGTGCTGTGTTATGAGATAGATTGTGTCGTTGTTTGCTAGGTAGAGATAGATTAGGGAAGGATGGATTTAAGTGAGTGTTGCTTTAAATCAAGAGTAAGTTAAATAAGATCGGTCCTGTTGTGAGAAACAGTATCTTATTCGTAACTTCGTGAAACTCTTTGATTATGTAAATATTCATTTATAAATATATCATCTTTCACATTATATCTTACATATTAGATTTATATCATCATTAAACTTTATAATCTAATTTCACTGTCTGTTGTTTTGCGTAAAGGTGGTCAATTTGGTCTAAGTTTATTTTCAACAGATTGTTTCATCTTCATTTAAAATCCATATATTTAAGGGGTCATATCAAGCTCACATTTGCAATCTGTTGGGAATACTTAGGTGCAAGTTGTGTTGAAGTTCCCATTTCAATCATTTTCTATTGCAATCACCCCCTCCCACAGTTAGAAGTATTTCAGTTCAGTTTGTCATTTAAAGGTGTCAGCACCTTCCAGTATCATATTGTGGGAATTTTTAATTTCCCCTGAGTAATACTTGGGCCTGTGAAACGTTTATTTTACAGGATTTTGTGTTATTTTATCTTTATTCAATGTTCCGTCCCTGTAAAGAATGCAAAACTGCAGCAAATAATGACAGCAAATAATCCAAATATCCTGTAGATATAGTTCTCAATTCAAATCGATCACGCTCTCCCATAAAACGATACCAACTGACGAGGTGTTTCCTCTGCAAAGTCTTGGTTTACTCTGATTTACAGGTCACTTTCTCACACTAAATGTTTACTTGATCAGCAAGCTGAGTTGGAATAAATTTGAATAATTAAGCACTCAGCAACAGAGCTCAACCAATCAGATGGCTTCATTTGAATTTACCGCCAACTTAAGTTGTAGTTTTCCCATGATGCAACTTGAGGTGTCTGGATTTTAGTGTGAGAAAGTGACCTGTAAATCAGAGTAAACCAAGACTTTGCAGAGGAAACACCTCGTCAGTTGGTATCGTTTTATGGGAGAGCGTGATCGATTTGAATTGAGAACTATATCTACAGGATATTTGGATTATTTGCTGTCATTATTTGCTGCAGTTTTGCATTCGTTTTGCATTCGTTTTTGACTGTGCGAGATACAGGAAGATAACAGCCAGTTTTGGGTGAGTTGGCAATTTGATTATTGAGTTTGACGCCATCTTGCCGTCCGTTATTTTGATTTCTTCTTCCCAGAGTTCCCTGCGGTCGGCCATCTTTATTTTTTACGGAAGTGACGCCATCTTAAGGAGTGATTCCTTCTCTGAGTAGTTACAACTCTTGTCTAATCTCAGTTTGATTGATATTCGAGAGTCGCGTCTGCTCCGAGAGGTCCCTGCTCCGAGTTATTACCCCTCCAACCATTTTAAGAACAATTTTTCCTCCGAGTTACATTGGCTCTGAGTAGGTACAACTCTTGTCTAATCTCAGTTTGATTGATATTCGAGAGTCGTGTCTGCTCTGAGGACTGTCAGCTCTGAGTCATTACTACTCCATTTGCCCCGAGGATCGCCAGCTCCGAGTAATTATGGCTCTTGTCTAATCTCAGTTTGATTGATATTCGAGAGTCATATCTGCTCCGAGGACTCACTGCTCCGAGTCATTACTCCTCCATTTGCTCCGAGTCATTACTCCTCCATTTGCTCCGAGAATTGCCAGCTCCGAGTGATTACTCCTCCATCTAGTTGAGAGCCATACCTACTCCGAGGACTCACTGCTCCGAGTGCTTACTCCTCCATCTACTCTAGAGTGGAAACTCCGTCTAATCTCAGTTTAATGATCGATATTCGTGAGTTGCTTCTTCTCCTCCTCTGAGTTATTGATGATCCGAAATTGATACAAGTTGCTGAACTTGACATACCCTCTGAAGTGATTTGACTCCTCCAGAAGTTAGATACTGAGGTTACACTACCGGAACCAAGGTATTTCTGTGTTGCAAGGTTTATTCCAATTGGAGCCAAGGTTACTCCACCGGAACTAAGGTACTCCACGATCGAGAAGTAGCAGCTCTGGTCTAATCTCACCATCTGATTGACATTCCAGAGGTGTTATTTCTCTGTAGAGAAAGAAGAGGTTTCTCCTGTGAAGTGGCTACTCCCCGAGCAGAAGATACTCCCGGAGCCTGGACCCCTTCCACGAGACAGTTTTATAGAGACGAGAAGACTCCTGGAGTGGAAGGTATTCCAATAGCTAGGGTCTTGTACAAAAGAAGAGGTTTCTCCTGTGAAGTGGCGAGTCCCCGAGCAGAAGATACTCCCGGAGCCTGGACCCCTTCCACGAGACAGTTTTATAGAGACGAGAAGACTCCTGGAGTGGAAGGTATTCCAATAGCTAGGGTCTTGTACAAAAGAAGAGGTTTCTCCTGTGAAGTGGCGACTCCCCGAGCAGAAGATACTCCCGGAGCCTGGACCCCTTCCACGAGACAGTTTTATAGATACAAAATAACTCCTTGAGCCAAGGTTACACTTCCGGAACCAAAACTCCTGGAGCCCTGATTCCTCCGAGGTGACACGACTCTGAGGGACAGCACAGTGAAGATTATTTGGAGCATTTATAACTTGGGTCTAATCTCAGTTTTGATTGATATTCCTGAGTTATTCCTCCTCCATAGATATCACATTGAAGCCGTGATATAGACGAGACGATACCTAGAGCAGAAGGAACTCCCCCGAGGTTAGATTCCAGTTTAGAGGTGAAGAAAGCTGCAGAGGAGCAGATCCTCCTCAGGCCATTTTACCAGTTGGAGCAGAAGGACCTCCTAGAGGGTGAAGATAGTTCATAGGAGCAGATCCTCCTCCTCTTACAATTATTCAAGAAGGAACAATTACAGAGACATTCAAGCTCTATATACTGGGGTTTCAATAACAGCCGGCGGGCGGCGAAAACGCCGCTTCAAATCCCAGTTACGCCGGTTCAAATTTTGAGAGAAAAAAAATTGAGAAAAAAATTGCCGGTCCAAATGATGAGAGATTTTGCTGACACATGAGACAAATCAATTTAGTTTGACATGTCAAATGAAAGAATATAAATTGGCCTACCTTGTGAATGCAAAATCTAAGTATAATAGGCAGATAATCAGCAGTATTTTAGGGAAACACTAAGATAATTATCTTACTGTAATCCGGCCACCATTTTTATTGACCTACTCTCAAACCAACATTGCTTTGAGACTAATGGGTCAGTAGCAAAAAACCTTTATCACTGTCCTGTCAACTTTCAATGGACACTATATTATTAACAATTACACAAGTACAACATGTAAAACAAACAGTATAATCAATACAATTGATCTTCTTGGTATTATCTTACATCATAGTGAGGAAGCACAAAGGGCAACATTTGAAAACAAATAAAATATTACAAGTCAAAAATGCATATCAAACTATTGAATGTTAATCTTTATACAGTATTTCATTGAGATTAATAATGTGTCAGAAAGGAATATTGAGTTTATTACTTTACATGAGTCAACATTTAAAAAACACATAAAGTAATGAACAAGTCAAATAGATCTATTGCTCATACAGTTTATATTAAAGTGACAGGAAAATACTGATTTTATTGTTTTACGTCACAGTGAGGAAGCACAAGGGGTAACATTTAACTCCAAATATGAACGAGAATGCGAGCGAAGCGAGCGGCGATCAAAGATCCCTTATATCGTCCCTGGCCTTTCCCTGAAGTTGAGATACAGGGTACTCCTTGGAAACGTCCCGGCGCGACAATATTATTCCAAATTTCCCTCAATGACCAAGCAAATAATTTGATTGATATAATTTGATCAAGTAGACATGTAAATGAGATTATATAAGATAAGTAGTCTACTTACTTCAACTTTTTTCTGTTTGTGCCTTTGAGTTTGAGTGGGGGAAGTGAAAATTGTTCCTGCTCGCTATCACTTCCCATATCGAGAAGTAATTTTTGATCGTCCTTATCACCATCTGCCCCATCTCCTTTCACTCCATTCAGTTTATGCATCTTTAATGCTGTGTATTGTGTCATTTCAACTTATCCTATAGTGGGAAACTTTGATTTTTTACGTGACAATTTCACATTTCTAAACTTTTAATTTTTCGAAAACCGGATATGACAAACGGGAGAAGTTAGTATTTCATTTTCACAACACAGTATCTCATTTTCACAAGACAATGTTGTGAGACTCTCCATTGTAAAGGATGGCTCCTTTTAACACCTTATATTAGCCCCGAAGACCTTTACACCATCTGAACATAAAATATTAGAATGTACATTAGTCACATTACCTTCTATAAAATACAAACATGAGGTCCCTCTGACATTTATTTTCCAAATAGGTCATATTGCATACCCATTGTATACAACTTAGCTGTAAATCATTTTTTTCAAGTTATGTTATCCTATCTGTCATCATTATTATCCTTTATCAAATGCACATTTTTGTGAGCTCATCATGTTACTATTTTTTTAAGAGTCACAAAGGGTAACATATAAAAAAGAAGTAAAAATCAAATAATTGAAAAATAAAACTAATTACCAACTTATTACCAACTAATTTACAACTAATTATCAACGTTTCTGCTGGCAATTGGAATTAAAGTTAAGCGTTAATTAAATCAATGATAATTATGGCCTAATTATCAGTAGCAAGTTCAACGTAAATTAACTTACAATAATGCTGATTTATGATTTTTAGTTGATAATTAAGATATGAAATGTTTGAGGGTGATAGTAAGTGGTAAATTAAAACGTTTTTGTTCTGAAGTAGATTATTGGTTGATAGTTAACATATAGGATGATTATAATGATAATTAGTTGTAAATTAGGCCCATGATTTAGAAATACAAACCCCCTAAATTTAATTTCAAGATGGTGGAAAAAGAAAACATGTGAGAGATATTTCTCTCATAAAATTGAGAATTACAACGTGAATGGTGCGTGTACTACCATGAAATTTGGTCAACATTATTATAAGGGTATGTAGAACATGAATACATTGTATGTTAAATCTTATTCACACTTCTGTCTGAAATGTTTATGAATTTAAAAATCTTTTTGAATCAGATCATATAATATTAATCCTAGAATGCAATTTAGGTACTAAGATGGGTTACCTATATTTCACAAGTAATCCAAATGTGCTCTTCTAAATAGTGATTGTTAGATCAAAGACATTTCAAAGCATATTTTTGATTATATCTGTTACGTCCTTATTATGTAACATTATAGTCTAATGTTTGTGTTCTGATTTTAGTTGTTGATGGCAATAATGATGTTTTCACATGCTTTTCATGAATCTTAAAAATTTGCAAAATAGAATAGCTTTAAAAAAGAGGGGGAGAAACCCCAGGGTTCAAAGATGACATACGCTTATAATGTAAATCTGTATTGAGATGACATCGTCGCTGATTGGTTTAGCGAGTTGATCGTTGATTGGTTTAAAACTAGGTCAATTTGAAAACTTTAAAAACCAAGATGGAGGGTACGTTTTCGACAAAAGGTGTGCGAAGGAGCAAATCGTATGTCATCAATTGAATCATGGGGTTTTCCCTCCTCTTGCTGTGAAATTTCAATAGTTCAAGTTCAATGTTGTCTGTTCTGAAAGATCCTAATTAAGATGAATATTCCGTCACAAAATAGTTCAAGATGAAGCAAAAATCTCTGAGTGAAGGGAAGCAAAAAAGAAGCGAGTCATTTTTGAGATGTCACAAATCTGACTTAAACCTAACTTTCAACTAATTATCAATAGTAAGTTAGGTGATAATTAGAGATTAACTTACATCAAACTTACAACTAACTTTCAACTAATTTACGTAAATAGCTCATTTGCATATTGATGGTAGTTAATCGTTAATTAAGTTGCAAATTAAGCGTTAATTAAGTTGATAATTAGCTCATTTGCATGTGAATTTTTACACCTAACTTTCAACCAATTATCAATAGTAAGTTAGGTGATAATTGGAGATGATTTTCCATAGGCTTTTTTCAATTGGTCCTGTTGCTGAGATCTCTAAAAAGTTAATTAAAATAAACTTGGCCTCAATAGTTTATATCATTGATGTTTTACTTTGTATTACATGTAAATATCCCAGAGATGGGATGTCCAGGAAGTAAGGTAATACTTTAATTGTCAGAAACTGAAATCACAACAGATTGTGGAATGATATTAGACAATGTATTCCTCCAGCGTTCATGATGTCTAAAGTGTTAAAGTTGTTGTTGTTATGGTTTTTAGTTTAAAATATTTTATTTCTGTGTCACAGGTTTAAAAACTACATTTCAATATCATATAATAAATACTTTTTTTTAAAAACCCACCAGCCGTCATCGGCTTAGGAGACACCATTAAATGTATATTTTATTGTAATTGAGTATTGACTAGAGTAAGTTGAATTAGAGCACTCTTAAATAGAGTAGTATTCATGTGCTGCCATCTTTAAATGCTTTGACAAATATTTTCTATAATGGACATTATCACAATAAATGAATATGCATGCAAACATAAATAAACTGTATTGATACAATAAATTTTGCAGTAAAGTGCTGGAAAATGACTATAACAGAATGGGGACACACACTTGCTGCCCAGTTATATCATTAATTCTAAAAAGTATCAGTTTTAACCAAGTCTGGACTTCACAAATGTAACTCCTATAATCTGCCATAGTCAAATTGCCTTTTTGAATACATATTATGAATAAGAGCTGCTAGAGGTTTTTGAATCTTCTTGGCAAGCATTAGGCTAATAAATATCAAAAGTGAATTTGCATTATTCAAGTCTATATATGGCAATTGCTCTTGCACAATCTCTCTATAGTTTAAGGTATCCCTTGGGAGCTTATAGTGTGGACATTTTATCAGAAAATGAATTTCATTCTCAACTTCATCCAAATCACAGAGTTTGCAAGTTTTCTGGTCCAGAGGAGTAGCATCATATCTACCAGTTTCTATACGGAGTTGTAGCGTCCCAGTTCTCAGTTTAGCTAATGCACTTCGATGGTGTCTTGGGATGAAACAAGTTACATAACTTTCTGCTACCACCCCATACTTAAATTGCCTGAAAGTTCTTAATTTATTACCGTTCGCTTCATTGTTTTTGTCATTCCAAATGTTTTTTAGAAAGGGATCTTGAGATTGTTGATAAAGCTTGACCTCTTCTAAAATAGCTTTAGCATTTAAGTTTTCCATTTGTGTAATATTCCCTTGGCCTGATGCCTCTATGAACTTGTAGGCTCTGTAGTCCCAACAATTTTTACGTCTTAAAGGGTGACGCATATCGTTTAGCAAATCGAACACTCGTTTCTGGTGTTGCTCACCGTTTAGTATAAAAGGCCCGATCCCGGAATAATACTCAAGGGTTCACAGGCTCTAGATTGTTGTGTCAACACCTCTAACTGTTATATAGCATAAGTATATTGTAGATCGTCACACATTTATAAAAGGGTGATTTTTATTTTGACAAATCAATTCCACATTTATGGGTGAAGTTTTAGGATCTTCTATTTGTGTATAATAAGGAAAAATTGGCATCTAAATTTCCCCATAACGTAATAGCACACAGCTTGGCATATGAAATATCCTACAAATGAAACAAAGCAAGACAAACCGGTTTCTAATACAAGGATTTATATTGGCTGTTGTACATGTATTCTTTGAACGCAATCACTCTTTGGATAACGTTTTCAAAATCATTATAAACGGATTACTTTATCTCAAAGACAATTTCAATAAACTGGATTTTACTGAACTCCCCTTATTTCTTAAAAATGGACTGATCCAGTTAATTCGCCTGGAGCCGCCATATTGTTTTTATACGGGATGCTAATCGGAACCCTTTAAGGACCAGTGGTGTATTTTTGAGTTTAACCTATCTTTATCCAAATTTTGCAGGCGTATAAAAAGACGTGCACTCTCAATCTATTGTTTGTGAAGTGGTAAGTCCCATCCAAGGTCAGCTCGAGCTGCTTTGTTGTTTGTTTTGACACCGACACCAAGAAAGAATTTTGATGCCTTATGCCTATGGTAATAGGATCAGAGTTATGTGAAGCAATGTCACAATTGTGGTTCATAGCTCTTTTTCATACGATCAAATGCCCATCGTCTCTTTTTAATAAAAATTATGTAATAGATGAATGATGTACGATATAATAAAATCTGCTAACATTTCTAGATATCGAAATCAATCCTTCTGAAATTTCTTGAAAAATCATCACATGCGATCAGGAACTTTAGACCATATTTGAAAAAGGAGGTGCATTTTTCCAGAAAATATAGGTGGTGCGGCAACAGATTGCGTGGCCGATGACGTTTGGTGCAATCTGAGCGTTTTATGTCTTTTTTGTAGTTTCACAGGAATCTCTAACCCACCCTCCTTCTGGTAAGCTGTTTGACTGGTCATCTTGAATCGAAAGTACCTAATCAATATGTCAATTTCATTTAGTCAATATACTGTAAATGGCTTTAATTTGGCGGATTGGGAAGATTTTGAAATTTTGGCTGCTATTTAATTTGGTAGATTGACCATTATCAATTTTATTATTCACTTCACATCTCGCTACCAATAACAAAATTTTATCTCTCCTGGTATCAGTTTGTTTTTATCTAAAATAGCGCGGATTCTGTAGGTTTTCGTATATCACAGGCCTTTTTGCATTTAAATGTAAATGTTTTTTTACATGGTTTCAACTAGCAAATATACAGAAGGAAAAGTAGCACAAAAATACTTTGACATGGCTGTCCTTTAAAAATATATTTGGTTACAAGGGCAAATTCAACAAAACACAATAATTATATTTTATGTTTTATTTTGATTCAGAATTTACATCCTTAAATCAAATTACATGTTTTTCTATTTTACAAAATATACAGAAGGATATACAGAATTTATTTTTATTTTTAATTTAAAATTGATTTGTTTTATGAGCAGCAATCCTTTTGAAATATATCAGCAATCAGCATACCACAAAACACACCAAATATTGAATATAAATGTTTAGCAAAATATGAGGATGGATTTTTCTTTTGATTAAACAAAGAGGAGTTGACTACTTTTATAAAAATAAAAATGAATACATCTATGTAATGTCACCTACTGCAAAAATGACATACGACTGATGTGAATATAGTTACTATGTCAAATGTTACATTTTGGTTATTATTCACTATTCACATCTTAGTCAGTATTCACCTCTCAAGTTTTATTAACTGAACTTAATTTTGGCCAAACACTAACTTTTGAAATGCCTGTAACCTTTTTTTTATTTGAGAGTTGAACCATGATACTTGGCAAATCAATCTAACTTTGGATAAGCTTTAAAATGATATATGACACAAACTACGGAGACATTGGTATATGTCAGCCTAGGGAGGGGGGGGGGGGTCCCATACTTTCGGGACACCCTGTACATATTCATAGTTTTGAATCATTTTCTATCAAGAAATATATATGAATATACTCAAGAACACACAAAATATACTATAATTTAAAATACTACATTCAACTAAATATTTACAAATTATCAATATGCTATATATGTTCATGAATTACATTTACAAATTATTTTATCACAAAACTTATTTTTTGGTACATAAATTGTTTAAATCTAAACTAGAGTAAAACATTCTAACAAATAATGCCTGTTCTGAATGAGTAGATTACGCATCATTACGCATAAATAAATTAACCTATTAAACAGTTAAAGGAACATTCCTTGTCAGACTATTTCTCTCCTGATATGGTAGCTACAATCATATATATACTTTACATATTTAGCAAAACACGATAAAATGTTTTCATATGGTCAATATTGATCATTTAAAAATGTAGTACTCATTCCCAGTAAGCTGCCATCTTTTCAGATTTCTTTCAGGAAGTGATGTCATCGACTCTCACCTGTTATAACCTTGTATATTACAGTATAGGAAAGAAGTACAAAATCACTTCTAAACAAGAAGCCCTTATCTTCTGTGTAAAAATATTTTCAGGAGTTGTCAACTTAGAACTAAAGAAGAGATCATCAAAAGGATTTTAATCATAGACCAAATTGAAAAAAATATTCAGCTGGTTTAGTAATTCTAATAGCTCCTTACCTAATGTTATATGCAAAGTTGAGAGTCGATGACATCACTTCCTGAGTGAAATTTTAAAAGATGGCAGCCTATTGGAATTGAGTACTACATTTTTAAGTGATCAATATTGACCATTTCAAAACATTTTTCTGTTTTTTGATAAACTTGCAAAGTATGTATATGGTTATAGCTACCATATTAGGAGAGAGATGATCTGGCAAGGAATACCCCTTTAAACCTTCACTTCAAATAATATTTATGGGATCCAAATGAATGTGATCTACTTGTATTTAACAGGTTTATTCGTATATCTCTTGTATTGAACAAAAGTCAACATTTCTGTGTTTTCTCCCAAAAATTAGTTACATTTAAGATTGACCCTTCTTGCCCACATCCATACCATTGAACCTTTTTCAAATTTAAAGCCACTTCTATTCAAAAGGTGTTGTTTGCTTACAAAACGTTAAAGACTTTTAGCCCTCTCCCCAATAATAGTTTTTATAACATACCTATGATGATGTATAGTGTAACCTGTTCACAAGACAGCGGGCCAATATAACTTTTGAAAAGCCCGCACCCGCTAACTTTCTGATTGGTCAAGTGCTGGGACTACGTCATACATTAGGCCTAGGTCAAATTGACTCGTACATTCGTAAGATACAAACATGGGAATAAATCATCATTTCCGAACCATTGCTAGTCAATTAGATGAGAAAACGGTACTCTCTGACCAGACTAGATCATCATAGGTATGTTATAAATCGTTTATGGCACTATAGTTGCACACATGCCCTCGGTTCTCAGTGATATATGGCTCGACCTTGGGAGGGACATTGAAACCCTCGAGCAGATGGACATTGAAACCCTCGGGCTTATATGCAACGATAGTGACATAACCTCTAAATAATGATTATATTATGGGTGTATTTTTATATGACCTTGACCTTGTCTATATCATCAAGTCAAGTACACTCTCATAGTTGACAAGTGTTTCCAAAATATGACGAACAAAAAGGCATGAAATGCTACAAAGACCCCAAGTTAAGTGTCTGTTTAAAAAAATACAGTGTATTTAAAAAAAACATGTGAGCAGGTATTTTATAATAAACAAACATGGCAAATTGGGAACAATTTTTTTTCATGATGAATAATAAGAAGGCGTGGCAACCAGGGGAAGCTGGCACCCACTGCCAGATGGACATTCACTTTGTTTTGACCAGAACAACCTTTTTTGCTCCATTGATCTTGTAGAACTCAAGATGTATGGTATAATACAATGTCTGAAAACATTACTAAAACTACTGTCAGATGGGCTACATAAGCTTATATAAGCTTATCTTTGGTTTATAAAATAGTATACAAAATACTACAGCAAATGGAACTTAGTACAGCACATGTATAAATACAATTGAATGATGCACAAAATACCATAGCGAATGGATTATAGCACATGAATAAATACAACTGCATGCTACACAAAATACTACAGCAAGTGGAACATAGTACAGCACATATATAAATACAACTGCATGCTACACAAAATACTACAGCAAGTGGAACATAGTACAGCACATGTATAAATACAATTGAATGATCCACAAAATACTACAGCAAATGGTACCTAGTATGCACATATGTATACAATTATGATAATTACGAGGTAGAAAAAATGCTACAGCAAATGGAAAATAGTACAGCACATGTATAAATACAACTGGCTGCTATACAAAATACTACAGGAAATAGATCATAGTACAGCACATGCATAAATGCAATTGAATGATATACAAAATACTACAGCAAATGGAGCCTAGTTCAGCACATTAGAAATGCTGACCAATGCAAATCTAGTCGAGTTCTTATCCATTGACCAAAATAGTTTTACAGTTTTGATGCTGGTAAGATCTCAATGATGTAATAATCATGGCAAAGCAATTAATAAACTCCTTATGTATTGTAGGACTATGCTATACAGCAGCAAACATCTAATTCGTACAAATCCTAATAACTTCCAAAATAAAAAAAAATATCAAAGAATATTGAATATTAAACACAACCTATTGTAAAACCTCAATGTAGGTCCTAGGGCTACTGGCCTTAAATAATATCTACACATATACAAAATCTACAGTATTTTAAACCCACATCTATTATTTCAATGAGAAAATTCGTCATTAAAAACTGTAAAAGTTCCTAAAATATCAAAAGGCCAAGCTATAACTGTTATAAATATACTGCAGCCTATATCATTATCAATACACAGGTGCAATTTCATGTTAGGCCCGATCTCATACGTTTCAGACTGAATTCTACACATAATCACTTTTGCTTACTCAATAAGTGGTAAAAGGCTGTTTTGTTCACCAACGTATCAACGTCCTTTTTTATGAATCACTTTTTGAGATTTTTTTGGTTAAAAGAGGTGGCTATCGTATTCTCTCTTATATGCTTAAACATGTATGTTTTACTTGCAATGTATCATTGGAATTTTCTTATTCTGAAATAATTTCCCACATTCATCATTCAAGTCTATTGTATTTAGGTTAAGCAGTGATACATTAAAGAATTTTGACAACTTATGATACCAGTATTATTGAACAATGAATGACAATGTGAATGTTTTCATTGATAATGATGCATCTATCCCAATGAAATAATCTAAAATCTGTGTTACAAAGAGGTATCTAATTTTGTTTTTAAGCATTTTGTTCATACATTAAGTCCAGAAAGATGGAATTTATTTTCACCAGTTTATCATCCACTTGTATACCATTGAAAGATCTACTGGGATTTTGTTATATTGACACATCTCGTACAGTAGAAATTGGGAGGCATATTGCATCCATTTGAGAGAATATGGTAGGTGGGTGCTTCAGCAAAAGGATTACATGTAGAATTTAGTGAGTAATTTTGAGACAACCCTAAAGTGTTTTCACAATTAATCAAAACATCATCTCCTTGATCATAACATTACATCAACAGGTTTTAGTGATACAATAATTGGGTGCCATTTTTTATATGTACATATATTAAACATGGCAATGATCTATTCTATACAAGGACTAAAATCAGCTTATACATCAATCCTCTGTCTACATGATACATTGTTTCTGTAACCAAAATGCAATTCTCTAAATTTGGAATAATTTTCTCAATTATGGTGGAAACTCGAATTTGTTTTGTGCATATGAGAGCTCAACACATCAGATTTAGAGAAATCAGGATTACCATTGAGATGCTTTTGCATCAAATTGTTCAAAAATGCAAGTTCATATTTGTTTTATCTGTCTTTACCATTATCTGAGTTATACCTGGAGATATCTTATTTACACCCTTTTTAAAATACTATTGTCAATAATGATGAACTGATTCAAAATTATTGACAAATACTTTCTGCAGTCTGCACTTATACTTGTGAATATCAATGAGCTTCAAAACATGCCCAGATTGATAACTACAACATTCTTTCATGTATTGACGATTTCTTATTTTTATTTTTTTCATTTATTTATTGTTTATTGTTCCATTCAAATTATTTACAAAACATATCATTACAATTTGACGCAGAGCGTATATTGTGTGTTAAAAGGAAAATTCGAGAATGACCACCATAGCAGAGTTATTCAGAAATTAGATGGCTGCATTTTTGCAATTTTTGGTCACCATGCAGGGTGCATTATAAGAATTTTAGACATGCTGATGAAAAATGAATCAATTGGACCAGTTGCAACATTATTTTCCTATACATGCTGACAAAGTAAAAAACTAGACCAGACGAAAAGAAACTGGCACAAAACCACTGTACCAAATTATTTCGCACCCTGTCACAATGTGCATGAAACCACTCTTAGACTAGTAGTCACTACTGTACAAAATACCTTGTAATTCTATTGCTTCAAAATATGAAAAACTCCTAATCTGATTTTGATCTTATCAAAAAAAGGTTTCCTAGTACTTTATCAAACATTTGGATTTCTATGTAATATAAAATATCTATCACAGTAATTTTGCCAAATTGGCGTATGAAGGCATGAAGGTGAATTTTTATAGTAATACAAAAGGCATTAATTTCATCAAAATTGCATGACCTCGCAAACTTGAATGCAAATATGACAGTCCCGATTTTATCAAGAAATCAAATTTCGCCAGAGTTCATTATTTTGAAATTGAATATATGTGTTACGAAAGACTGGATTTCATGTGGCAATTAGTTGCTATATTAAAATGTATGTTATTTTTCAGCTCCTAATGGGTATGATGATATATGTTGCAATGTTATTAGTAGTCTAATTCACCATGGTCGAGTTTCTTTAGACCACATTCAATATCAGTATGACCGGTAATAAGAACACATGACAAAATATAAGATTTGAAGGTGTCAATTCATCCAAGGATCGGACATTGGCTATATCGGTTTTCATGGCTGTCATGGGAGCTAGTATACACAAGGACATGCGCAAAAGACAGATACACAAGAAAATTTTGCACCACCATAAATCTGTGTTTTGATGGTTTCCATGGCAGCTAGGATGCATGATAATGTGCTTTGTGGTTTCCTTGATTGAGATTGATGTCCACTTTACTGACACCGTTGTCTTTGCTTTTGGGAGACTCACGCCTTCTATTTGGTAGCAGTAGTAGAATAACAAGTAAGGTTATGTGCATGAACCAATAGGTGTCACTGAAACAGAAATGAAATATGAACTGTGAATTAAAACTATTTTTTATCAAGGTGTTTAATTTTTTATTAGTATCTAAGAGAAGGTACTAGTATCCAAATATATACAAATGTTTTCTTAAAAGATGCAAGATATTTATTATGGTATCCATAGAAATATATTCTTCCAACCAGATCAAGTAAACAAAGACTGATCATTTAACTAAGACACTCTATACTAAATTTCACTCACTTGAAAAAGTGGATACTGGGCCAGAATTTCTGCACTGGGAAAGGCAGAATCCAGTATGAGATTCCAAACTGTGTGAGACACCAAGTGAATATGTCATAGCCCAACTTTGTGTGTTTGTTGTCAGTAAAATGATGACGAACTAATCTCCGTAGCTTAATAAGAAATAAAATCAAAATATGTACAGTAATAAAATTTGTGGGTGTGAAGATTATATGCTCCATGCCTTGGTGGCATACATCTCAAGAATTATGCAAATGTATAACTGACGCAAATATAGCGTAATTAAGTCAAAATCAAAACTACTGTAATCGAGCAAAAAAGAAGTAGCACAAATTATTTGTATAATAAAGCACTCAAATTATTAGTATAGAAAGTTCTACCAAAAAGACATTTTAAAAGCATTAAATTTGCATATTGTTGAATTTACACCTTCTTATGAGACACAACCCTTTGAATCATAAATCAACCATTACAATAGTTTCCCTTACCTTTCTTGAAGCCTCTATTGTCAGTGCTGCTAATGTAAAGCTCAAGTAATACCCAGGATAAAACCCATGCCACACTGCACTTAACATTAAAGTACAGAATGTTTTCTTCCAGGTTTCTTTATATGGTACCCTGTCGTAGCTTATTCGTCTGAACCACAAGGCACATTGGATATTCCAACTGTCTACGATCTCCTTTGTGCTTGTAGCCAGCTGAAAATGCAATTCCAATCTATTCAATGCCCACCTATGAAATTAGTTTATTCCCAAATGGTGATCGATATTGTACAAAAGAATCAAACATGACTCCTCATTTATCCAGCATGCTCATGCTAATCAGTTCTAGATATGTGTACCAAGAAACATCGCTGACAATTATTAGAGGTCCGGAACTACACAAACAAAAATTGAAACCCCACCTTGCCTTCCAAGCTGACACAATCAAACATTTTTTTTTTAAATATTAATGATGGGAACATCAACATAGTTCTGTAGGTGTTTTCACATGAATTCAAACCCCATGTTTTATTGTACTATAATACACCATGTTATTTTCATATGTAATTGTGCTGTTGTATATATGTTATTTTCATATATAATTGTGCTATTGTACCTCCATTTTCATTAATCTGAAGGGGGAAACAAGATCCCAGTGAGCCTTTCCTGTCTCATCGTAACCATTGAACCCCAGTCCGGAAGCATTGCTTATGGCTTCACCTAAAAAAGTAATAAATAGGACATTTACAGGTAGATAACACTGAGACACAGTCAGGAAGTCAGAATTGGTTGAAATGTTAAAAGATGTTTAAAATTATCAGAAGCACCACTGATGGCATTATGTCATCTTGTGATTTATGTTTATGTAATGTGCATCTTTTATCTTTCATCTATTTAGTGAACCTTATCATATAATGATTATTAAGTAAATATTTGTAATGGGGTTCCCAGCAGAGTGGGAGGGTCAGCAAATAAATTAAGGTTACTGTATTGTATTGTTGTTTTTTTGTTTACCACCAATGAAGGTGAGCGATACCTCTAGGGTATATCCTGTATATCTATACAGTCATGTAATGCTGGAAGATGCTGAAACCGCTCCTTTAAAAGCCCTGTGTTCTCTTATGTGCAGTGATACATAAACACACAAATACACACCACAGCCTTTTGTATGAATCGTGGACCATTCAGTCAAACATCCAACAATCTAAACTCAAATTGTACTTTCCTGAAGGATTCTTGTGTCCATACAAACCCAAAGGTTAACATTTATGAATGACCAATGGTCCCTGTGCTCACACAGTGAACTGTTACCAAAACTTTTGTTGTCAAAATTGCAAATTTTTGAAAACCAAGAACAAACAAGACATTAACATGCAAAATGTCACCACCTGCCATTTGTTATATTTGCTACAGGCAACAAACACCAACCACCACCCACTGAAACCAACCACTGAATGCAGAACACTGTCCATAAAAAAAGTTGGAAAGTACACAAGTATTCTACCTGAAATGAACAAGTCCTACTTTTTATCAAGATTTAAACAGTAATAACTAATTTGTTCCACAAATGTTTGGAGTAACTGATGGCCCAGTCCATCCAATAGGCTCAGGGTGTGATTATTTTCATATAGACTGCAATTGTTTTGATATAAATGTACATACAAAAAAGCAAACAGTAAACAAATGTTTTGCTTAAAAAATAAAAATTTAATGTTTTGCCTTCCTTGTGCTGTTACCCGATTATGCCCATATTAGGTATATCTTGTACTTTAAGAGTGCAAAATTGCTAATTTTTACTGTTTAGTGTACCAATATAATTCTAGTTCATGTATGTTATCAGTTTCTTCATCTAATATGTATATTTATCAATTTAAGGCCATTATTAATGACATCTGGAGATGATATACATTTTGGAAATTGGAGATGATATACATTTTGGAAATTGGAATTCTGCCATAACTCCATCACATAATATCCATCTTCACTAGCCACAGATAAAAGCTCTACAACTACCAACCAACATGTTGGTAGTTTCACCACCAGGCAACTTACCACAAGTGTGCTAACAGAGATTTCCTCTTCTCAAATATGTAAGAAGACTTAGAAGATCTTTTCGTGTTAGTAAAAGTAACACACTGCTTTTAAAGCTGAATCTCAAGGCTTGATATATTTTGACAATTTATGACATTTCAGCTCAATCCATGCTACATGCACAATATGGATCACTTGTAGACAATTGGAACTGAATTTTTGCTTAGTTGTATGTGAGTGAGGTTTCACATAACACCCAATGATACACAATTTCTAAACACAAGTTCTAAGGCAGACCCTTGTTGAAGGATGCAGATTTGCCTGTATAAAATCATCAAAATCATTAGCTACTATACTCTACAAACAAGCTGGGCAAGTTAATATTACATACCAGATAACATGGCGAAGTAGTATTTGTGTTTTGCTATCGTATACGACACAAATAGATATATGGTTCTAAATGGCCTGGAGTGAGATCTCATAAATTCTGGATCTAAAATAATGTTAAAATAAGTACATTAGTGTTAGTAAACAAATGCATATACATGTACATACATACAGCCACTGCCACATACAAACCACCACTCGTACATTTACTACATACCCAACAACATGGCGAAGTAGTACTTGTGTTTTGCAACATTGTACGACAAAAATAGGAAAACGCATCTAAATGGCAGAGAGTGAGATCTCTTGAATTCAGGATCTAAAATATATATATGTATTTTACTTTATTTATCAAGTTTATTTCTACACAAAATATATAATCAATAAGTACTGTATCTGTTATTTCCATTGAATAGTATGTAAAAATGTATTTTTTTTTTCAAAATCAGTTTAGTCAATAAAGTTTATTTACAAAAAAATCTAATATTTGATGCAATTCAACAACATTCTATTTGTCACAATTTGTTTTCAATAATTGAAAATCAAGAAAACCCAGAGTATATATTGAATGCTTTCTTTTTTCATCATTAAGAATCATACTACAAGGTTGTTCTTTGATGTCTCATTTCAGTTGACCATAATACGGCTTTATTGTTTCACATATGCAATACATCCCTGTGGATTTTCTCTCAATAATCAACAATAATGATTTCCATAGATCAACAACTTTTTAAAATTGAAATAGTTATTTTAAGTGCCAAAAGAAAACCCATACCCATGAAACTATTTAATGACAAGAGCTAAAATCTAAATTGAACATTATGAAGCAAGTCCAATGAAAAACATAGTCATTGTACATTAAACCCATCAAATCTTGAATACTTACATTAGACAATTTCTAGTCTTTTCTACTTACCTACATTCCTTACTATAGGTACAATTGGTACGATAAGATGAAACGATCCAGCAAATATGCATATTAAAGCTACCTTTCTCATCACTTCAAACTACAAGTATAAAACAAAACAGAAAATGTATCAGGCCTTATAGCTGGAATTTTTATCTTGATAATCCTAAATTATTTTTGATCAATTGTTATGTAACTCAAACAATCAGTAGACTTGGAGATAAACACCTTCTTTATTGAAGCTGATAAGATGTTTGTGTAGAAAATGAATCAACTGCCTTTTAATATTGAAAATGTTGTGACGTGAGTAGATATTGTAGCTATATCAATTTTGGAACATATTTTCCAGCTTACTCGTTTTGTGTATGGAGAATACGGGTTTTTGTACAGTATGTACTTTGTAAGAAGAGGAAATGGGTCAGTCTGTTTCATATCTGAAACTTGGACAACTAAAACTGAAAAATCTGTCACATTGTCTAGTACTCTCGAGTCATAATCAGCGAGATTGAGCAAGGGGTTGGGCTAATCTATTGTACCCCAAAATACCCAAAAAGACCAACGAACCAAATTGTGAAAAAACACATTCATGAAATCGCTTCAAGTGAAACTAGATGAAAATAACAATATAATTTTGTTTATATTTCATAATTACATGATATGGGCCTTGCCCTAGAATGCAGAATTAAATTGTCTTTATCAAAATACAAACTAAACTAATACCTTCTATAAAATATTGGAATAATCTAAACTAAAATTGATGTACAATGTACATCAAAAAAGAATAAAAGTGCATGTGTTTTATGAACTTATAAAGATGATTAAAAAGTAGTTATTACTTGAACAAATGCAAATATTGTATATAATTCACTGACTGATCAAATATTCACTGACTGATCAAATGGTGGGTTCAAACATGAGAGACCAGGTGGATATGATATACAGTACATTTTACATATGTTAAGGGATTGGGTTGCCTACCATGTGGTATGTAATGACAAATAACTGATGTACAAAGAATATCTAAATACTGTACATGTAACTGCAAGTACGATTGTTTATTTGAATGTAATATTCAGACATTTCCAAATCTAAGAAAACTCAACGAGTGAGTAAGAATATGGGATGATAAAAAATTATACATTCTTAATAATAAAGGTTTTGCCTTAGATGAGTGCAGTTCAACCTTATGAAATAAACTAAAGTTGTGTATTTGAGCTGTGCATTCATATCATGCGTCGTTAATAAAATACTTCCCTCACCATAAAATATTCCTTTGGTTTTGTGTCTAATAAGATGCAAATTGCAAAATCATGAAAAATGTAAAAGACAATAAATTCCTTTCTGATCAAAATTAGTACCTATAATTTAATTTATGAACAGGTTGTCAAAAACAACGGCCCTTCCTTCTGCAGTAAATCTACTTATAAATATATTGTGTGTCATGTTATTTTCAAAGATATTTAAATCTTGAGTTTTAGCCATGTATGTATGGCATAATATGACAGAATTACAGCCTAATTGTTGTTGTTAATGTGATACATTTGGTCAAAATGTGTATTATAAAATGGATGCATGTGCTTCCTCTCAGATACAAGTATTTGGTAATTGCATCTTCAATATTGGAAAAAGATTGACTAGAATAAAAGATTATGTATGTTACTTACTAATGGGGATGGCTCTGAAGTTCTTGTCTGAAACAAAAATAGTCATGTTCATTATAACACATAAAATTGATTAACATGTTATTTACTATATATACCCAATGTGTGAAATTTTTTTCTAAAACAATATTATGTTATATAGTTCATAAGAACAGCAAAACTTGTAAAGTGGAATTCCAAAGTAAGTAGTACACTTTTCAAAGTCCTACTACAGAATGCCTAATGTAAAGTGAACCTCTACAAGAGGAAGACCTCTAAATGAGGTACTATACTTTACTGTACAAGTTATTTCAAATGCAAAGAAAGAATATATTCAGTCTAAGGAGAATTAAGAACAAGACAACACACAATATCAGCACAAGACGATGGCAATATAGTACTTTTTTAAAGTGTGATAAAAACTTACTATTTTAGGTGAGTTTTTACATGACGGATGTTGAGTTCTATTGTAGTTTGTGCCTTTTATGAACTCATCATAGTCTTGGTAGTAACAAAGTGGGCCACATAATATATTTTGAAATGAGAAATAATACCTGGAATTGAAAGAAAATACATTCTTAGCTCCATATATCTGATTTATATGGATATATTATATTTTCCACAAGTAAATGAAACGAGACTATGAGATATTTCAGGATATGCTTTTTATCCCATAGTTACAGGAGCAATTTAGCATATACTGGTAGAAATAACATTTGAGATTTACATTGAATTTTTATATCATTAACAAGATGTTGTACCATATTATTATAGCCACTATTTTTTATGATTTATGACCTTATGGTATAAAGCATTGATGCTGGTAAGTGAAGAATGTGAATATAGCAAATTTCTCAAAGGAATATTGTATCATTTTGCATTAATTTATTTTTTCCAAATACAACAAGGCAACTTCCATGTTAGACCCATCCTAGCTACAGAGGTGCAGATTTGTAATGAACTACAAAAAATGATCCTACCCTAAATATTCTATTAGTGTTGGTGGTTTTGAGATTGCGTGTCGTTTCTGATCATCTGAGAGTCTATCGGGTGATTTGTCTCTGCCATCATGGAGAGTGAACGCCACTGTGATAACCTTCTGTGTGCTGATCATGAGTGGACTGAAATATGCAAACATATAATACATTTACTGCGACTGGATCATTATGTCAATAAGGTCTTTAAATGGAACTAATCGTATATCAATTAGACTCCCTTTCTGCTAAAAATGAGATTGAAAATTTATTGATTTTCACAAATCAAGGGTTGCTTCTTTTTTAAAATCAATTATCAACACAATGCCAAAATGGAAATTGAGATTTTAATTTGGTTCAAATGGCTTCTTGAAAAGAGTAATTGTGGACCTATAAAACATTATTTGTAAAGTATAACAAATGTTGGTAAAGAGGCAAACGAAGTTGCAGCCAAAAATGTTATTTTCACAAAAAAACAGCATTCAATTTGAAACATTGATACTTTGTATTTTATTGAAATTATGATTCACTGACATTTATTGGCCAATTACAATCAGTTTAATCTTTAAATACCCTTTGCACACGTTAGAAGCTATCATTAACTAAAGTAGTTATCATAAATTACGCAAAGTTAACATAAATTAAAAGAGATCTTTCGCTAAATTTTTATATATGAGATAACCTCTGAAAATCAATTAACATTGCGTCAAAAATGATGTCTAAATATCAGGTCAAAAGTTACAATAATAAATTGAATACTTAACATGGTTTAATTCACATGAAAATATGAGTGTAACGAAACCAGTCATTTCTAATGTAAATATCATATTGATGATAACACAAGATGATGATTGCTTGAATAAATATAACGCCTCAAAACATACATTCATCAGAAATAATAAAATGCAAATAAACTGACCAGGTAAAATATATTGAATTGCTGTTTAGAGTCTATAGAGACAGAAAATCACAAATTAAATAATATGTGAGAGTTCTAGGAAGAAACATGGAATACTGAGTGCCCATTTATTTCATACAGCATATTTTAATATCGATCCAATATTTATAAATCAAGCAAATAAAAAAAGAACTAGGCATCTAAAATGACTGCATGTTGTCATAACAATGAGATAAAATGTTTCCTTACCCTGTTATCTCAATGGTGATGGTGGCATCATAGTCTACAATCAGTCTGTAGATGTGTACGACACACAGGTGGCCCATGGCATAGAGGAACACAACCCTACAGAGCAAGAACATGAAAATTTTAGAAATATTGTTTCAATATGAGAATCTTGAGGGCTCTTATTTTTCCCTGTCATGCTGTCATGTCTATCTTCTAGAAATCCAAAGTTCTTTCTTCATTCCAAGGAAATTACACATTTCAACATTCATGATTCATGTGAATTATAGCAATACAGCAATGGTTGCATTTAACACCAGACAAATAGGGACAGTATGGACTTCTAAGATATTTTGATCCTGCTCAAGATGTAATAGATAGGTTCTTAAGGGGGAGCAACCCCACAAAAAATGTTGCGAATTATCATTATTTAATAATTGAGTGTTTAAAACAAGGTGCAGCTCTTGACAAATACCTTGACATTTATGTGAAATAAACAAAATTTTATCTTCTTTAATCAAAGGTTCAAATTAATATTTGGAGGTGTGTATAGTTAGTAGGAGTAATAAAGTAAATAAATGGGGATGGGTTCAAAATACATGTATCAGAAACAAAGATACAATGAGGTCACAAATAGAGAATCAGAATACCCTTTGCATTCGTTTGACTTCACTTCTTAAAAGAGAGCTTCGTCTTCACTCTTTCAAACTAAAATAAACCTGTGAACTCACCGCGCCAATCAGTGTTCGTCGGCCAAATTTGACCGACGTTCTATATATGGTCATTCCTTCTGACGTCATCGTTGAGCCCGGAATTGACCAATGACATGCGCATATTTAATTAGAACGCATTTGGCGTATGTTTGTTCAGGCTCGCTGAATGGTGGAAGAAAGGTCAGCGCATAGGTCAGAAGTGATTTATATTATTAGCCAAACTGTCACCGGTACCCGTCGTGGGGGCGGGGCTACTAAACTGTAATATGGTCTCTACTAGGCAGAGTGTAGTTTAACTAGACTCTGCACGCAGGGTAGAATCAGAACAAAGGGTTTTATACTAATTGCAATATATTGAACCCCTTAAACAGCTTTCCAATTAGTAATAAATGACCAATAGTTTATTTCTGAGCTTAAATCTCCATTGATATCTAGCTGAGGTATGGTTAAATATTAACTGACAACACTCATGTACTTATGGTGCTAATCACAGATGTAAACATTCATAACTGTCATATTCCAGATTCTATTATGGTATTCTACAGCTATATAAATATCTAGTTAGCCATTTTAATTTATCAGAGTCCCTCTTGTTATCTCCAGCCTCGCTTACTGAGATACTAGAGGATGTTGGACCCATAATGGTGGAAAGCCCAAGTTAATTAACCGGTTATTTATTCCACTTTGCCCCTTTTACCATTCTGATACTCATCACATCTTTCTGCCTTCAACTAGAAATATCAATCTATAGAGAAGCCACTAGAAGGCCATGATTTCTCATGATGCTCTTTTACAGATTTTGTTCTATTCAAATATTGAAATACATGAACAACTCACCGGGATTGAGTTGGGATGTAACATTTTTACATTCTCGATTAACTAAATATCATGACCTGGTCATCGTAACTAGGGATCACATGTTTAAGTACAATATATTTGTTGTAAAGGTTTAGGTGTTCAAGTTCATGGGATGTGACACGAGTATTTCTTTAACTCTGATTTCTACATATGAACATCATCCACAAAAAAGTTGGAGACGACAACTACTTCTGGTGGTGACATAAAAATGAGCGCAATACAAAGAGTTTAGATAAAGGTACTAATCTAAACCATAAATCTTAATAATAACTACTGTACTTCTACTTAATTTGGCGGATTTGTTGTTTTTAATATTTGGCGACTACTTAATTTGGCGGACTTGCAATATTTAAATGTGTATACCTGACCATACAAACTTATGATTGAAGTATGAAATATTGAATTGGTGGGCTACTTAATTTTTGCAGACTTTTGAGCTTTGTTTTAACTTACTTGCGAATGGCCTCTGGAGGAAAGTACAGGATAATAGCATAGGAAACCAAGGCCTGTGTAATAAGATGGAAGGAATGTCTGAAAGTAAATGTTGCAACAAGAGATATATATTATATTACAATTCATAATTCCATGATGGTTATAACTAATAATTCTATGATGACTGACTCATGTGAAATCAATACACCTTGAATTTATGTCATGTATATATGCTGACATCATTTGTATCACATGTTAACATCATCTGTATCACACGATGATACCATTTGTATCACATGATTCATTGCTCACATCGTCATTTTGAAAAAACTGTTTAAGAAAGCATATCTTATGAGTCTAACATAATAGAATATAAACACTATTTAATGATTTTTTATAAAATATTATCTTCCTTTTATTCCATCATTGAATATTTGGATATTGAAGTAAATGTACCTCATTTGAAATACTTGACTCTGATTGGTCAAACATAAGTCAATTGTTTTGACTATTGACCATGCAATTTGCATTGTCGTTGATACAAAATATGACATCATAATAATACTAAATCAGAAGGAAAGGCTACGGAACATGATGAAAATGAAAATTATGTGTTAAATAATACACAATATCTATACTTGTAGATATGAGATCATTTTAACTGAAATGTCTGTTTAGCACTGCTTGGATCAGTACCATCCTTGACATCCCCAAACCTCCCCTTTTCAAATGCAAATTCTGTTAAACAGACAATTAGTCTATATGGACCTTATATAAAGCTGGACTTACATGCCATGGCAGAACCAGAGGATGATGATGCCTCCACTGAAAGCTGTGATGTGGCGAGTGTCTGTGCTGACCTTACTATGGTGCAAGAATCGCCTGAACAGGAAGGCAAACACCAAACAAATCACCTGGCCAACGAGGAAGTTCAGCTAGAAATAAAAATATTTGACTTGGAATAAAACTGCTATCAAAACCATTATATAGTACTTTCTTTTCACAGTTTCCTTTTGTTTACACTGCCCATAATTTACCTGTAGATGCTCGGAGGAGGTAACTGACTGACTTAAATCAACTTCATGGTTGAGTGGACAAATATTAGTTAATGTACAACATATTACATATATATGTATGTGAATTTGTAGGGCCAAATAGACAGATTTTAGGTAAAATTAGCAATATTTGTGCAACACATGCAATTTTCAAGCTCCAACTGAAGATCTGAGTGCCCTATCCCCCTAAAAATAAAAATTTATAACCTCCCTTAAAACCTCAAGAGCTGCCTTAAGTCAAGACTGGAGTTGATAAAATAGAGAATCTAATGATCAAAAATAGAGAAATAACAAATTACATCTTGGAGTAAATGTAATTATAGTCTACCCTGGGCAAAATACTCAGATTTCAGAGTTTGAACTTTTGGAGTTTGAAACTCTCAAATGAGTAAGGTCTCATTTATTAAATACTCCATGTCCAATACTATAACATAAAAAGTTGGATTTAAAGGAGAAACAATAATTTGGATAAATATATATACCAAATAGGATAATATACTATTTTCATTGACATCATACTTGGTAAGTCTTAAACTATACTCATAATAATCGTAGATTCAGATCATGTTTGGTTATAGTTTTCAGTACCACAAGAACAAGATGAGTCACACATTTTTTATGATACCCCATTCGGAGTCTGGCACATAGAATCTATTTAACATGGTTAAGATTTCATATCAGTACAGTATACATTACCATTAATTATTGATGTATACTAGACTGATAACTGTATGAGGTGACATAAAGCCAGTCACTTGATTTGAAGGGGGAGGGGGACTGAACTTCTGTCAGACAGAATTCGCTGGGTGTTTCAGCAAAGTTTGACAATCTAAAGTCACTTATTTGAAAGTGAAAATACCTAAACCTGATCTTACACACAGTTGTTGTCTTTATTTAGTCAAAAAAAATTTGAAAATAAAATATTGCCAATCTTAACAATATGAGATCTATTGTCCAATGATTGCTAGAAGCTGTATAGCATTGTTTTATTAATTTATCTTTAATTTGGCTATTGTGACATATGTGATATTGAGCTCAGTAGAAGAGGTTTTTATAATCATAGTTCTCAAAGAAAACATGTTTCAAGGAACACTATGTCATGCATCAGACTGCAATACATATTGGTTGCTATTAAATGATGCTAATATCCACCATACAGGTTTAAAATTTCACCATCATATGAGGCACACAATTCATTTGACCAAACATCATAGTTAGTAAAGTACTCGTGCAGTCAGTAACCAATGGCTGGTTGTTTACCCATAGCCCTAATTTTCAATAATAACAATTAATTATGTTAGATCTGACAATAACCTGACCAATAACACGGGTAGTAACCAGACCTTGTGATATTGTGAGCTTGCCAAGGCAGTATAGGGGCTAATTTCTGTGTAAGAAAAATGCAAATTCTGCGCAGAAATTCAGCATGGAAAAGTCAAATTATGCGCCAAAATATGCATGAAATCCAGAATTTTGAGTTAAATTCTGCAAACAATCGCTTCATCTGAACTATCACGAAATTCTAGGAAATTCAAATTTCATGTCATTTTAGACGTAATCGTTAAGTGCAAAAGCCGGAAGTTGGAGATTTTAAACAGATTCCACATTTCCCCTTTGAAATCCTCATAACATAAGTTTCTGATGCTAAATGACTATCTAAGGTGTCAAGGTGAGTGAAAAATATGAGATGAGGTGGTTGAGTGTAAAAATCAAGTTTTACACAAAATTCTGTACCAAAAAAATTTGAAAAACAAATTTCTGCAATTTTTCTGCGGCAACACAGAATCACAGAATTCTAGTATCTGCGATTATGTACTAACGAGCTAAGCACCAGCAGTATGTTCAGCTCAACATGAATCCTCAAATGCTCATGGTATGTTGATGTCTGGTTAGTTTCCATGCAATGACATCATCCAATGAATGCATTCAACATCTGAAATTGTGGTGTGAATGTTTGACTTGCAAACTATTTGGGTTTGTGTGGAAAAAGATTTGAAGCACAAGAATCATAGGCCTGGGAACATGTATACAAAAAATTGAATCGAATGCACCAAGTAAAGCTTTTATGCCGAAGTGTGAACAACCAAAATCATGGAATTCATCGAACTCACATGGTAGTACATTGGAATAGAATGATAAAGACTATAGCAATGTCATGAATGGGAATTCATTTGAAAATATTCAGTATTTAGGAATTCCAAGTTGATGTTTCACACTCAACAAACTCAAACTGCAAAAATTTACTGAAGAATCGGACGGTTTTCTAGATAAAGGAGATTGTTTTCCACAATTAAAATACACCATGCACTAGAAGTAGTATTCATTATTGTAAATAACATAAATTCATACTTACTTCATCAATGGAGATGCCTATAAATTGGTTGTAACCTAGGAGAAACCGACTTCCTGGATAAATTGGACTCATCTTGAATTTGAAGAAGTGAATGATTATTTAAAATTTTCTTCATATTTCGCTACTAAAAATTAGATTGTGTTCACATTTTGCAAACACAAATTTGAAAGAATTATTGATATGGTTTTAAAGTAGATATTAAAGGAAAATGATATTATATTTTTAGAAAATATTCTAGAATATTCACTGCGGCCCTAGTTCCTTAAAAATGGCAGACGAATGGTTTGCAGGATCTCGCCTTTTACATCCTCTTGTAGCCGTCATAAACCTACCTCTTGATCAGGTACGTGGTAAATATTTTCTTGATATATCTATCAATATCTTGATACCCAATATATGTTTACTGATTTAAGATTTAGAATTTCTAATAAAAAAATTTAGAAATGAGAACATATGATGATGAACAACATCATGATCACTCATGCCACTGGCTGGTGTGGTTTATAAGGTGTGGGGTGGGTTATAGGCATCTACTGAACTAAGGGGCATAGCCAGGTATTACCAAGGGGGGTTCTCTTCACAATTAAGGAGGCCAGGTTCGAGCCGAAGGGTTGGGGTGGTTGCACGATGGAAATGGTTTCAAATTAGGAATATAACATGCGCATTCTCAAATAGCAAGTGTAAATGTGATATTTATTGTTCATGCAATAATAGTCATCTTTCTGAAAAGGGGGTTGTTTCTGGCGGGGGTTCATTTTTTAAGGAAAGGAGGATTGACACGAGCCCCACTAACCCCCTCTCACTACGCCTATGGAGCAGGTTATACTATCAGGCTACAAACTTGATTTGTAACTGTCAAGTTTAAATTGCCTGAAAGAACATAAAATGTAAAAATTGTTTTGATTTGATTGCTGAATGAACTGACGAGATTTAGTATTTGATTGGATAATTGAGATAATGGGTTGGCTGAGTTGACGAGCATGAAACTGATTCGACGGGTAACAGAAAATGAAATGACAGTGTGACAGGGACCAAATACTGAGATGACGACACTATTATTCACACTTTTGGCTTTTTTTATACCGCTTTATGATGGCAGATAATTTAGGCTTTTATTGTTGTAATTTGTAAGTTAAGGTCAGGGTGCATGATGGGAAATTTTCTGCATTCCTCAATTGAGTCACATGTTATTTTTCAAACAAGAATCACTCCTTCCCTTCATTGTCTATATCTTCCAGTTTTGCACAAAGAGTGCACTTCTGTGCCTAGAAAAGACTTGTGAGAAGAATGTTTTGATAAAGTGTATAAAAAACAAGAAAATTCAGTGAAAAAAATCAGAAAATTTTCAGAAATTTTTTTCACTGAATTTTCTCATTTTTTATACATTTTACAAAACAAACCTTCTCACAAGGCTTTTCTAGGCACAGAAGTGCATTCTTTGTGCAAACTTGGAAGATGTAGACAATGTGGGGAAGGAGTGATTCATGTTTGAAAAATAACATGTGACTCAATTGAGGAATGCAGAAAATTTCCCAACATGCACCCTGTCCTTAGTAGAAAAATTTCGTATTAACTGCGAAATTTTAATTGTGAAATCTAAGGAAATCACTTTTTGTCTTAAAAGTTCCAGTTTTTCAATTTTTAAAATATTCAATGTTCAGTGCTTCGGCTGGCTTTAGCCAAGTATTCAGTAAGGTGGGGGATAAAGCCATCCATTTAAAGATGAATCTCTAGCTGTTTATCTTTAAATGGAAATAGGAGTCGGGATTTACATTTTTAGTAGATTTACATTTTCTTTGCCTTGGACTTTGGAGGTTTTTACTGGATTGATCCCTAACTGAACATTTATGATTAATTGATTAGTGATTAGTAATAACCATCCGTTTTCTTAAACATAGTATTATAGTATGTGCCAAATCTCTTCCAAAGTGGCTTAGTTAGTCTAAACTGATGTTGAGGTAGATTACTAAGAAGTGGCCCATAGTCATTAAAGATTGGTTCATTGACTTTTCATTTTCACTTGTCTGCAGTTAATTAGGTGACACGAAAGGGCTAAACGGCTTGCCCCAAGGTGCAACCGTCAAAAATATGAGTTTGAAAAAAATCATGTTTTTCAAATAATAGCAGTGAGTAAATGAAATAGGGGGCATATTTGATATTGATATGTATGATAGTCTATTTGGGTGTGGTCATTTTTATTAAAAACAATAATGGTGAAGAATTATACATTACTGACCTTGAAATGCCATTTTAATTCAAAAGTAACTGTTGATAATATTCCTATTTTACTTATTCTATGTTTTCTAAATGTTTCAATTACCATTATGTTAGTTTTTGGCAAAGTAAATAATTATAGGGGTCACACAAGGATCCACTTTATTTAGAACTTTTTCAAATTTAGTGATGTTTTCAAAAAAATACCTAGTTTAACACAATTTTGTTTGTTAGATATTAAATAAAATGATGGTATTGTGTTTGTTTCATTGTTTCAACTAAAAATCACAATTCATTGCTCTTGCTCTTAGAGCTGCAGGGCATATACCAGTTAAAAAAGTGTTCAATAATGTTGATCCTTGTGTGAGCCCTATGATTATTTACTTTGCCAAAAATGAATATAACGATTATTCAGATATATAAAAATCCTTTAATTAGGAATACAATGATTGACTTTTGAATAAAAAGGCATTATACATGTGCATATATAATATGTAGTTGTTGCAGTAAAATTACCAAACCAAAGTGGACTATCTTTCCAAATATTAATAGCAAATGGGCCTTCTATTTGCATTTTACTGAAATTATTTGTAACAAAAGTTTATTGTGATAAAGCAGGCAGTGATTTTGATACTTTTTTAGCTTGGAGACAGTGATCTAGTCGAGACAACATCTTGTAGTAGTGGGTGTAACAGTGATGAGGCAGGAATTGATTTTATAAATGCAACTTTTGACAATTCCATTATTGATGGTTTATCTAACAGTTAGCCATTTTGTCCAACATTCTGCTTGTACGCCAAATTAAAAGATACTGATTTGCATCACATCAAATTTGATTTGTTCACCGATGTTTGTCAGAGTGATACATGTAGCAGCTGCACTCGACTGATATGCAGCAAGATACTTGTATATGTGAGCTTTCATTGCAACATTTACATTTAGAACAGTTACAATTTTACTTAGTCTGATAGAAAATTAAATAATTGAAGTATATTTCTTTGAGTTTATTCAATTTGAACATTACTTTTACAATACAGATACCTTCGTTTTGAAACATTAGCAGCAAACGGTCAGTTTTCAACTTTGAATATTTCATTTTTGTTCATAAAAAGTGTATTCTACAAAAGCCAAGGTCATTTCAAGGTAAAATGTCAATATTTAGGTAGTTGGCTTTTTAAGACACCTGACCCTCCACAACCAATGATTAGGTGACCTGAAGACAAGGTCTGAATAGATCAAGGTTATTTTAAGGTCAATATCTAGCAAGTTGACATGAGAACAATTGTGACCTTTGGCGACCAATGATAAGGTGATTTCAAGGTAATTTCAAGGTCAAAGGTCAATATCTAGGTCATAGGTAGTTGGCTACTGTGGGTCTTCAGTAACATTTGATCACCAAAGATAAAGTGACCTACGGTCAATGTCACTGTTTATGGCTCAAGGTCATCTCAAGGTCAGAGGTCAATATCTGAATATTTGGCATTTTGGGGATGCTGCTTCATGTGAGGACCCATTGATATGTGTTCTGAGGTCAAGGTCATTCATACAAGGTCAAAATCTCTGTATTTGGCGTTTTGAGGCCCTGGGGGCTGCTATGACCCTTTGCAACTCATGCTAAGGTGACATGAGGTCAATTTATAATAAGGTCAAAGGTCAATATCTAGGTAGTTGGCTCGTTTGAGGCTATACCGACATTTGATCACCAATGATAAAGTGACCTGAGATCAGTGTCATTGTTATAGGTCAGGGTCAAAGATCAATATCTAAATATTTGGCGTTTTGGGGTGGCTTGACTTGACTCCATTGAAACGTGACCTAGGGTCAAGGTCAATCTAAGGTCAAATTTCAATATCTTAGTGTTTGGTGTTTTAAGGCCACAGGGGTTGCTGTCGTGATGTGGCCCTTGGCGACTCATGATAAGGTGGCATGAGGCAGTCATCATTTAATGGTTCAATTTAAGATTGTCTCAAGGTCAATATCTAGGTATTGGTGTTTCAAGGTACTCGGGGGATGCTGTGACGCTTGGTGACACATTACAATGGTGACACATTTCAATTGACATTTCAAAAGTAATAGTCGATCATTTCTGTTTTATCATGTTAATTTTAATAAAATTTTCCAATTTGAAGTAAAATTATAACAGAAGAGAGGTTATCCAAATGTGAGGTCATATTACTGACTGCACTCCGTAATCTTCAGTCAAGCTGACGAAGTTTTTCATGAAAGAGTTACTTTCTGTTGTGGTTCTAAATTGAATAAGTATAAGCAGGTGCGTTTTCAAAAATGCAAATTTAAAGCAAATTTCGCAAAATTTCGTTATTGATATGTAGAGATAGTCCATTAGGGTATGGTTATTCTCTTAAAAACAATTATGGTACAAAGGACCTTATACACCCTCCATTGGGATCTCCCCATGGGAAAAAAATAATTCATCTGATTTTTCAAAATGAGTATTCTGCTTCAATTATTACATTTATATGCACACTAGTATCCTGTTGACCTATATCCAGCACTGTATTGATGTATAGGCCACTTATTAGGGTCATAATTCAATCATGAAGTGTAGAGGCATAGATTCCAAACCAGGAAGTATTTTTGTGTCTGTCAAAATCCATTTACATCCTACACATCCCTGCATCTTATCCAAATATGTTACTACATAATGAAATATAATAGTAAAATCTTTGTATGACATTTGATAAGTGTAAAAGTTTTTGGAGCATTTTTCTATTTCCATTTTGTAGGGAAAAAATTGATGAAAAATGTACAATCTTTTAATTTTAAGTATGACCTGAATCGATTGCAAACTTCATATTTGCACATATGATGAGATAAACAATTTGTGTCGTATTGTGAAATTATTAAGTTTGCAATCGATTCAGGTCATAGTGTATTTTTGGTATTTCTGTGATAATCAATGGAAACCAATGGCCTCTATTGGGATCTGCTGATATCCTCATGTTAAGTCAATGGTGCACAGCCCCATGTAAGTCAATACAACCTTACTGAACGAAATGATCCCTATCTCAGCTTATGTGTGTCCGAGCACTTTAATATTTTCCAAAGTATTATATGACATTTTATTCTTCATGTTACACCTACGAATGATTCATTTTGACCATAGGGATATTTGCCAATAATCGCACCATGTCCTTTGGTACTTCTGACTATATAATGCTTTTTTATCCAAAAGTCAATTATATTATTCTTATTTTGACTATCAAATGATTTTCATATATCCGAATAACCATTATATTAGTTTTTGGCAAAGTAAATAATAGTAGGGATCACACAAGGATCAACTGTATTTAAGATTAGTCATACTGGTATATGCCCTGCCGCTCTAAGATCAAGAGCAATGAATTGTGATTTTTCAGTTGAAACAGGGAAACAAACACATTATCATTATTTTGTTTAACATTTAACAAATAATTTTCTGTTAAACGTAGTAATTTTTCAAAACATCACTAAATATGAAAAAGGTGTAAATAAAGTGGATCCTTGTGTGAGCCCCATTATAATTTACTTTGACAAAAATGAATATAATGGTAAGTGTAATATATAGAAAACATTGAATAGGTAAAATAGGAATATAATTAATAACAACTGTGACTTTTGCATTAAAATGGCATTTTAAGGTCAGAAATGTATAATTCTTCAATATTATTGTTTTTAATAAAAATGACCACACCCAAATGGACTATCATACATATCAATATCAAATCTGCCTCCTATTTCATATACTCACTGCTATTATTTGAAAAAAAAAGATTTTTGTCAAACTCATCTTTTTGCCGGTTGCACCTTGGGGCAAACCGTTTAGCCCTTTCGTGTCACTTTTTTGAGTGCAGACAAGTAAAAATGAATAGTCAATGAACCAATCTATAATGACTATGGGTCAAATCATAGTAACCTACCTCAACATCAGTTAATGGGATTTTCTGGAGTTTTGGCGCACACTATACCAATACTTATTCAACAAAAACAATTTTTATTTTTTTTTATTTGTACAGGTCAATTTCATATCATGTCAGCTGGTATCGTTGTTGCTGGCTTATGTCTACAGAACATCTTTTGCGGCCGATAAAACCAGCCCCACTATACGCCATGCCATCAGCTTCCCAATTGGCCTTGCCATGGCATATTTCTGCTTTGGAAAGTAAGTATTGTAGTATTAGGGTGCTTTATAGCATACAATTTTATGGTGAACCAGTTGACTAATTTTCTTATATCTAGCATCCTCCGAACACAGGCCTCGAGAACTCGTACCTCTGAAGAAAGAAGGAATGTAGTGGATGCTGCGTTCGAAGGATGATATCTAGGTGACCTTGAGTTTATTTGATATTAAGTCAATTGGTCTTGGGACTACAGGCCCGTAGCCAGGATTTGCCAAGGGGGGGTTCATTTTTCAAAAATTTCCAGGGGGGGTTCACATTTGACAATTTTGGCCCAAATATGGCTAAAATCACTTGAGAAGTGCTCAAAATGGTGAAAAACTGCATGATTTTGAAAGAATTTTTGGCCAGGGGGGGGGTTCGCCCGAACCCTGCGAACCCCCCCTGGCTACGGGCCTGGACTATGTGAAGTGTTCCACTTTACAGGTTGTACTGGAGGTGTAATGTTTTAATTAACAATTTAATATATAGATTTACTCCACTTTTTCATAAATATCCAGCATTTGGAACAAAATGTGATGCAATGTGATGCTTTTAAGTTTCTATTTTTATGTCCTAAATGATAAAAGTAGACAAAATCTAAATGGTAGAAAATGGAGTTATGTTGAGTAAAACCACTATGGAATCTGATATATGGTCTTCTTGATACCATATAATGTACCATATACAGGGCTTTCACTAGAATTTTTCACAACAGGCTAAATAAATGAAAACAACATGCAAAATTAATGGAAATCATATAAATTTAACATGGAAAAGTTGAAAAATCCCTAAAAACAACAGGCGATTTTATAAAACAACCGGTGAAAATTGCCTGTTGCCTGCTGCTAATGAAACCCCTGATGTACCATATAACATATATGCATTATATTTTCAGTCAAACTATTCACCTACTTCTCCAAGCTGGAATATGTGTTGGTGTGATGACTTACATAAAGAGCAAAGAGATGCCATTCATTGTACTTGTGATAGCCATGTCACACCTGTCCATTATGCACATATACAGGGTTTTATTTGACTATGGAAACTTTACACTTGATATTTCTGGGTGAGTTGATCAATCTTTGCTTCTTGTTATGTAGAGAAACATGGTATGGACCTGTTTTACCAGTATATTATGAAACTCTCAGATCCCTCTCATTTGCCAACAAAATGTCATTCTTAAAAACCGTAGATACTTAATTTACATGAACTTTATATGTAATCCAGAATTTATGAAGACTTACATTATGATTTTGAATGTTAACCATTATGAATATTATGTTATTATGCACAATCACCAATTTTATTGATACATGGATTTAAAAGTATGATATAATATTTGTAAAGGAAATTTATGACACAAATTGTCTCTGTTGTTTTCAGTCCACTTATGATTCAAACACAGAAGTTGACTGTTCTTGCATTTGAATTGTATGATGGCAGAAGAGAGGAAAGTAAACTCAAACCAGAACAGAAAGAAAAACAAGTCAAGTAAGAGAATAAGATATTTATGTCATTTAATGCAATTACATCAGAGTTTAAAGGCCTTTTCAATATACAACCATCCCCTTTCTAGTAAGGGCTTTTTAGAGAATATGTGACTAAGAATTAATCCAAAATGAGAAACAAACATGTTGAACATTTAATGAAATGTATGATCATAATAAGTGCAACAATGAAAGTTCATTGTCTCATGTTTATTTTGTACTCTGTCTGTATAATGAAAAACTATTGATCTTTAATGTCAGATGATTAATAACATCTATTCTTGATATGGCTATGTCTTATCACTTTATTGAAAACTAACATCTGCTATTGTTTCATTTTTGTTTACTTTCAATAGACTAGATGCGAGTAGAAATAATCTTGATTTACATCATTAAAAGTTCAGAATTCAGTCAAAGTGATATCATGTTTGAAATCTACATGTAAAATTACATCTTGAAATATGGTTTCAAAAACTGTTTATCAAGTTTGAAGATTTAATTTTCCTTTACTGGACATATTTAAATTTATAGAATTATCATATACATAAGGGTACATACATACATAAAACTGAAGAACTAAAACTGATGAATATTCAAGTTTAAGGGAACTTTTTAATACCCAGCTGTGTTATTTACCCCAAATCAGCCACTAGGTGGTGAAAATGATAACTACTCGCATCATGGTAATTGAGTTTAAACATATTTATGCTTTCTTCAAGTTAGTACTTCGGTTGCACTGATCAAATGATCAATTTATTATCCCAGTGAACAAAGTTGAATAGGGAAGTCCTTTCCATCCATCAGTCTGTCCATCCATCTGGAAAATAGCTGAAATACCACTGAATGGATTTTCTTCAAATTTGGGGGAAAGATGTACACTAGCAAAGTCTTGGTCAAAAATATTTTCAAGATGGTCACTGCTTTGAAAATGGCTGGAATGTTTGAGAAAATCAAAATTTCTCATTTCAAACCAACTGTTTGAACTGACTGAAGTAACTGTTGAAATTTTGGACATGTTTCCGTATCTTGTTATTTTCAAAGCGAGCAGTTATGATTATTTTGATAAAATATGTTTTGTTTGGTGGAATCTGTTACTCTGGGAGTTCCTGTTTTTATACATTGAAGTTTCAGACATTTAGAGTTATTGTCTACTTGCAGGGCACTACCCAGTTTATTAGAGGTGTGCGGCTATTTATTTAACTTCCACGGGATACTTGTTGGCCCAATGGTGTTCTTTACAGACTATATGGCATTTATAGATGGCTCAAACTATACCAATGCTCAGAAATCTCAAATTGTAAGTACAACTGTTAATTACATACGTAGTGGTCCTTTTATAGCACACTTATAAGGGAAACAATCCAACAGTCTGCTTCATAATGCAAGCAAATGGTGACATATTGTTGTAGTTTTAAATTTTTGTGGCAGCTAGCATTTGGCATCTGTAACAAATGGCAGGTGGTGACATCATGCATGTAAATGTCTTGTAATTACTTCACATGTGCCAATATTAGTGATATTACACACTTTCTGGACCACGCTTTGTCCATTGATCGTGCACATACATGTATATTGTACATCATATTCATATTGTTAACTGTATATTTTTAGGACTCTGATAGGTCGGAAAGTACCCCCTCTCCAGGCAGCCAGGTCATTAAGAAACTAGTCACTGCAATAATCTGTGCTCTCTGCTTCATGTTCATATTACCAATGTTTCCACCTGATAGCTTGATAAGTAAGTAAAAACATTTCTTAACTTTCCATTGACTAGACTTTCCACTGAAAAATGACACACATTTATTTATTATTTGCACATAATGGATGAACTCGTTGCCTCTTCTCTTAAAATAGACTTGAAGATTCACTGATTTTAAATTGAAACGTCACTCAGGAGTAAAAATCAGAGAACACGTACACAAACAAAAAAATGAAGTGAACTTTCACCCTGCTCCAAACATGATTAAAAATTAGGTATACATTGTATTTGGTATTACAGCGACATATCGACTTCGTCCCTAAGATTGACTTTGGGTGTCTTGAATATTTCTATATCTAAATATTATCTTAGCATATACATTTAACACTTTTAGTCATGTATGTCTTGTTACAGCACCAGAGTTCCAAGCCAAACCTCTACTGAGTAAGCTGTTGTATCTTTATGTGTGTATGGCTATAGTAAGAACCAGATACTACTTTGCCTGGAGTCTGAGTAAGTTTTTAAACTATTGCATTATTACTGCATCTTAACCTATTCTCTAACAAAAACATAGGAGATGTTTCCTTTAACTGAGAAACATGCCCTCTGGAGTGAAAGTCTTATTTTAGCTCTGATTTGTTCAAATAATGGTGCAAAGTGTGAAACTTTAAAAATATAACAAAATTATGTGATTACCATTATTTGAATAGGTGCAACATTACCTCTCATTTAACATTTTTGATGATAATGTATATATGTTAAAATGACCTGACATTACCACAGTCATGCTCTTTCAGAATAATTCTCAATATTTAAGATAACTTTAAGTTTGATAACTGAAGATTCCTATGTAGTACTAACCTTAAAAATAAACAAAGTTTCATATCTTCCTGATACAAATGTTTCTTTCGTCAGTGACTTGATAATGGTGGATTTCCCGCCACAGCAGCTGTCCTTTAGTTAATTTTTAAGGATTCTTCAGTTGTTATTGTCAGAACTCTCAGATGAACATCTTTGGGATAACTTGATATTTATTTGCTAACTTGCAGCTGAGGCTATTAATACAAATGCCGGTCTAGGATTCAATGGTTATGATGAAGCAGGTGATGCAAAGTGGAACCTTGCAACTAATGCCAACATAGCAGGTGTAGAGGTATGTTAAAACTATTTATCGACACTACAGTCTGTATATGGCTTTAGCTCTGTCTCGTATACTTATTTCTATGTCACCACCAAAAAGTGGTGACATATTGTTATAGTTTTTTGTGACGACGGGTGTTAGTTGGTGGTTGGCAGTTGGTGGTTGGCATTGGCATCTGTAACAAATTCTTACAACTTCCAATAACTTAACAAATACTGTTTAGACTGACTTCAATTTTTTCAAAATCATCTTCATGTTTTCAGAAGTTCAAATCTGACTTTATATTTAAGATTTTTTCAACTTGCTTCAAATTGACCAATTTTTTTCAAAATCATCTACAAGTTATCAGAAGTTCAAAGGATGTGTCCGGGTATATGCCCTTTTGGTCCCTCAGTCAAATGTATGTTAAATATGTTTTTTATTACTGGCCTAGTTATATTTGATAAGTATATTTACTTTTTCACGAGTTTTGATGCATAATTAACCCCCTGCTAAGAGTCAGAATAAGAATCTTAACAAAAAAAATAGTCATTATCATAGAAAAAAAACATCAATGGCAACATGTATGACTTACAAAGAAGAACTAACTTAAGACCCATGAAGAATTTAAAAGAAAATCATATTTTTGAAATATATTCAAGGATTACATTTTTTTCAAATTTTTGAATTTCCCGCCAGTTTAATTTGAAGGGGGAAAAACAAGATGGCTGCCATTTGATGTAAGAAATATCAGAAAAAAAGTTGCTTCACTTTTAGTTTTCACAATGAGCACAGTTTTCCGGTTTAGGTTTTTTGACTGATTCTGACTCTTCATCACCAGGGTCATGTATAGAGATTATAAAATTGAAACCGGAATGTTGTGCTCAGCATGAATTTGACTGAAATATGTGTAACTTCACCAACACAATTGAAGTCTCAAAACTGGATGCTCAGTAACTTTGAGTGACTATAATCCCTTGATTACCCAGATAAACACCAATTCATTTATCCAGAAATGCCATTCAATGTCTATACAAAGAAAGTAAGCAATGTTTTGGAGGATATGTTTCAAACCTTTTGCATAAATAATTCATTTAATATTTGCCATTGATTTTTTTCAATTCTGACAAAGTGATATGCACTGTCTTTGATGCCAATATTCTTCATTAATTGTGATACAAATTGATATTTTTGTACTCTCAGAAGAAGGATAAGATATTGAAGTTTAATAATATGTGTGATTGAGTTGGTTTTTCAGACATTACAATTTTCAATATTTTCTAAGTCGATACCCAGACTCATTCCCAGACTCATCCTTTGACTTTAAATTTGAGATTTTGGCAGGTGGTGACATTTTGCATGTTTATGCCTTGTTCTATCATGACTGTTCATATTGTTTCTCCGTTGTTATTGTTGTGTTTAGCTGGGCACCAGTCTTAAAGTGATTCTTGACAACTGGAACATCACTACAACCCAGTGGCTGAGATTTGTAGTTTATGAGAGGGTCAAAGTCCAAAAGACGCTCCTAGTCTTTGCCGTCAGTGCATTCTGGCATGGCTTCTATCCTGGCTATTACTTCACATTTGGCGGAGGAGCATTCCTTATCATGGCAGCTAGAAAGGTAAGAAAATAAAAATATTAACATAATGTGTACCCATGTAAAGTTAGTAATATAAGTCAAAACATATTCATGAAATAAATAATTCAGATATTAATTTAATTTATTCATAAACATGTATTTTAAGCATCTAGGATAAAATGAATTAAAAATTTTATATGATAAATATTACAGTTTTAAATGATATCTTATAGTTAGCTAAATACAAAATTGAATTTACCTATAAATGTACATTTATTTATTTAGTAATCATACACTTATTATTAATTTGATATTAATTTTAAATATAAAACATCAAAAATACACATGTTGTTAACTATGATATATGAGAAGTGAGAATATACTGTATTTACCAACATTTGGTGATAGTAGCTTCTATAATTTATTTACTCTACAGGGTGGGCCATTAAATTTGTCACTTTTTAGAAATTGCTCCCTATTTATTTCTTTGTTCATTTATTTATAGTAGCCCTAGCATATAATGGACCATTAGAAAGATATGTCAATTAGCCATAAAATGATATACTGTTTGTACCACATAGTTTAATATTGTTGATTATAGTGTTTTGTACCACAAGGACATTTGATTTCACATACTCAAAATAAATTTAGATCTCCCTTAGAATAATAAGTATAATTTGTCCACCATTAGTCATTCATTTACATATTTTTGTTTTTTATCATGTTGATTTTCAAATTGCGTGGATGATATATCCAATAGGATGTAGTCATCTTTAATGTTGTTTTTACAAGAACAAAATTGGTCATCAAACAGGTGTGTTTTATGCATTTATTCATCACAATCTAATTTGACACCACTCAGCATACCATTAGAAGGCTATTATTACCATGTTATACATTGTATATCCTTTTTACCAGAAAGAAATTGTTCTTCAAACAACTGAGAAATCAACAACAACAACTGAGAAATCAAATGTAGTATGAATAAAAAATTGTGGCTATAACAAATTTTAACGTCATAGGCCAGAAATCTTATTTGCATAATTCACTCAAGTTTGGTCTGTCTTGTAGAATTTTAAATTTTAAAAACCAAAATAAACAAAATTCAAAAAAATCAAATTTTGTAGCAAAATAAAACTCTCACCTTCAAATATACATACAAGCAACCCATTATTCCTCAACAAACCTGCCTTTGTCGTGTCGTGCATTGATTTGATCATAGATTTTTTGCATCCATAAATGTACAAATGTGCCAAATGAAGATATCACAATTTTCAATTAGTTCCTTCTAGAATACACTGAACAAATCAAAATCCCATACCCCGGGTCAATACTGCGTGCCAAATTCTCAAACCTTCCCCATAGGGGGTTTCATGCAAACCTTTGAATGATGCATTAAATTCTTATTGTATGAAACATATAAACCTTTATTAAATTGTCTGACTAGGGATTTATTTATTGGCCCACCCTTTATGTTCTTTCTTATTGTTTTGGCACAATTGGGATCTCTGCATGATTGTTATGTCATGAATTTCATGTTATAGATACGACGAATTGTCCGGCCACAATTTCAGACTTCGGAAAGTCTGAAGGTTGTTTATGACATCATCACACTGACTTTTGCTCAGTTGAGCTTGAGTTATTGTGTATTCTGTTTCCTAACATTAGAGTTTTGGTCTACCATGAACGTGTACAGGTATATATTTGGGCTCCATACTTTACACCTTGGTCTGTCATAAGTGCTATGAGACCAGTACTGGTTTTGGTTTTAGACTGGTTTTCTCCACAATGTTAAATCATGGAACATTCAGTTTGCCTATTGTACATCAGACCTCCATACATGTGCACTGATAAGTGACACTGGCTGAATTCCAGAACATTTCATTACTGTAGATATTTTAATTCAAAAAAGGCTTGTACTTAAGAGAAAGGCAAATAATTGGTCCAAAATTTATCATTTACCACATATAAGATCACTTCACTTAGCATGAACGTAGTTCCTTCTTGCATCTAGTTGTGTAGTCATGTTATTTTATCGCATCCTTTGGGTGCTATATTGTGATCAGTTTGTTGAGTAAATGGGTGGGTGGGTGAGTGGGCATCCTACTTTAGTTACATTTTTTAAGGCGAACCATTTGACAGGTTGATTTCAAATTTTCAGCGTTGATTCTTTTTGTAAATTTTGGGGTTTTCTATGTGAATGCTAATGGCGTCCATTTTGGATTCTCATCCTAAATCTTGTACACATCTTGTCTACATATTTCAAGCAAAAAAGTTTGATCTGAATTTTAATGGATGCTTTTTGGTTTGAATATTTAGAACTGCTCAGTTTTTGTCATTTCTTGGTTAATGTTAAGGCGGCGATTTTGGACTTTCCATTCCTTAAAGTATCTATTCTACTCAAGGGTGCGATACTGTTCACCCTGTGTTGTGTTTTATGATCATGGCTATATGTGTGAAGTGCATATACAGTAATACCAATATATAATAGTCTTGCATCCAGTCCCTTTGTTGTATCTCTCCCTTGTGTGAGATTGAGAATTGTGGAGAGGGGCAACACTGGGGCTCTATGCAAAACTAACATAATGATTTGACAATTTGGTGAAATATGACACAAATTGGTGTTTAGAATTGCTTCCTCTGTCAATATGTGATGAGGCTGAGTAGAAATGATTCATCAGTCTGTTATCACACAAGATTAATTATATACAAATCTTTTGCACCCTGAGTGGCGTGTCTGAATCTTGCTTTACTGTTGTGAAATAAGTACCGATCTCTTTGAATGGTTGCCATTTTTTCAGTATTCACTTAGACTCACCACCATGTGGAATCAGCGGCTGTTCCACTGTCCTATAGGAGGAGTGGTTCTATTCAGAAGATTAAAATGTATACAGCTGTATAATATAATATCTATATAATATATTTTCTAGGTTTTAGAGCATCCAGATTTTATTTAAAATCAAATTAATCCAGGGTTGTGTGTTTAAGTGTACTGTTTTTATTGAAATATAAAGTAAATTCAGCCTGGGAAATGGCACTATTCCCCACATTATACCTCACTTCATGTTTCAAACTAACTTCTACACAATCTTTTTATCATACCACTGGTGAAATATTGGTGTCATGTTGGATTTTTAAATTTTTAGCCCTCATAAAGGATACCAAATTTTACATGTGATTAACTTTTGGGGGATATCTTGTTTGCTGGCGGTCATTTTGGAACTTTTTTTTGATAAAACTTGTCATCCCGATTCCAAGAAAACCACTCATTAGATTCTTTCTTCATTCTTCAAATCATTCATTCATTCTTCAAATTCTTTCACATGATAGAGAATTCCAAATTCTAGAATTGATTATTTTTGGATGGCCTCATGTTTTGGTGGTATGATTTCATTCATCTCATGGGCCTTGTTAAATTTCACTTTTTAAACAATCTGTTTCATCAGCAAGGGTTGATGGGGGGGGGGGGGGTCATCACCATCATTTTCATGGTGGAAAGGGGAGGGGTGATCAAGCAGAGATCTAAATGCATGTAGAGTTTGGGATTTTTGAGATGACCCATTATGTAGAAGATCAAGACCTTAATAGATTCCCATTATACTTCGTCAGCATCATGGGAAGGGATCTTTTAATCAGATCATCTTCCGATCATGCGAGTTCAGAATAATTTTCCTTCCCCCTGCAGCAATCATATAGAATTATCCCCAATGTACCCTATCACATGGCAAAATTGCAGAACTTGTATATACTTAAATATTCAGCATGCTTGCATTGAATGGGCCTTCTGCAAACCCCTATTGGCACTTGCACAGTTTCTATTACACCTCTGTCTTGCATCAAGTCTCTTTCAAGTCTGCCCTATTATAGATTTCCCCCTTATGTAGAAGGTGTGTATCTAAGTAGTGGGGGGAGGGGCAACATGGGCTTGATACAAGACTTATGAAGAGATAACTATAAGTGTTCTTTTTATCTTAGAACTTTCCCATTTAATTGATTGATGCAAGGGGGAAGTTATTCTTGATGTTATTGAGATTGGCTTTTAACATAATGTCATGAATCTTTGCTTGTAGTTTCAGTCTCACCAGAATGCTTGTATTTAGCACTAATCAATCTAATGTATAATCTTCCATGTATAATTTCAGTCATTTAGAGAAAGAAGGGCTCAGTTTAAACACCTCTCATCAGTCTTTCCCTCTTGTTCAGTTCCATGGCTTAAGGCCTCTTGTCATAAATTGGCAGGGCCTTGTGTTATTACTATGGGTCTTATGTTCAACGGAGGCTACATTAATCATCTTATCATATATCCAAAAAAGCTAAGCACAAAGTTACATAATGCAAACATGAAGTCATATAGGTCCTAACCAAAAGTTACTCTGCTTTTGAGATGCAACAAGCTTATACATATACAGATACCTCTTGTGTTACACTATAGGCCTTGTGTGATACTTGTATGCCTTGTGTCATAACTAAAGGCCTTATAAGTGTATTCAGGCACATATTGACCCTAGGAACATGTTCCAAGCACCAGGCAAATGTAATCTGTAAAAAAGACAATGTTAAAACATTTGAAAATGAATTTGTATGTATGCACATCAACCTACCACATCTAGTTCTCATCTTTCTTTTGCATCTTCCTACTCCTTTATATGTCACAAACAACAAACAAGTGGTGACATATTGTTACAGCAACTGTTGTTGTGTGACCAGCATTCAGTATCTGCAACATATTGTTACACTTCTATAACCATTTGCTATAACATACCAGGTTATGACATTTTTTCATGTTAATATGTTGTTATGTTCATTTTGTGGTGTTTTTGTTTTTTTATTTTATTTAAATACTATTGTTCAATTTTCCTTTGTAGCACCCTTTCCGAATGGACATTTGATTTTGCACAGTTGCATCATGTATATTTTTATTTTAAAAATCTAAAATACTAAAGTGGATATTTTCTAGATTCGCCGGTCGGTTCGCCATAGATTTCAAAGTAGCCCGCAGATGGCGTTGTTCTATGACATTATCACTACTATAACATCATTCATGGCCCTGGCGTATATAGGGATGCCATTTGTAGTATTGGAGTTTATGGGAAGCTTATATGTGTACAGGTATTGTTTGTATGAACTACTATTACCTACACTACACAGGGTCTCGCTAGCTAATTAAAGGGTTGTGTCTTGTTTAGATTATTTACAGTATCAATGTTTATATTTACTACCTTGTTTCAATCACATTATTGCACCAAAATGGCAGTATATACAATTTATGCCTTGTTTTGTTCAGTTCATAACAAGCAGATCACATCGTCAGTCACATTTGATCTACAGCAACCATACAGCGGCTGTGACTTCCTAAAATCGAGCGAAATATGCAACATAAAATATATAGGGATTCAATACAATGTAGATTTTCTATATCGATTTTGTGAAGCTAGCCGCAGTACACCCACTGTTGAGCTAATTTGACTGAGGCTTTTACTCTTGTTTTGGATGACATCTAAACCCTTGGATGACTTCTAAACTCTAAGTTCAATTGACTTAATTTTGATTTCCACTCCATTGGTGCGATAATTTGCTGTCTGTTTATGCTCAGCTTAAACGGGTATTTTGTAAAAACTTAGACAGAACAAGGTAGTTTTTCATTTAGTTTTTTTTGTATCCTAATCCATGCTTTTTCTGTTCATTTTGTGGGGGTAATAAACCATTTTTGACCTATCACCTATCCAAGTGTTGACTGATGAAATTATATCTGAATACTGTAAAACGAGACCAAACATGAGGTTTTCAGGGGGGGGGGTATCATTAACTGATTATTAATCCAATCACTAATATTTGAATTCCTTTATTCCTTTAACTTTTCATTTCATTTCGTTTAGTTTTTTTGTTTCCTTATCCATGCTTTTTCTGTTCAGTTTTTGGGGGTAATAAACCATACTTAACCTATCCAGAAATTGGCTGTTGAAATAATATTTCATAACTGTAAACCGAGACCAAAGTTGAGATTTTCAGAGAGAAATCATTTTACCTGTCAATATTTATAAATTTTTAATATAACTTTTAACTTTATATAACTTTTATCGCTTGTCCAAATTAGTCCATATTTTGAATGATTTTGCTTTATGGCTGCCATGTGCATAGTCACTTTTATATTGAAGTTTTTTTCAAAAATGTTTTAAAATTCAAATTAGCCTCCATTTTATATTGAAATGTATGATGTTTTTAATTTAAAGGTCGCATCCAAAGTTTGAAAATATGTTTTCACAATTCATTTATTTACTATTGTTCTTGACTTTAAAAGTTATTTGTGAGATATTTGAAAAAATTGTTTTTAAGATAAAGTTGTCAGATTTTTATTTCTCAAATATTCATATTTCCCGCCCTTTTTCAAATAATCTTTTTTAGTCGTCAAATATTCTACTCTACAGTGCAAAATACATTATCTTTTTAACACCATTGTGAAAATTGAACAAAGGACGTACTATTTCAATAATAAAATGTCATATTATATGTGCCACTTAGATGTTTTAGCATTCTGCATTCTGAGTGACATAATGATGATTTTCTAACGAGGTTGAAAGAAGAATAGATACATCTTGAACCACTTTCATGCATGGATGAGTTAATTTCTCGCTTATTTATGAACCAATTTTCTTTTTTTCCATTTTTTAGACCAAAACATGTGATGACAAATGCTTAGTCTTGGTATGGATTATAGCTTATTGATGAGTGACCTCTAAAATTTTATTTTAAAAAAGCTCATTTTCGAGCAAAAAGTCCTTCAAAAACCACTTTTTCCTAAAAAGAATTTGAAACATTGGATAAGACTTCAATGTAAGCCAGAGTGGTTTAAACTTTACATGGGGCCTTTAAATATTATTCCATAGATTAATACATTTGAGGCAATTTTGAATTGTGGTACGTGCCACCCACTTTCATGTAGCACCACTCACGTGTGATGTAACACCGCTCATTTTAATCTACAGCGGTACTAACATGGACATGGGGGTAAAAGGCCTGGGTTTATTAAAGATTGGAACAGTGTTTATGTTCCAATGCAATGATGAAAGTATGTTAGGGACATATCTGTCTGCCTATCCATTCATTTCATCCATATTTCTGGTAGAGAAAGAATTATCTGCAAAACACACATTTTTACCACCACTTTAATAAGCATGCTAAAAGGGATGCTTTTTCTATTTTATTAAGTCACTACCAAGAAGGGTGACAATATAGCTACAGACTGGCATTCAGAGTCGAGCATCTGTAACTTTCCACTTCTTGCAATTATCTGGAATATCTCAAAAGATGTTCAGATTGCCTTGAAATTTTAATACTACCAGTTCTCATTTTTTATGCAAAATATTCTAAACCTAAATTTTAGGCAATACAGGTTATCAGTCCTCAGATTTTGGGCAATACAGGTTACCAGTCCTCAGATTTTAGGCAATACAGGTTACCAGTCCTCAGATTTTAGACAATACAGGTAACCAGTCCTCAGATTTTAGGCAATACAGGTTACCAGTCCTCAGATTTTAGACAATACAGGTTACCAGTCCTCAGATTTTAGGCAATACAGGTTATCAGTCCTCAGATTTTAGGCAATACAGGTTACCAGTCCTCAGATTTTGGGCAATACAGGTTACCAGTCCTTAGATTTTAGGCAATACAGGTTATCAGTCCTCAGGTTTTAAGCAATACAGGTTATCAGTCCTCAGAGTTTAGGCAATACAGGTTACCAGTCCTCAGATTTTAGACAATACAGGTTACCAGTCCTCAGATTTTAGGCAATACAGATTACCAGTCCTCAGATTTTAGGCAATACAGATTATCAGTCCTCAGATTTTAGGCAATACAGGTTACCAGTCCTCAGATTTTAGGCAATTTAAGTTACCAGTCCTCAGATTTTAGGCTGCTTTGAAACACCTATAGACATTTAATGAGTACCCGGAGTAACTGTTTTCTAGTTTCAGCATATTAAACAGAAAACAGTGGTTTAATCTTGTGCTTGTCTCTTTATGTTTGATTCAGACTGGTTAAAATAAGGTTCACATATTGTATCAAGCTCATATAAGAATCCATATTTGTTCATCATCTCACTGCCTTGAATCTGTTGAAGTGGGTATGCATTTGCAGAAACTGTTTTTTTTAATATCTTTTCCATATTTCCTGGTGATTTTCAGTATGCTTTTTATATTATTCACTTTTATTCAGTCATTTTTTTGCTCTTTCCACGTGCTTTGCAATGTAACATCTTATCCCCTCCGTATTTTCAACTGTATTTAGCTATTCCTAGACTCCATTGTGAGTGATATTTAAGTTGATTGTTTCTCAAAATATCTCATAATGATATAATTATCTTTTATTTACATCTGCTATATAAATGTCTTTGTAAAGTACACATTCTATACATAAATGTGTGCTTTAAGTTATTTCTCTGCCTTGGTTTTGATTCTTTACCTTACATTCACTTTTTTCAATTTTTTCTTTCTCTTTATTTAATGATTCTTTTCTTATTATTAACTTATGGTTTCAATGCCTGCATGCCAAGGTTTTTGCATATTTTTTTTGCATGAATCTCAAGCTACTTCATTATATATTTGTCACTCAGAGTATCCATCCTTTGTACTCCTCAAAATAAGGGCTTTTGGAGGATTTTCTACTCACCTATCATCACTTATATATTACATAAAATCTTGGGCATTTTTGATTATGAAAAGATGAGGTACCGTGCGTCAGGTGCTTGTTAGATGTTCATCAAGGGAAATTTGTGAATGTTTTTCAATTTGCTTCCCATCCCTCCCCCCATCCCCATCTGGCTCTGTCCTGGAGATAACATGCATGGACTTGTTAGAAAAAGCCTTCTAATAAACTTCAGGTTTCAGACAAACACCTTGACCCAAGTTTCTTCAATATAAGTGATATCTCTAGTATTAAATCAAGCGTGTGCAGCACTTATTTGAGATTTTGAAAATAGGCTTGTTTCACTTGAAAACCTATTGAAACCACTGAAAAATGACTAAGACTGGTATTTCTGGCATTGTGTCACTTGCATCAGTTAGAGGAAATATAATACTAGAGAAGAGGAAATAATACTAGAGAAGAACACTGGTGAAGGAACATGGGGATGAGTTCTGGAATGATGTATCGGAGGATTATTTGGAAAAAGAAGTTGCATGACATGATAGGCTTGCCATGTTGTGTAGCTTTTGCTGTAAAAATGTCTGTATGTGCTGGCAAAATGCCTGTATACAGTGTGCATACAGAAACGCAAAAAAAAAAAAAAAATCGTAAAACCACAAAATCAATGATGACTGCATCGATTTGAATGTACCATGAAGCCATGTTTCTCTTCTTTTTAAAGATATGTCATTCAGTCACATAAGGTCATGGTTGGCTGAATAATCATACATTTCGTTCAATGGGCCAAAGTTGGTGAATGTACCAAGTTTTAGACATTGCAAAGGTCACGGGGCCAGTGCTATTGGAAGAAGGTGTGGCATCAACAGTTAAGTGTTCATAATCATACTCTTGCATTACATTTCATATCCCTCCATATGGCCACCATTTTTTGCACACATAGATGGACTCATCTCTCCATGTCATGCATGGCTCTTTGAGTCTTCTATGGGAACAGCAATCCATTGGTGATTTCTTTTCGAAGTGTTGCAATATCTGGTAGAGGAGTGATGATTATTTTGCTCTTGAGATAGCTCCAAAGGAAAAAGTTAGAACAATTCAGGCCAGGAGATCTTCCAATAGCACCAGGCAGAAGCACTGACTTTTGCGATGTCTAAAACTTAGCTGACTTAGGCCCACTGTGCAAAAGGAATGATTATTCATCCAACCATTACCACAGGTACATGAATGAAATATCATCGAAAATAGGAAAAACTTGGCTTAACGGTACATTGAATGAAATGCAGTCATTTCTGGTTTCTTGGTTTTACGATTTATTTTGCTATTTTTTATGAGCACTGTATATGTGCGTTTTCCTGCTCCATGCTTGAGTATACAGTATTATATAGCTACATGTATGAGTATACAGTACTGTACTGCTGCATGTTTGAGTATATAATAATATATAATATATAGCTACATGTTAAAGTATACAGTGCTATACTGCTACTACTAATAAATTGTTGATTATTTATGTTAACTGCTCTTCTTTTTCTTTTTCAATAATAAGCATGTTTACATTTTGATAAAGATTAAAACTTAAATATTTAATTTATTATTATTGGCTAAAATCATTTTAGAAATATATGATCATTATATAATACAAAAGTCTTGGAATTAAAATTTTTAGATGATGATCGAGTTTGATTAAAATGATTATTTTTATTCAGAAATAACTTAAAAACTTTATTAAACATGTATAGCTTACCCTTGAATAAGATGATATAAGATGATCATGATCATCGTTGTATTACTCTTTTTAAAGATTAACTTCAACTAACCTTGGATCAAACATACCTCCCCCATTTCTTGACTTACAGGGAAGCAGATTGTGAGTGGAAAGTTGAGACAATGATTCAGGCCCGTAACCAGCTTTTGCCAAGGGCAAAAAAATTCCAGGGGGTTCAGATTTGAGCATTTTGGCCCAAAATCACTTGAAAGTGAAAGAATTTTTGACCAGGGGTCAAGGGGTGTGACCTGGTGATTTGATGAAAACTAATTCGATGAATGCCATCGATAACGTTGAAATAACTGAAAATGGTTTCAAGAATTAAATACAAGTAAGCGCAATAGTAAAAAGAAAATGAAAAAATGATTTGAATCGCTATAATACAAATAAAAAATAAAGCCTTCTTTTCCTTGCCGAAACCCGAGATTGAACCAGGGACCTTTAGATTCCTGGCATATCAAGGATAGCAGCCGCTTCAGTCTAACGCTCTCCCAACTGAGCTATTTCGGCGGTGGCTTGTCATTACACATTTATAGCCTTAATTGTAGTAGCATACAATTGATATGTATAAATGATTAATGTCAATTTTAAGTGATCGTGTTGACATTAATCACTAGTGTTTTAACATAAGGTTTACATCAATTGGATTATGTGTTGATCGAACCTGAAAACAATTAGCTATTCAAAAATCCATGCACAGTGCATTGATATATGGAAAAATACATTCATATTTTATACGCATAACGTTTCTATATTTTTTGATTTACTTGTGATTTTGCAAATAAAATTGGTGATTTTCTATCTTTATGGTTCTCTGACATGTTTTTTCAAAAAATAACATGGTTGATTCTTTGAATGAAACTCTCTAAATCGCAAGAGGCCACAGGTTAAAGTACGTTGAAGGTTTTAGAGGGAAGAAAGTGTCGAGATGCAAGGCTAGATGAAGTTCTTAACACATAGTTGAACAACTCTCACATAACCATTTAGACTTTACATTTTCACCCTAGAAATGTTGAGCATTTATAAAAATAAATAAAAAGAGCAAATTAATATTGGATTTTATATAATAAAAGAAGTTGAATTTACTTATCTATCAAACATTATAATCAATCTGTGTAATAGTTCAGAAAGGAATGGTTTTATATGGGTGTTGTTCACGTTGACAGAATGTTGCATGTTACTTGATATCAAACTTGATGTCATTTCTTTCATGTTTCAGGTCATTGTACTTCTACATGCACATTGGCAGTCTGCTCGTCCTGTTAATCTTACCAGCCAAGCCTGCCTCCAGACCACCAAAAGATGGTGCCACTGTAGCAGAACCCGAGAAAAAGACCTCATGATGATAGCCCCAATAGGGAAAAACATTCTAGGATATTATCAAATAATATGACCCTATTGAATTCTAATATTGTATTGCATTTCTAAAAAGAGATGTTTGAATGTTATGTTTAAATGGGTATGTGTTTACCTATAAAATGCCCACTTCGTTTCATACACAAAAATTACATGAGCCACATACTGTTTAAAATGTATCAATGTGCATTTTTATGTCACCACCAAAAGTGATGACATACTGTATAGTTATGGTCTCCAATTTTTTTGTGACGGCATTTGGCATCTTTGCATTGGGCGTCTGTCACAAAGGGTAGGTGGTGACATTTTGCATGTTAATGCCTTGTAGCATGCTCCAATAAAATGTCGACTTTGAAGATTTGAACAGAAGATTTTCATGATCAGTTGGCTTGGTAGATCAGTTTGCACATGGGCTGTCAATTAGTTGAATTCTAGTTGAAAGCCCATGGTTTGCATAAGGCATTCGGAAGTAAAAAAGGAATGTACAATGATTATTTGTAAAATATGTTGATGTATGCAGAAAAATAGTCAGTTTGTTAGATTTAGCAAATAGCTAACCTTGTGCGTGTTATGTATCTTTACCAAACCTTATTACGGACTCCATAATGATAAAAATGCGATATTTGACATTTTTAATTTCTTAAATATAAATAACTGTGATGTAAACTGGCCTTGGTTTAAGCTGCATACAAGAATTTTCTACTATATCAGCAGAAAATCATGAGTTCTGGAATTAAATTCTTTGACAACTTGCCTGAGATGTAAAACTAGCCTAACAATTTTCAAAATGAAATAATTAATAACCTCCTCTATTGAGCATGGGAGAAAGGATACTGAAGGCATAAGCAGTTTACAGGGTGGGCCCAATTAATGTACGATGGTAAATCATCAAAATTGTAACATGTATCAGTTATTTTGCCATTGACAATCCAAAAGTTTGTCAAATGCAATTGAAATGTGCCATTTGCCTAAACATGTACATGTACAGTTATGGTGTAATAATGTGTAGTTCATCTGAAATGTTCCATTAGCCTATACATGGCACTATGGTGTAATTTTGTGTAGTGCATTAGAAATATCCCACTTGCCTATACATGGTGTAATTTTGTGTAGTGGATTTGAAATATCCCATTAATTGAGTAAACAAAATTACCCAAAACATGGCATTAAGGGCAATTTGTTAAATATTTAAAGATGAGATGTACAAAAGTATGTTACTGTATGTTCTTACTGTGTTTATGTTTAGTATACTTCATATACTAGTTCATGTAATGTAATGATGGTAGAGACACTGACACCAACATATGATTTTTTTTTATTCTGTTTATATCAGACTTCTGTTTATTTTACTCACTTTAATTTACGACTTCCATTTCAGTTTAATTTTTATGTCACCACCACAAGTGGTGACATATTGTTATGTTCTCCAACTGTGGTGACGGGTGGCATTTGGAGTTCCGTGTCTGTAACACGGAAAAAATGGGAGATGGTGACATTTTGCATGTTAATGCCTTGTTGATGGTTGCAACTGGAATATAAAGGGTGGAGACATACTTAGAATTTCTGTATCTTGTTTTCACATGCTGGACATAATGTAATTCATGATCAATTATCATAATTATGGTATTTTTACATTTTTTTTAAAATGGTGTAATTAATAGCATTTGTAATATAATCCTGTGATTTAAGTTATACACAAAATAAATGAAGTATATTGAATTTGGTTATCAAAAGTTATTCTCTTCTGTTTTTGATTACAAGTAAGTCCCATTTAAAAGTATTCATCACTGATAGGGCTACATCTAAAAAACAAGGCTAGAAATTAGGCTCATTAAGTTGTTATGGGTAAGGACTGGGATGGGAGAGACCTTTTCAATGGACCTCACGGTGTGAATTGCTTGGTCGCATGTTTTTAACAAAAAACGACTCATTCAAACGCACACAGACGCCAAAGTTTGTGTAAATGGCACCCCTGTGGTGCTCTATCGATTGACCGGAACGAGTGTAACTGAGAAAGTTGGCATAGGGGTATTAAAAGGTTTAAGTGCGCTTGAATGAGCTGTTATTGTTGAAACATGTGAGCATGTACAGTGCTCACCATAAATTAATGACAGCTGGATTTGCTGAAGTGAGGATTTCCCATGTTAAAAAGAAGAGAATTTTCAAAAGGCTATACATCAGTGGATGAGAGTATACAAAATGTAAAATATACAAAACTTAAGGGATGTGTATCTAGGCATCATTGGAAAGTATGAAGTCTCAAATCATTATGATCTGGAAATGGTGATATAAAATCCAGGTGTCATTTATTTATGGTGAGCTCTTTAATTTGCATCGCGGAGCTTTTTGTTCTTTTTCGTGATACCTGCTGACAAGGCTCATTAATGCCTTGGTCACCTTTGCTCCAAGTTTCACTACGTCGCCCCGGCGATTGAGTATTTTGTTCAAAATTGAATACAATATTGAAAAAAACACTTAATCGGACGGGCGCTAGCCGATGCATTCAAGCATATGTGACCCAGGCATTACCAAGGCATATGTCCTGCGCGGGTGGATTGCGCCCACTGGCATACAAAAATGCACCCTGAGACTGCCATATTTTGCCAATCAAATCAAAAGAACCATGGTTGATTAGGTTGATTTATGATTCATAGGTTGTTGATAGTCATTTTTGGCTCACACAGTGAGCCTATGGGATCGACCAGGCGTCCGTCCGTTAGTCCGTCCGTCCGTTGGTCCATCCGTCAACATTGGCCGCACAAATTAAAACTGCTATTCGGATTGAGTCATATCCACAGTCATTTTATGCATATCCATAATGCCTATTTGACCTATCATCGCCATTTCCCAAGTTCGCCCGGTTTCCAAGAAATTGCGGATTTTGACATCAAAAAGTCAAATTTTCTGTAAATACTAGACACTTTGTTGAAGTAGAACTTTCAAATAACTTGTAGTTGTTGCTGTATATGCAACTTATTTCCTCTGAAGATTTCAAAGCTCTTGGAATTACAGTTTTTGGTGTTTACTCTATAAAATTTGACAAAAAGTAGGACTTCCCAACTTGCTTCAATTTCACCAAATTCTTTTTGAAAATCATCTACAAGTTACCAGGAGTTCAAATCTGACATTAGTTTTAGGATTTGACCTTTACTTGACCTTCAGTGACCTTTGAAAGGTCAAAAAAGTTTTTTGGATGTAAATTTTGGTCAGCTTAATCACAAAAGACCTTACTGAGCTCTGAATATGTAAAATTTTCAAGGTCAAAGGTCATCAAACTAGGTCACACAACTGTGCTATCTAAGTTTCTCAAAGTTCGAGACTACAAATCCAAAACAATATTTTTGTTTGAAAGTCAGGATATACATTCTTCGAAGGTTCCAAACTGTGTGGGCACAGGACCGTGGGTCCTATTTTTTATTATACAAAAGTCAAAGTTTTTCAAAATGAGCAAAAGGTATTCTAATGTCTGTTTGGGAGCATTGCTTCCCATGACATATGAATCTTAAAATGTAATTCATGACGTTTGAATCTAAACAATGTAATCCAGTTTCCTATGACATGAAATGTAATCTAGTTTTCTATGCTATAGGAATCTTAAAAATGTAATCCAGTTTCTTCTTATTCTGGAAACATGTTCTTTTGTCTTCAACCTATAACACTCACTTATTTATTGAGCTACGGTTTCAACAACCAGAACCTATTTTGTAATATTAAAAAGGACTGTATTTAATTGGACGATCTTTTGGAAATGGGAGTCAGAAATGAGTGTAAAGAAAGAACTTTCACTTGAATTTTAAAACATTTTTAAAATTGAATTTTAAAACGTTTTTAAAATTGGGAACTTTCTCCAACTTTCATTATTCCACACTTTACCCTTTAAGCATGCAACTTGAAAATTTTAATGAAATAATGAAACAAAGCACTCATTGATAGATAGCAAAATTGCCATCGTGTATTTACCCAAAACCAAATCAGATAGCGGCCCTCGTCTGCTCTTACATCTGTAAAAATCTGTAAGAATTTGAAGTTGAATGGATAAGTAGTTTTCCTAGTTTGATGACAAGATTTACTGTACTCCTGGTAGTTTCGGGAATTTTGAGAAAACACAATTTCGCGGCTATTAAATTTCGCGGATTTCACTAGTTAAAATTTCATTATTCTCTGAATCCTCAAGCTTCTGTAAATAAAGTAACCTCATGTACAGTAACACCTCTGTTACATTGTTATTTTTCATATATTTGATCTAATAAGACACTGTAAAAGACATTGTTGCTTAGAATCCCATTTAGAGCCTAATAAAACTGAACAAACATTTTACAAATCACAAAACGCAATGGAGAATGAATTTCACAAATCCCGGGTATTTAATTGACAATTACAAAGATTAATTTTTGCGATTTTACCACAATTGCGAAAAAGCGTGAAACTAAATCACACCCGAAAAATACCAGGAGTACAGTATGTCATGTATGTGTTCTATATATATGCACACCCATCAGCACAAGACGATGACAATCAACACTTTTTCAAGGTGTGATAATCCAGAGATCTCATAGTAGTCCACATAAACTATTCTTGCAGTGCTTGAAGCAATAGACTGATCATAGATTCATAGTATTCCATATTAAAGTGAATTCCATCCTGGTTCCAACCAGGTACCCTTTCACTGATTTTCATCACACCATAAAAAGGCCAAAATCTTGGATATTGTTCTGAGAAGTATGGTATCAACTGTTTTTTAGCCTCGTTATACAACTCAACATTTTTAAACTGTCGATTTTTTACATCAGGATTGCTTTGCTTGGATTCTTCCACAAATGTCGGTTCAAGCCATATAACTCGAGTCTCAGGATGATTTTTTATGCTGTTATTAACAACATCCAAAAACCAGGTAAATGTACGTTTAAAATTTGCAGCATCCCTCATACGTGTTTCGTGATGATTTGCGATTAGTAATATCAACTGAGGGTAAGCCTCATGCGACTTAAGTTGGAGATATTCATTAAAGATGAACTCTTGTGATGTTGGGGATTGTTCGCATGGCGCATATTGATTTGTTTTTCGGCACTTGTTTTTTGTTTTGCCATGTGGAAATCGCAATGTTGTTATCTCAGTATCCATGAAGTATTCCATACTTACATACTCTATTGTTACATGCGAGCCACTATGACGGACATTGGATTTGCCAATCGAATCATTACTGCAATTGTAAAGAAATGAGTCACAGCCATAGCACTCACGTGTATGAAAATACATATCTTCCTGAGGAATATTAGAAAAATATCTCATATCTGGTTCTTTATATCCTGCATTTTCCTTTTTCTCTAAACGGCATTTATATGTTGTTTTAAATGCATTAACAAATGCACGTGCATACCTTGTTGCAGTTGAATCTCCAACGAGAAGTATGTTGCTAAGATTGTTGTTGAACAACATGTTGGGCATATCCACAAGTGTTGCAACGCAATCCTTCGCAATCCAGGACTGTTTGCTCCATACCCCTCTGGCATAGAATTCTCCATTCTCCAAAAAATAATTTTTCAAAAATTCAAGACTGCATTTTGGCTTCTTTCCTGTATGTTTTATCTTCGGCTGCTGAATAGTGTGGGGAGAGTCTGATTTTATCCAACTTACTCCAAGAATACCAATCCAAATACATATTCCTAGAGAAATCGTCAATACAAACTTGAATGGAGAATTCATATTTAGACGAAGGGAATATAGATAAAAATCTCACTGAGTTGATGGTATCACCCTCTATAATATTATCTCATCCAGACAGAGTATTGCAGAATCAATTAAAAAAGATGAGCTTTCCAGGATATTTAGTTCCAATATTTTAGATTGATGTTTTATTGCCACAGAAACTTGTATCAGCACTCGGCAGGTATCTTCCTAGCAAGTCTAAACCAAGGCTTAAGATGTCACTAACATGTGCTATAGTTTTAGGGAAAGTCATACTACTTTATCGGCAACATACAGTATGGCATTTAATTGATCCATTCAATTTCATAAGTAATTTATTAGATGGTCTATGAAATATTAAACTGACTTTGGAATGCAGGACAATGGGAATAGGAACTCATCAATTCATTATTCCGTGTCTCCAATAATTGAACTATGGTATACAACTCAACATTTAACTCCAGGGTTGGAATATAACATTTGAGGTGGGTGCCCTTGCTAACACCTTCAAATAAATTATTTTTCCAGTTAAAGACATTCAATGCAAGAACAAGTGTTACTTTGGAATGGCTCATCGATAAGATATTTCCCTGAGGATGAGTCATTCCGTGGTAACATATGGTTTGTCTTCAATTGAGAAATAGTTTTTTTAAGATAATACCAATGACACTGATCTGCTCAGTTCATGTACAACAACAATACTATAACAATATGTCACAACTTGTGGATATGTCACCACTTGTGGTAGTGATATAATAATGAAAAATTATGTTGTAAGACACCACTCCTAATGACCAGACTAAATTGTAATTTAACAGAACGTCTCCAAGATTCAGTTTCAAATATTTCTGAAAGTTTATTAACTTATACATGATATTTCTTTGATATTCATAGCTTTCCATCACACAATGATAACTGCCATGGTTTATAACATCTTACAGTTCAACAGATGATGAGCACAATACTTTAGGTGTTTTGTCCAAAATATAGTTCAGTACACCAATCAAATATTTTTTTGTGACAGTCAAAGCAATACTGTGCTATATAAAGGGATTTAACCATAAGAGACTTTCCTTTCAAAGTGAAATAATGCATCATCAATGGTAACATTTATTTTGTAAAGGCTTTATTCCTACTAACACTCAATTCATTGAATATACATGTATAAATAAAATCCACTGTGTGACAAAAAATGTTACCAGAGTCTCTATAAATCATTTTCACTCTTGGCTTAACATAGTGAATTATAATTCAACAATAATAGCAAACATTTTATGAGGGTAAATTGAAAGTATATAGAATACCTGGATACATCCACTGCATACATCCACTGCATACGCCTAATGCATATAAATTCCCAATTTTATTTAAAATACAATTATATCCATGATAACATGTTCAGGGAGAGAACCCCCAGTGTTTTCATATATTAAGATAATATGAAATTAACTTTTGCCTTTGTATAATTTTTTCAAGATGATATTTGGAGCTAAAGAAAGAATTTGGCTAAAGATATGAATTGGTGGAAATTGAATTGTAAAATATGATACAACTAGATCCAAGTTTAGAAAACAATCTCAGAAGCAAAATTGTAAAGCGAAACATTGAATCAGTACCATTTCGATAATTTGATTACTGCAATTTTTTTGCTTTTCTGATTTTAAATCATCTCAATTAAAATAACTTAATACATCTTTACATGAGGATATATTACAGTATATATTTTGTACATTTTTTACAAGCCTACATTTATATTCAATATAAAAATACACTACCCACATATAATATTTACAAATACATAGTAGTGTTATAAAAAAGATAATGTGATGTCTTACATTCATTTCTGTACATGTAAGTACAATAAACACATGTCATAGAAATTCTAATATTAACGAATTCACATATACAACAATCTTTAGTGATATTTAATCATATACTGTACATGTATTTACAAAATACAATGTGTACCAAAATTATTACATGATTCAATGTGTGGATTTCATTGCACAAAACACACAGTGATAAATATCGCACTTTGAACATCAAAATGGCCATGATGTAATTTACCCAGCACGGCCAAAACCTAACACCCAATCAGATCAGTAATTTGTACTTTTATCTGTAAAAATTTCATGTTGAACAGATCGGCGGTTCTCGAATTTTGATATGATTTGTGTGGAGCTCGATTGATTGATTGGGCAGTTCATACGTGGCAGTTTCGGGATTGAGACCGGAGCTGTTACAGATGCATGCACTCCAATCAAGACAAAATAAAGTACTTTTTCAAAGTGCGATAAAATCACTGAATATAAGCACACATTTTCATGATCATGAGATACAGATATGGCTATTTATACTTTGTCCTACTTAATAATGTCTCATTAAGAATCCATCAAATTCTTAGTGATATAAAGTTCATATATCAAATGCAGAACTGACCTTCTTTAATGTAAATTGTCAACACATTAATCAGAGATAAGAGAGAGAGCTTATTATTTCTGAAATCCCAGTCTACAGCTTTAAAATACTGTATTTTGAGTTGTGTACCATTCCACACATTAAGTTTCTTAGATTTTGTGGATCTTTGCAGGATTTGTTGTTGATCAAATGTTCTACTTTATAAATTATCACAGATATTTCAACTGTATATACAACAATGTTTGATAGCCATGTTACTCTGGCGTACCTACCCACATAACCCAGTAGGCCTTATAAGGGATGAAATCACCATCATGGTACTTTCAGTTATCTACATTTTATTCTTGTATAATAAATAATATGTAGTCACGAATTATAGCTTATTGATGAAGTGTACTGAATTAGGCTAATACTAGTAATTAATGGACAAATACCACATGTATAGTACATATGTATAGTGATTTTCCAATCTAAATGCAGAGATTCAGACAACAGTAGCAGGATGGGGAACACCACCCCCTACTGTGGGTCCTGGCTCCATTCGTCGCACAACACTTCCTGCCATTGGACGCCTGGTCACACCCTCAATCCTGCGTACTCGATGACGGTCTTTCTCCATGACACGACTGACATTCTGAAAATTCAACACACTTAACTGTATATCTTCTTTCATAGCTAATTATGTGCCACAAATATTTTAATCAGGTGATTTTTCAGTACCAGACTTGTGACAAATTGTCACCACTTCAAATCATTGGATCAAATCAAAAAGATAAATTTGTGAAGGAATCCTGCACAATTATTAATCTGTTCAAATAAAACAGCAAACAGAAAAAATAGAAAAAAGAAAATGTCAACACTTGACATTTGTTACAGATGCCAAACACCAACCACCGAAAGTCAAACACCAAGCACCAAACTGGATATTACTGGATAAACCAGTAATACCTCTTTGGTACACGCTATATTCTTTATGGATCAACATTTAGAGGAAGGGGAATAGAAGGGGGCCCATATTCATAATAGTTTTTTATAATAGTTTTACATTAATATTACAAACCTCAGCACTCATCCAGCCAACTACATCTTTCTCTTCCCTTAGTCGTTTCTTGTCAATGTAACTGACGATACAACTGGCTGGCACCCATAGGATAATAGAGAACACGAGGATTGTACCCACAATGTTAGCACGCATAAATTGGACTGAAAAATAAGAAAAATTATTGTACCACTACCTTTACGTCATTTTATGATTGGTCGAACATGTTGTGTATTGTAGCATGACTAACCTACATTACTCTTGTTCTGACATCAATGTGTATGACTTACATATTGTGTTGAGTTCAATTTGCATGGTTAACCAACTGTAGTGACATTAATGTGCATTGTATTGTAATCAATGTGCATAATGTACATAATTGTACTGACATCAATGACACTTGCTTAGTCATTGTAATAAACCCAATGTGCATCATAAACCTACTGCATTGACATCAATGTGTTTAGCTTACCTATTGTATTGACATCAATGTGCTTGATTTCCTATTGTATTGACATCAATGTACTTGACTTTCATATTGTATTGACATCAATGTGCTTAGCTTACCTATTGTATTGACACCAATGTGCTTAGCTTACCTATTGTATTGACATCAATGTGCTTGGCTTACCTATTGTATTGACATCAATGTACTAGGCTTACATATTGTATTGACATCAATGTGCTTAGCATACCTATTGTATTGACACCAATGTGCTAAGCTTACCTATTGTATTGACATCAATGTGCTTGGCTTACCTATTGTATTGACATCAATGTACTTGGCATACATATTGTATTGACATCAATGTACTTGGGTCACATATTGTATTGACATCAATGTGATTGACTTACCTATTGTATTGACATCAATGTGCTCTATAATACTCCAGAACCTGGTGACCAGATCTTGAACTTGTTCTTTACAAATACCCTATAAAAGGAACAAAAAAATAATTGTGAAAAATGTATTATGGATTAAAAATGAGGTTTTAAACTTGAATTATTTGAAATACGAGAGCATTGATGATGTACACCATACAGTTTACATATACTGTAGGTATTTCTAACTGAGTAGCAAATTCCAATGAGCAAATTATTAGTGAAATGTGTGACAATGTAATAATCATTTTGGAAATTCTTCAGCAGATTCCAGTCTCTAAGGCATCAGTATATACAATTTGAACAAATCTGTCAACTGGTGTATTAATTATCAAAGATTGCAATTTTATGAAAAAATGGTCATTCTAAAATGAGCTGCCATACTGAAAATTTCTTCTCAGAGATACAGACGAACAGAGGAATGGACAAGTGGATGAATGGATGGCTTCTCTATATCTCAATGAAAATTAAATGTTAATGTATTCATAATGCTAAAACATACCGCTTCACAGTAGCCACGGACACATGGTTTTCCATCAGATAGTAAAATAGCCTTTCCATCTAGTTTGGTGTAAGGCGTACATGTTGAGCCTACTTCTTTTTCTTTACAACACCAAAGACAAGCTTCCTCCACTGAAACACATATTATTGTAGTGTAGATGGATAATTGATGAAATGAGAATGCTTCAAAGTATTCATATTCATAGTACACTATTTATATTATAAGTCAGTGTTATGATTGTTCAGGACCTCTGGAACAACCCTCATAGAAGTATAGTAGTTTTTCATATTTTAATAGAAGTTATTCTATGGTAAGAAATATGTGTATTGATTATGATTTAAGTCTGAAAATATACAGAGGAGAGGGTTGAAATTAATTTTTAATAGATTTTACATTATTCAAAGCCTCAGGGACATTATTGCAATTGTACATTGAAATCAATAAGTCATGGCTAAACAATGTAAATGTATATAAAATGTATATGTTTAATAATGTAGGAGATATATTAGCTACTAGTTGATGCCTTGAGGCATTGCTCCAAGCAATATCAAAAATCAATATCAACAACACGTAAGTAAATAAATATAGTATTTAGCTCTGCTTTTTGTTATCAATTGTTAACATTTTCAGAATGTATTGTTACTCAACAGATAAAATTGTACTAAGTGTGATGTTTGACTATGCTTTATCAAGAACCATGAGAGCAGCATTGGGGATACTCCTCATTTACAATGCCTGCATCACAGAAATTCATGCTCAGACTGTATCTACTGAGAACACTGCTCAAACTGGACAAGAGGCTCAATCAGTTATTGTAGAACCCAAATCAAAGTGTGATACATCTGCATTCAAACACATTGAAGGTCAGAGCGGGTGTCAGAGTGAACACAATCAGTTGCAGGACTCTAAAGGGATGAGAAAAGATACACATTTAACCATAAAGGATGCTCAAATGCCACAGAAATCTCAAACTAAAGAACAGAATCAGTCCATGAAGAACAATGAATTAAAAACAAGTGTGACTGAGAATTGTGACACTACGGAATATTGTAGAAAGGAAGCTGATACCAAGAAAGCTAACACTAAAACATTTAACACAAATAGTAAAGGAGAATCAGATAAAGCTATTACTCAACAACCTGAGAAAAATACTGAACAGAAATCTGAAAGCGTAACATCAGTCAATCAAGAAGACAATGACACAGGGGTGATGCCCAAGAAAGAACGATTTGTTGTATACCAATGTCATGGCCATTGTGCAGGGTGGGGAGACAGAACACGTTCTATCATCATAGCCTACCTCATTGCTCTACTGATGAAACGCTCCTTTATACTGGACATAACTGATCCATGTAGTCTAGATGGTGTACTTGTACCAAATAAAGTTAACTGGGCAAGGAGACTACCAAATGGGCTTTCCATTGTTGATGTAGAACACTATGTTAATACATTGCCTTCAAAACCTTTCGCTGACTTAATAAGCCAAGATAAAGACTTGAATGACATTTTCCCAGAAGATGTTGTTACCATAAAAAGCCCAATAGCAATAGTTGAACAGTTTGCACGAAATCCAAGACATCACAAAGTGCTTGCATCATTGGGGTATGATATGTCAAGGTTTACTCAATGTAGAATGTATGCTATATTTTATGATGAAATTTTCAAGTTGAGTCCAAAACTCCAACATGAGCTTGATATATTTATATCAAAATCCAAAATACAGGAAGGTGGTCAGCTAATATGTGCACAGTTGAGAATGGGAGGCCCATATATAAAAGGAGACATGAAATTTAACGACATGGAAGACCTTACAGTTGTGTGGGATTACATTAAACAATGTATAACTCCTGATACAACTGTGTTCATCACATCTGATGCTAATGAAGTCAGGCAACAGGCAAAGAAAATATTTTCTAAAAGATGGATTGATCATGAGGGGTTTTCATCTCACATAGGATCTGGGGAAAGGGAGTTAAGATGTAAAGGACAGAGGAAAACTATTTTAGATTTCCATTCGTTGGCCCTTTGCGATTCGTTGATTGTAAGCACTGGGACTTATGGCCAGTTGGCAGCTTATAGAAGACAGCAAGGATTCAATGACTTTCACATTTTTAGCAAGAAGAAGATACACTAAACGTCATTTCTGGAACACCAGGCCAGGAAGGTGTTATTCCTAGCACCTGATTAAATAGCACTACCTCTGCTTTTGCGTTTATTTCAGACAACAGTTCCAGTTGTTACATTGCTTAAAACTTCTTGAAGACAATAAAATTTGGTTTCATATTCAAATAAATCTTTTTTCAAAAGTGCAAAAATGTGTATATATGACAAGGATTGATATCACAGGGTGGGAATGTCTAGTTTTGGTAAAGCCTAAATCACTTCAAAATCTTGAAAAAGTGCAAGTTAATTTTGCACATTTATTTCAGAATGTGGTCTATATCTAAAAAAGGGTCTTGGCCATATTTACAGTAATTTGGCACTATTCATCCACCATATTTAGTATTTCCAACATGCTTGTATGTTTTTCACTCTATTTTGGGGAATATAAACAAGTTTTGTTTCACTATACATTAAAAAGTATAATTGATATAAATGACTTCAAATTAAAAATTTGGTTTCTGAACTCAAAGATGTCAATTTGGAATTGAACTTAGTGCTAGTTTGAGATTATTTCATGATATAAATGCAAAATGAAAATAAAGTACTTACATTTATCACATATACAAGGCACCAATCCTTTGCTCTCACAGAAATTCACGCAAGCCCCATTTATACAAGTACCATTCTCTACGCACTCTGTACCATTATCTTTGCTTATGGGTGGTGGACAGACAGTGGTTCTCCCATCACAGTAAGCTTTACCCTCACACGTGGCATCAATTTCTGCCTCTTCTTGACACACCTCAGTAGTTGGGGCAATCTGACAGCCAATGCAGCATACCGTATTGTAAGAACTGTAATAAGAATTCAGACATCATTTTATACAAATCTATACATGCATAACGTGCAAATACATCAGGACATCAATGGTTCTCTGCAAACTTCTAGCATCATTTTAATACACATCTTTCCATTTGAATTCTGAAAATTAATCATCGGATATTTGGGGAAAAACTTGACATTGCTATAAAAATGCCCAAGAACAAGTGTACTAACCTGCACTTTGCATTTGGTCTGAGATAACAGTTAGGAGTACAACAAGGGTCCATATCCTTCTTTCCATTAACGCCAGCATCACATTCCTCTCCCTCCTCCACCTTAGAGTTACCACAGAACTTAGCAGCTTTCTCTGAAACAAGAGGATTTGACTTTTCAATATACTTCCTCATGCTTTTAAATTCATAGTTTTATTTATATTATAGATTCATTGCTAACTGTAAAAGGATCTGAAAAGAGACTATGTTTAAATTCCTCTCATTGAAATTACGATGACAGCAATAAATAGTGTAACATTTTGGCAGTAAAAAGCATATATGATAATGTCCACCTTACAATTCTAATTTTATTTTCTAAAAATACTTTGAAATATCTGAGTTACCGATAATCAAGCTACAATTCATTAAAACAAAAAAAATTACGCAGGAAATTCTATAGTTCTATATGTAAAAAGAAGTAATAAGCTTGAACTTCTAAAACTTCCGAAAAAACAAAGCCTAATGTTGACAGAGGGAACACTTTTCTTATCACAATTATATATACACCTTTCCATTAGCAGTCCAACATAATGGCCAGGTTATAGAACGTCTACTTACGTGTGAAACAGAAATCTGATTTTGCCTCCAATACACTGGAAACAAACCTCTTACTGCATGGAGAGAAATACTGAAAGAAACAAGACATGATGACACTCAGATAACAGTTTTTACCATGAACAAACTAATGAGTAAAATGTCATTTGTTTAAAAAATATGGATTTCAATTCACAAGATGTATTGGAGTTTTTATAATCTGTGCATGTTCCAGCAAATTCAAAACTTGTGTCTGACAAATATTCATATACGCCAACTCAATATATTCATATTCATACATATGGGTGGTAAAAAATTAAGGAGTGAGTTATCAAATTAAAAGAATGGTTAATTAAATCATCTTAAATTCAAACTATCTCCCGAAGAGATGGAGTGATTAAATATGTGCCCCTACTACATGATTTGTCAATATTTTGGATTATTATTTAAAATAAATATATTATTTAAAATAGATATATCATTTAAACGTAGGCAATCATTAACTGAATGATACAGACATATTTGCAATGTTTCCCTACCTTATTATTTGTGTCATATCCAGAGACTGAGTAGGCATACATGATGTACTTGCCATTATCAAAAGAGCCGGGTGAACAGGCCGCAGTATCAGGGTCATGCTCCGAGCCCCAGTTATGACCAAACTCTAGAATAGACGTCATCTGGATTAATACTTATATATTGAATGATGCAAATTGTCATGATCAGATTCTATAACAGTCTATTGTAACAGTCAAGATTGCAGAGTTAAAATATGATTGAAATATATTCTATGTGTACTCTATTGCAAACCCTTCTGTGCTGTTTATAAGCAATGTTCCAAAGGGAATAATACAGAAAGTATGGTTAACAAACAGGTTATATATTTTTAATTGAAAGTATTGTTCTCCACAATTGGATTGATGACACAAAAACCAATTTCAATGCTATTGTCTGCTTAGTAGATACAGTTTAGTATTACAAACCATGAGCTGTAACAAGGTCAGCCTCTTGTGTCAGAATGCGATTGCCATAGCGATTAAGAGCACTACTCCATCCTGTGTTCAGGTACAGTGTGTACCCACCCTTGAAATATGCTGGAATAGTACATATTTAAGATATAGAAATCCTTCCTCAATGCAAAAATTTGCAATGTTACAAAGTACTAATTTGCATGTGCAAATGTACTAAAATTACCAGGGAATTTGGCAGTGACTTAATTTGGCAGACTTAAACAATTTCCAAATTGAAACACCTGCCAAGCACAGTATTTGTCATCTCCTTTTATTTAACTATTTAGTATTTACCCTCTCAACAATTTTATGATATAACCAGCTGATGAGCAAATAAGAGATTGACAATTCAATCAATGGCTATATAGAAACATTATTATCATAATAAATATAGTAATATATGATTTATTTAACAATAATTAAAATGTTTAAAGAAATAATGAACATAATAAAACATGTTTTATCAAGATAAATATGTATTATTTTTATTAATATTGTTAATGTTATAGTTAGGGTAGAAAGATCGTGGGAAGAGGGGTTAACTGATGAAAGCGAAGAGGAAAGAGCAAATAACTATTTTTCTAAATAAATCTAAAAATCTAGAAAAATGAATGTAATCACAAAATCACAATTACAATAACAAATGTATATAAAGAAATCACAAGTGGTGAATAATTGAACAAATGACTATTTCCTACTATGATTAGAAAGATAAGCTTCTATGAATAAAGCTAAAACATATAAGCTCAATTTTTGACACAGACAACTCGCAATGTGCCTAAATAGCTCACTGGAACTTGCTGGACATCTTTTATTGGAGGCAATGCAGAGTCAGTGTGTTCTGTTTTACTATTAAAATCTCAAAAATAAAAGATTCACATGTATAACTTCATTAATCTGAATTCTGGGCAAAGTTGCAAATAGCCTCATGGAGGATTGTAACTAAGTACTCCATCCTATGATGAGATAACCCCATAAGGATGAACTTTGATACACTCATTTGCTTTCCTCGATGCTCCATGGTGCAACCCCTGTCCCTTTCTATGACTATTACTTCCTGCTGGTATTTGCTTATATAAAGTGTCCCACAATGCAAAAACAAAATTTGAATTAAGTGGCACCCACCCACCCATCAGTACAAGGTGACGACAATTAGATGAAAAATTAGAATTAGATTCTAATTTAGATAAAAAATTAAAAATCTCAGGGATGATAGATATATGTTTATTTCACCCAGACACCCATCCACCGTTTTATGGTAGTACTATGTGCATCCGTCCATCACCATTTTATAAATCTATTGAATGGAAGTTACCAAAATGGAGGTTATAAATGTGTTTCATATCAATAATGGATGAGCTGATGAACATGGATACAACAACATATGCTGATGAACATGGACACAACAACATATGCTGATGAACATGGACACAACAACATATGCTGATGAACATGGACAAAACAACATATGCTGTTGAACATGGATATAACAGCATATGCTGATGAACATGGATACAACATATGCTGATGAACATGGACACGACAATAAATGCTGATGAACATGGATACAACAACATATACTGATGAACATTAATACAACAACATATGCTGATGAACATGGATACAACAACATATGCTGATGAACATGGATACAACAACATATGCTGGTGAACATGGATACAACAACATATGCTGATGACCATGGATACAACATTGACAACAGTGAGTTTATAACACCAAATATTCTCCTTATCCCTAAATCCTTCATTTAAATAAAATGCTCAAACTAAATACTCGGGGTGGAAGGTGTGACAATTGTGCAAAAAATGACTTTTTGAGCTGGATGGAATTTCTGTGTATTTTTCATTCTATTAGGGTGTCCTGCATAAGGGATTTCGCCTGCGAAGCATATAACTCTTGCGAACATATCTAAATATTGGTCCGAAGAAGACATACCTTGAATTTTTTCGAAAAAATTGGCTAAAAATGGAAACTACAAAAAGTTAAAATGTTCAACTCAAACAAAACTATAGCTATTTAATATTAACACTATGTATTATTTAATGTTTTTCAGATGTTTAAGGACCTTCATTAGTGTACTAGTGTTTAGAAATAAGATAATTAAGGACAAAATTTGGCATTTTTGACCATTTTCGCTTTCAGCAGTAACATATAGTTCCTTATATCTTGAGTTTAATGTTGACTGGTTGTTGTAATTTTGATCAAATCTGTTCTTGTACATGTCTTCTTCCATTTAAGATACAAAAAATGTATATTGGACCACCAATGGTCATATTAGAGCTTTCAGATCTCCCCTACCCCATTTATTATGAAAAATTACTGAAACATATGAAAATGTAAAATAACTTGAATTTATAGACTTTAACAATGTTGTAGCTATTCTATATCAATATTTTGTATTATTTAATGTTTTTCAGATATTTCAGAACCTTTTATTGGTATACTAGTGCCTAGAAATGAGACATTTAAGGACAAAACTTGGCATTTTTTAATCATTTTAGCTTTCAGCAGTAACATATAGTTCCTCATATATTGAGTTTTATGCTTACTGGTTGTTGCAATTTTAATCAGATCTGTTCTCGTAGATGTCTTCTTCCATTTAAGGTATAGAAAATGTATAGTGGACCACCAATGGTCATATTAGAGCTTTCAGATCTCCCCTACCCCATTTATAATGAAAAATTATAAGAAAAATATGAAAATATAAAATAACTTGAAACTATAAACTTTAGTTAAGTTGTAGCTATTCTATATCAATATTATGTGTTATTTAATCTTTTTAAGATAATTTAGAACCTTTATTGGTAAACAAGTGCCTAGAAATGAGACATTTAAGGACAAAACATGGCTTTTTTACCATTTTCACTTTCAGCAATAACATATAGGTCCTTATATCTTGAGTTTAATGCTGACTGGTTGGTGCATTTTTCGTCAAATTTGTTCTTGTAGATGTCTTGTTTCATTTACGATATAAAAAAATGTATAGTGGATGACCAATGTTCATAATGAGCTTTCAGATCTCCCCTACCCCATTCATTAGGAAAAATGACCGGAAAATATTAATAAAAAGTAAAATAACTTCAAATTATGAACTTTTACAAAGTTGTACCTATTCTATGTCAATAATATGTATTATTTAATCTTTTTCTGATGTTTCAGGACCCTCATTAGTATTCTAATGCCCAGAAATGAGATATTTAAGGACAAATCTTTTTTTTCATTTTCGCTTTCAGCAATAACGTATAGGTCCCTTTATATTGAGTTTTATGCTAACTGGTTGGTGCATTCTTGGTCAGATCTGTTCTTGTACATGTCTTCTTCCATTTAGGATATAAAAATGTATATTGGAAAACCAATGTTGATATTAGAGCTTTCATGTCTCCCCTGCCCCATTTATAATGTAAATGAAAAAGTAATTTCAAATCATAAACTTTAACAAAATTGCAGCTATTCTCTATCAATACTATGTATTATTTAATGTAACCTTCATTTGATTACATGTATCTAAAATTTGGCGTTTTTAGCATTCTGCATTTAGCAGTAGCATATAATTTTCCACAATTATAATTCTTTGATGATAGATTCATATATGTTTTCTATTGAATCTGTCTTCTTTGATTTAAATTTAAGAAAATGTATGTAAGACAAACAATGTTTTTATTAGAGGTCTAAGATCTGCCCTCCACCATTTAATAAGAAAACCAACACAAATGTTATTATTGCATGTTAATATTCGTAAACTTTTCAAAAGTTTAGCACATTTATTTGCACACTAAAATCAAAAAATGGCACATAAATGGGCAAAATGACAAATTTTTCACTTTCAGCAATAGTTGTTTATATTTTTAGTTGAATGGTGATTGTTGATATATTTTAGATCATATATATTCAATTATGTGTCTTGTTATCTTCAAAGCATGGAAAATGTGTTTTAAACACAAATATACATATTAGGGATAAAATTACTACACTACCATGTTTTTAAAAGATTACTCAAAAATAGAATAGTGCGAAATAATTTTGTAACTTCACAGTTTACTCTCATATGAATCAAAGGATATGTCTATATATAAACATGATTGTTCACAACTCTCGAACTTAATCTAGCAACAGCCTGATTTTTCAAATCTCCCTGGTTCTATGTTAGAGCTGCATTTAAGTCATTTTAAAGGTCTAAGTTGCTCATGACACCACAAGCTATATATTCAGATATGTAAGATCTCTAAATAATTTTTATAGTTCTGAGAAACTCATCCTAAAATATTGTCCAACGATGTGCACTATGTTGTTTATTGCCACATGGACAGGTAGCAATACACCCTTGACTAGAAACTTTGTATTTGCAATTTTCTCTGCCTTTTGCCATTTTACATTTGCCAATTGCCAAGGACATATGTTTTTTGTGTTGCTACGAAGGTTTGTTTGTGAGTACTGGTACAAGACACCCATCTTTGATATATCTTCAAATAGGTATTGCACTTTGAGATTCATAGTAATTTAGAATGCTACCTAAATGGAGGACATAAGAAACTTTAAGAGCTCAACTCTCATCCTCTTTGCAAGCAACAGACTGAATACAAATTCTCTCAACATTGAATTCCTTTGTCTTGTCTGCAGCACTGTAATAGACATGGGCCATAAGGAGAGTGTCAACTTCTTCATTTCACAATGTTTGCATTTACCAAAATATCCCCAAGCCCAATATCCATCATGAACTTCCTAATTACACCACCCTTAGGTGTAATATGGAAATCACCAAGCCTTTGACAACATTGCAATTGATATGAGGGAATCACTCAGATGCGAGTAGGTAGTTACCAGTTTTGCCACCAGGTGGCTGATTCGGGGGAAATAACATGGCAGGGTATTACAAAATTCCCTTAAACTTGAATATGCATCAGTTTTAGTGGTTCACTTTTCAAATTACCCTTATGTATGTTATAGTTATACAAATTAAAATAAGTCCAGGAAAAGAAAATATTATCTGCCCAACACAAGAAAAGATATTTCACTTTTTGTAGTTTTACAACATGGGGTTATGGGGAATCTCCACGACCTAGAAGTCACATTTTCAAAGAAAATTAAATTTTCAAAGTTGATCAACTCTTTTCAAAACCACACTTTTAGATGTAATTTTATATGTAGATTCCAAATATGGCACCAGTTTGATTGAATTGTTAATTTTTTTTAATGACGTAAATCAAGATTATTTCTACTCGCATCAAGGATATTCAACCAATATGGCTTGATCACTGGTTATGATTATCACACTACTATACCCCATTACATTTTAATATGTTCCTAGTGTTCTACTATACATTGCATAGATTCATGAGCAGTTTGCAACGTATTATTACCAGAAAGCCCAAATAGACAAAGATAGAGAATACCCGCCCCATTTGCAACTCAACTTTAAATGTCTAATTTTTAGACTTGTATACTCATGAAGTTCCTGAAACATCTGAAAATATCAAATAATACATAGTATTGATCTAGAATAGCGACAACTTTCTTAAAGTCTATACTTTGAAATTGTTTGGTTTTTATATTTCTGGTTATTTTTTCAAAATGGGGTAGGGGAGATATGTAAGCTCTCGTGTAATGTCAGGCTGTCCTTACATGTTTAAATACCTTAAATCAAAGTAGGCAGGCAAAAAAACAGATTTGTTCAAGAATCCATCAACCAATCAGCATAAAACTCAAGATAAAAGGAAATACAGTAATGTTATTGCTAAACGTGGAATTTTGTTCTTAAATGTATAATTTTTAGACACTAGTATATTAATGAAGGTCCTGAAACATTAATTATTCCATTCAATAACACATAAGGAATGGCTACATCTTTGTTAAAGTTTATACTGGTAATTTGAAGTTATTTTTTATATTTTCTGGTCATCTTCCCTAATAAATGGGGTAGGGGAGATCTGAAAGCTCTAATACGAACATTGTTTGTCCACTATACATTATCAATACCTTAAATGGAAGAAAACATGTTCAAGAACAGATTTAATCAAAAATGCATCAACCAGTCAGCATAAAACTCAAGATATAAGGATTTATATGTTATTGCTGAAAGCAGCATTGATTAAAAAATGCCAAGTTTTGTCCTTAAATGTCTCATTTCTAGTCACTTGAATACCAATAAAGGTTTTTAAAAATCTTAAAAACGTTAAATAACACATAATATTGATATAGAACAGCTACAACTTTATTAAAGTTTATAATTTCAAGTTATTTTACATTTTCATATTTCTCGTTTATTTTCCATAATAGATGGGGTAGGGGATATCTGAAAGCTTTAATATGAACATTGTTTGTCTACTATACATTTTCTATATCTTAAACGGAAGAAGACATGCACAAGAACAGATTTAATTGAAAATGAAACAATCAGACAGCATAAAACTCAAGATATGAGGAACTATATATTACTGCTGAAAGCGAAAATGATAAAAAAAAATGCAAAGTTTTGTCCTTAAATGTCTCATTTCTAGCCACTTGTATACTGATAAAGGTTCTGAAATATCTTAAAAACATTAAATAACACATAATATTTATATAGAATAGCTACAACTTTGTTAAAGTTTATAATGTCAAGTTATTTTATTTTTCATATTTTTGGGTAATTTTGTATAATAAATGGGGTAGGGGAGATCTGAAAGCTCTAATATGAACATTGGTTGTCCACTATACATTTTCTATACCTTAAATGGAAGAACACATGTACAAGCACAGATTTAATCAAAAATGCAAGAACCAGTCAGCATTAAACTCAAGATATAAGGAACTATATCTTAATGCTGAAAGCGAAAATGATTAAAAAATGCCAAATTTTGTCCTTAAATGTCACATTTCTAGACACAAGTACACTAATGAAGGTCCTGAAACATCTGAGAAACCTTAAATAACACATAATATCGATATAGAATAGCTACAACTTTGTTTGAGTTGAACATTTCGACTTTTTGTAGTTTCCATTTTTAGCCATTTCTTTTCTAAAATATTCAAGGTATGTCTTCTTCGGAACAGTATTTAGATATGTTCGCAAGAGTTATATGCTTCGAGGCGAAATCCCTTATGCAGGACACCCTGATAGAATAAAAAATCAGTAGAAATTCCATCCAGCTTAAAAAGTCATTTTTTCCTTAACGGAGCCTCTTAGAAAATTTTCCACCCCGAGTAAAAAGCTGTGCGAATCAACCAATAGCTGTGAGTGTGATGGGAAAACTATGGGTTTACATATTATGGGTTTACATATGTGATTACTGTGAACTACATTTACTTAAGTATATTCCAGTGAAAGTATTAAATCAATCATGTACTGGATATTAAACTTGTATAATCTTGTTTTCAGACATTCAACAAGGCTAAAAGATCCAGTTACTATGTCATCATTAATTACAAGTGATGTGTTTTGACAAATTAAAATCAGGGTTGCTATGACATTTTCAAATCAATATTTCACAACCTTCTCTGACCACATTAGACAATTGCGAGGGGATTCATTGAACCATGAAAATAAAGATGAAAATTACTTTCTGTCTATACATGTACCATGTTATAAATTATTTTTATTTAATCAAATTAAAATTTTCATATTAATTATCACACAATGTAAAATCAAAATCAAACACCACATCAAAATGCCAAATACCATGCAAAATGCCATGTAATACTAATCAACATATGAAACAAGCCATTTTAATTGTGATTAAAAATGCAGCACCCATCTACATTTATATTAAGTGTGCAGAAATGACACATGTTATACACATACTGACATAATAGTAACAGTAAGACACTGCAAACCACACCCAACTAAAGCAACTCAAACTATGACACACTAAAAATTCATAATTGAATTGAATACGTTCATTTGAGCAGCCAGCCATCCTCCTATGCAGGTGTCTAGAAACCATAGCTTCTTCTTCCCAAAAATGAAGAAGATTCTTCTTCCCAAAAATGAAGAAGAAATTCTGGATTTTGGAGCCCTGTGCTCGGAGGATGGCAGTCAGCATATCGCATAATATTCCTCAAACTGAAGGCTTTTGTATCAAAGCCAAAAATAAACATATCTTTACATGCCTTTTATATGTCGCAATATAAAGCCCATTGTTATGTGTCACGTAGAATGTATTCATTCCAATTATTACTTTAGTACAATATTAATATCACTAGTTGCAAACAGGATTGTATTTATTATATAATTTTCAAAGGAAAACAGTGAATGACAAGACTGTACAATTAATGTGTTGCACATGTCCAAACTTGAACGATTAAAGACAATTTTAAAAATACTTTCTTAAGTTATTAAAAATGTTAACCAACACAAAACACAATGAAATCTGCAACTAGGTAACTAGGTAACTAAGGGACGCATGAAGCTGTCAATCACCTGATGAGCAGATCCCGCCCACTGAGTAAGATCGAGGTGATGCGATATACGCTAGGCCTAACACGCCCCCTTCAAAGGGCAAATATGTAAAGAGATGGGACAAACAGAACTGCTTGTAATGAGAATCACGGCTAAACACCTGAAATTGAAAATCCCCGAATGTGTACATCCTGTTACGTTATTAAACATTACTTAAGCATTTTGGTCGTTCACTATTAGGGATGCAATGCATTAGCTCAGCTATGACTTTTGTATTTCATCTGAAATAAATAAACATTCTATGTTCAACCCTATTAAGATTTACCATGCAACTCTTAATGATTTGACAGCCAATAAAGTTCTCGAAACAAACAGTTTGCCCATTAAAAAAATTCATCTCTCAGAACATATCATTTTTGAAACATCACCTAGTAGTTTTATATTTTTTATCTTTTCCAAAAACCTGACAACCGTGAACTTTTGCAGAAGAGTCAATTTTATCATGTTAAATCAGCTTTCTATCTTCTGTTTTTCATTTGTACTTAAAGCAGCTAAATTGTCAAATGATTAAGAGTCTGTAAGGACCCATGCATCTAACATTTCCATTTCCTGAAATCTAGGAAAGCAATGTGTATTAGTAATGCTTTATGGTCATAGTTCAAAAAACAGCCATTCAAAACCTTCTAAAATGCATACAGTAAATCCAAGATGCAATCCCAAAACAATTTTCCAGCTTAATTCAAGGATAATCAAATGAGGCACTTGGCAGAGAAGTAGGAAGTGACCTCACGAAGCTAGACATTGTAGGGAATTGTGGGATGTACAGAGGAGATACACAGAGGATTTATTGAAGCTGTTTGTTGATATGGGGTTTTGTTGAGCATTGAGAAACCCATACCCCATGCAGGAGAATGTGATACCCTATGAATATTATACACTTGGGAAAATACATACTATTTGTTAGATCCCAATAGACGAATCACTATGTTCAGAGAGGTAAGGATTTTTGATGGTATAAGACACTCACAATGAAAATATCTCATATTAAAATATATGACAATTAAGGAGAAGGAGGTAGAACATGATGTATGAAAGACTTTATTATCATGTGACTTTATTATCATATGATTACAATTGATTATCTGAATATGACATAATAATGTGTTATTTTAATAACAATTCTCCATGTTTCTTAATTTTTCATTGATGTAAAATTAATTGTGGCAGAAATTATAAATAATTAATTGAACTGATTAATCAAAATAATGAATGGATCGTGAATTCTAAATCTCTCCTCAAAAGCATGATAAGTGTGTCCCCCCAACCAATCACAATCATAAAAAGGAGCCAGATGGAGTCTGGGTGTGACCCCCCCCCCTTCATAATTGAAATATTGAATTATAATATCATGTGCCATTTCCTGAGCTGGAATATTCTACCCTCAATTAAACAATGTAAGGAGATGGAGCCTCAAAGAAACAGGTCATAAATTGTAACATGTTACTCAGTAGGCCTATAGCCATAGAAAATAGTTATGGGGTTAGTGATGTTAGTTAAACATGTGCCTTTAACAGAAGACTGTACATTAAACAGTAACTCATCCAACTCTTAACATCCAAGAAACCCTGACAGATCAGATAATCCACAACATTGTTTCAATCTCTTTCATCATATTTAAGTCTCATCTTGTACATTTTGTAATCTTTAAACTTTCCAAAACGTCAATGTACTTTATATCTCATCTTGTACATTCAGTAACCTTTAGAATTTTTCAAAACAGCCATTTTATATATTCAATAAATTCAATGTACTTTATAAGGGACACAATCATCAATATTGTACCTAAAACTAATAAAATGGACAGCGTTGGATTTACATAGCTGCAGCATGTCAAATTAATTAGTTCCAGCTTTGCATAGCAGAAAACAGCTCCGAAAATCTTATCAAGTAGTTTATATTGAAATGCACAGACAAGAAAAGTGAAACCCTTCCACCCATTCACAATAAGCAGAATGTATCAGAACTTGTCATTTTGAAGTCAATAGAGAAAAAACAACTGGTGAAGAGACATCCCCTTCAGAAATCATCATTGAAACACTTGTTGAAAATTTGAAGAACAGTGCATATAGACTTATAGGAAATGGCATACAATTACTTCAAAAGCACGGAGATCATCTTATCTGTCAGGATTCGAAACAATTTTTAGTTTGAACTCAATTTTGAACTCAATATCACAAAGGATAGCCCAAAATGTGAAGTGGTGCATATAAAGATATAGAGTTAAGAGTTATCATGAGCAATTTTCACTTTAATCACTAAACTGTCAAAAAGCTGCCTAGAAACAAGTATCTTGGAATCAGGGTGAAGGAGGAGTGCAATGTATGAATGGGCAATCGTAATATTGTTGCTAACATTCAATTATAGTAAATCATGCCATTTAATATATATGATGCCACTGGTACAATTTTACTGCATGTTGCTAATTTTGAAGAACTTCTTCAATTGTGTAAGCAATGCCATGTTTATAACTTGTGTCATCATAAATCTAAACCATCTTCATTCACTCGGCTCACATCAGTGGTCTGAATGCAGAGAATACTGAGTGTGCGAAGATGGAATCTAACCATTATATGCTGGCTTCACTGATGTAACAGAATTTATAGGATATGATTATCCAAATGAGTTTGTTCTTAAGATGAGTAGAATAGACATTCACACCCTGGTTTCAAGATAAATGTTCAGGGAACTATATGCTTTTATTTTTTTGACAATTTCTGACATTATTTTCATTCTCAAACTCAGTACAGACATGTTTATGCATGAGACACAGAGAGGCTGTTATACCTTTTGTACATACTCCCCCAGGAGTGTTGATATCAGGGGAACCAACATAAGACAAGCCCAACATGCCTATATCTCCCGATTCTACTGCCTGCGCAGTCATTAAATGCGCGAGACAAAATGCACTAAAATCATTACGTGAGAACACCTACAATGATAAATTAAGTAAAGGTTATCCTCAAATCTAATATCAATTTAGACAAACAGCCGTTAATTTCTGAGAGACTCAAAAGTGATAACGGTAACAGCCTTTGAAGGCCCTTTATATGCACCCTCTGAATGTCAAATGCAAAGTGCATACATGTAGTAGGGTAATATGTTAACGTCAACTGGTAAATATACATAACAAACATTTAGAATAGCTTAATGCATCACATCCCTCTTAGTAATTAGATAAATAGTTAAAATAGATAACATATTAAGTTTTAAAGATCCATTTCATAAGTACAAATAACAAAACCAGACAGATGTTCAGTTAGAAATTCAAATGAAAATTTCAGGGAAAATTCAAATAGTTCAATAATTTCTGGAAACACCGTAGTGAATCATTTTTGAGTGATCATCAAATTGGTGAAATAAAGGCAAAATATTCAACAATATTCAAAGATTTACAATAGCGTAAAATAAGTATGACAGTTTACAAGTATGATTGAGACTAGGCTTGTACCCAACCTACAAACTTGCTGAATCACTTTCTAAATTACAGAAATCTTATAAAGGTTCCCTTATGTATGGTAAATACTGATATATCATGAATGGGTGCAAGTGTACATATACTTACCTCTAACAAAGGCTTTGTTGGCCATATTAATCTCTCCATGTTATAATGTTCCTCATTTTTGATGGTCTCAGTGGGCTCTTCGTGCACCCGGATCTACATAAAGAAAAATAGTGCTATATATGTATACATAGCATGTTGGCATTTTTCACTCACTTCTATTTTGATTTAATATTATTATACATTTCTAAATAAGGTTCCTGCTACATTTAAAAAAAAATTAACAAGGCAATGATGTGCCAAACCACATACCATTTGTTACAGACACCAACTGCCAAAATGTGCATGCTGTTAAACTTGTACCTGCAAATGGTTACAAAAGTGTAACATATTGTTACATATAAACTTATGAAGTTACCTCTTTTATTTCAAAGCCCATGCCTTTGTATGAAGAGTCAAAGTCTGTCCTACGATAGAGAGCATCAACGCGGTCTATGAGCCCAATCTGAAATCCAATGAATCCTACTTCATTTATTTAGTCAACAACCCAACATACAGACTTATAACAGTATATTTAACCTACTATTAGTATTACTAAAGAAATGTGCACATGGTGTTGAGTAAGAGAAAGTTCAAGTATACTCTAGTGATCCAGTCCATGGATCAAGCCCTTATTTTACCTCAGTTGCTACTTCCCTATCTTTCTAAAATATTTAAAGAGTCATGATCAATGCCTTTATGCTCTGTGTCAAGAACCTTTCCCCTTTTAACCTTTTTATCATCATATAAGTCAGTGTTTTTCATTTATCACTCATAAATATTATTGAAGTGGTTGTAATAAGATTTACCAAATAGTTTGTAGTCCTATATATGTTACTCTGTCCCATTTCCCTAAAGAATCTATAGTCGGCCACCAAAAGTAATGGGCAGGTATTCTTCGTTGGAGTGAAAGTGCTTTGTCTCTTTTCCCTAGCTTCACCTAAAAAAAGCAGCAAAAATATTGGAGAGCTCCTCATTGTTAATTCTTCAGTAATTAACATCCAGTTAAAAACAGCAATAATACATGTACTGGAGTTCAGTGAACTGGAGAAATTACTAATTCCAAAAACTAAGCCCGTAGATGCATATGTATATGAAAAATAAACAAATACTAAACACTAAAAATACTAACCATAATAAATAAATAAGTCACTGAAAAGAGCTGATGTTAAGAGCTGATGTAAAACAGTCAGTTCACCCAAGTGGGGGTCAAATGTATGACCTCTCGCTTTAGTGCTGTACCACTAAGCTACAGAATCTGTTGACTTTTCCACATCTACATTGCATATTATATAGCATAATACAGCCATGTCTTACATGCCCAGTTTCAGGAACTCAATACTAGTTTTACTTGTCTTTCCAGGTTGTCAATCAAACAATGAAATAGGAAATGAGACAGTTAAGCAATAATGCAAGGATTGCAGACATACCTTGGTTGTCATCTTCTATAACGTGTCCTCCATCCTCTTTGGGATCAACATGGACGTAGCCACAGAAACTAGAACTGAAACACAAATGTTTACATCAATCAGACATGGGAGACAACTTTTGCAAAGACAGTAGGTAGGTATTCTTTGCTAATACTATATTTTCTTAACATGTAAAACTGTGGTCCTTTATTTCATCTGCTTATAGGTCTGATTGTTTTTCCCAGGTTTTATCTCAATGGCATTTGAAAAACTGTAGATAGAACAATGAGGCCAGAGCTTGATTGAATTTAGCACAAAATTTAACACCAAATGCTTTATCTTGTTTTTATATTAGTAAATAGTTTAACTTAATTTCTTTTGTCTGAAATTCAGGATTACAATTTATACTTTCTGCAAAATATTTATTGTATTTATATTCACTATGGTAGCATTTAAGTCACGATTCTCTTGATACTAGAGCCATCTATCGGAAACTAAATGAACGAATGGATGAGGTGAGGTTCTTGAGCAGGATATCATCTACTCACTGGGATATAACTAGGACAGAGCAAACACTTAGGTTTATAAATCTACAATAATCCAGTATTGATTTTATATGATTGTAATTCGATTCAATGCTTTGTACAATTTACTTTGGTCATAATAAAATAATAATAAACAAAGTCGAGATATTAAATGACCAGTATTAATTAAGAAATCACCATTGAAATCAGTTAATTAAATATGCATATACTTAACAGAAAAAAAATCAAATAAAAGTAAGACTTTGGAGATCAAAAAATATTAAAATATTAAAAAGGTCAAGGAGATAATCTAATTGTCTTTCTCTTAATAAATCAACTGACATGTCATCATCGCCATGTAAAGCTATCAATAACTGAAACATCACTAAGATCTATTCCAAAGTGAATGAATATGGATTAGCAAAGCCTATTTTAATCGGCAATCATCTTACTTTTTATTATAAAAATTGTAAGCCATGTTGCAAAGAAGTTAATTCATTTTATGGGATACCAATTTTCAACCCAGAGAACTGGTAAGTGCAAATTACATGTTGTTTGCTTTAATGGTGATAAGGTTTTTTATAAAAGGGATCCATGTTTTAGTAGTCAAGTATCAATATAATGATCAGCTTATATCGTTACAATTACAGTGTATTGATAAGCAGGAAGAAATATCAAAATTTCTTGCACAAAATATACACCAAAAAGAATATCCTTAATTTTTGAAAAACTATCAATGTCTTCAAAATAAACTGAATTTATGAACTGAGTTGTGAGCTGAATAATACACAAAGGCAGTGATTTTCACTAGGTTGCTATTGCCTATTTACTTCAGAATGTCACCAAATTTCCACACAATGTAAACAGATTTGTAACGAGGTGCCGTGTTATTTAAGAATGTAAATGTTTTATGTATCTAATGCAGTAAATAGAAACAATGATGAATGAAATTATATTACCTTGCTCATTACTAACATGTTATTGAATTTTGTAGATATAAAGACATGTTGGGATTAGTAGTTCTGAGTCTATGGCTGAGATGGGCAGAGTGCATCCAAAAGAACATATTGATGATAATCGTTGATGACCTACGACCCGAGTTAGGATGTTACTACACACCCGGCTCACCGTTCCATGGCAATATGCATACACCAAATATAGATCAACTTGCATCAAGGAGTGTTCTATTCCAAGAGGCCTATGTGCAGTATCCACTATGCAGCCCGAGTAGATCTTCGTTATTTACTGGGCGGAGACCTGACACTGTCAAAGTTTATTCAAATGCCATCTATTGGAGAGAAACTGGTGGCAATTTTACAAGTTTTCCGCAATATTTGAAACAAAATGGCTACACTGTGCTTGCAACAGGAAAGATGTTACCAAAAAGTTCTAATGTAATGCAAGACCCTATATCATGGACAAGACCAGTTGATGTACCCCGAAACATATCTGTGATTCGAGGGACTAAATCAAGAACACAGACCTTCACAGATAATTCTGCATATCTACGCGATATGGGAGTGGCAGATAAAGCAAAGGAATTTATGAATGAAATAGCTTCAGGAGAATCCAAGCCATTTTTCCTGGGGGTTGGATTCTATAAACCCCACCTCCCTTGGGTCTTTCCTGATCGCTATCTACAGTACTATCCCGAGGAAGACATAGCTCTACCCTCAAACCCTTACCCCCCAGAAAATATGCCTGACATTGCATGGACGGGACATGCAGCTATTTTTAATAAAAAGTACAAGGATATTGTAGCACTGAATATATCAGGAGACCAAAGGAGCAGCAGTGATCTACCCGATGAAGTGGTTCGACAACTTAAGAGATCATACTGCAGTTCTATATCTTACATTGACGACTTGGTTGGTGACATTGTGAAGCATCTTGAACACACAAAACTGGCTAATGACACGATAATTGCATTCATGAGTGATCATGGCTGGCATTTAGGGGAGCATGGACGATGGGGTAAAGCAACAAGCTTTCATTTAAATACAAGGACACCACTAATGATCCACATTCCAGGTGTGACAGATAAAGGAGATGTCACACACGGTAAGGTGGAATTTGTTGACATCTTTCCCACTTTACTTGAAGCTGCTGGTGTTGAAGCGATTCCCAAATGTCCCCATATGTCCCATAGAATAGCTCTCTGCCATGAAGGTCATAGCTTTTTACCTCTTTTACACAAGCCGAAAAAGCGTTGGAAAGAAAATATATTCTGGCAAGTGAAATCAAAGAAGAGCACGATGGGGTACAGTGTGTACGACGGTAAATATCGCTACACAATCTGGACCCCTTATACGGATAAAAGGGTTAAGATAATGAAAAAAGATATAATTGCAGAGGAGTTGTATGATCACATGACTGACCCTCAAGAGACAGTGAATGTAGCTAATAAGGAGCAACATAGGAGACAGGTATGGAAGCTAAGAACAACATTGAAAGATGCTTTCAATAAAGGAATTTACAGTGAACCACAGTAGACTAGATAAGGAATAGTATGTAAAGTAAAGCATAATTCAGAACATTATGGTAAAGTAAAATAAAGTACAACACAGTATGGCAAAGTGTAATATAGTACAGTACAGTGTGGAAAAGTACAGTACAGCAAGGTAAAGAGTAATCTAGTACCGTATAAAGTGATGCAGTACAGTATATAACAGAGCAGTACAATACTCAACTAATTGAATGATACAAATATTTATTGCCCCAAATGAATGTACAGTATATTTCATTATGCCGAATCACCAGCATAGCAACACTCAACTGGCTGTTTTTTTTAATGTCAATATAGATCCCAATGATCTGAAATGTAGTTTTCATGGCCTCAGCTACTTGTGGGTAAAAAATCAAGTCAAGTGTCGTGAATTTCTGAATAAATGCAGTGAAACCTGATACCTAATCTGAACACCACTGGGAACAGCTAAAAGTGTTCGGATAAGCAAGTATTCTCATTTCCAGTTTTTTAACAATAATTGGACTGAAAAAGTGTTCACATTAAGAGGTGTTCATAACTGAAAGGTATTCAGATATACAGGTTTTACTGTAAACTGTTCAACTGGGTAAATAAAACAAAATGATGTCGAGGAGTGAAATTAATGAATAATTAAGACTTATTAATTCTAACTATTTAATGATATGGATGATCATTAGAGATGTCAGTCTATCAATCATTTCTATGTGTTGTTGATAAAATAAAAGCTTTGTTTCCCAATATGAAGATATCAATGTCTCGTGAAGATGTAGATGTAAAATATTTTTAAATCACCAATGCAATATGCAATATATACATAGAATGTGAATTTCTAAGTAATTTTCACCATAGTGTATTCATTATTACATCTGAATGTTTTCTAATGCCAAAGTTATGCAACATGTAGACTTTGTCAGGCAAGTTTTAGGGACTTTAGCATGTAGGGAAAATTAACATATTTGGTACATTTCGAGTTTGTCGCCAATAAGATTGCTAATGATACCGGTAATTACAACATTTTTTAACTAAATATCAGGATAACTGTAATTAAAACTATGTGTACATGTATTAATAATAAAAAAAACTTACTTTTGTCCTCCCTGAGATTGTTTATTTTTCAGATCATTTCGTCTATAAGCTATCATGGTATAGTTGTTAGACTCAGGTAAATGGCGCCATGAAGGCTAAAAATAGAATGATTGTAGAACTAAATGCAAGATATAACAAATCATGAGTCCATTCATGTTTCAGTCAAAATGATTAAATATATGGATTTGAATTCAGTTGGAAAATGTCATTTGTTACAGATGCCGAACTCCAAACATTGCAGATTGCCAGACCCAAAACACTGTCCTCAAAAAAACTGGAGACTATAAAAATATGTTACCTTGTGGTGGTGACATAATTATAGTGTTAAACAAAATGTAATTTCAGTTATATTTAAACACAAGCACCAAGATACCATCAATTGTAAGGTATTCATGAAGAAATCTAGAAGGTAGGCCAAAAAAGCAAATCTTAACATTGTCAAATCGTTTTTCAATATGCTTTCTCTCTGATTCGTGTTTTAAATTTCATAACCCATAACAAATGTTTAGGTAAATATGATTTCTCTCAAAATTGATGTTTTTGCTGCACCATGTACACAGTAACACATCATATATTTTTCTGGGGTAAATGCTTGGCTGATACCCAGGCCATAGCCAGTAGGTAGGGGTTTCAAGGGGTTTGAGCAAACCCCCCTGGCCAAAAATTCTTTCAAAATCATGGAGTTTTCCACCATTTTGTGCACTTTTCGAGTGATCTGGGCCAATTGTCAAAGTTGAATCCCCCGTAATTTTTCAAAAAGTGAACCCCTAGTCCCCTACCCTCGGTGTATTTGTCCACCATTCATAAGTTGACACAACCACACTTTTTTGGTGTTTAACTATTTCATAACTCACCTCATAGACATATGTGTCATCTGGAGTTGTGATAGTTCCCGTCATTGCATCCCCCTCCCAGTAGGCATGCACCTCAGAGTGAAGCTCACCTACAATATGATGTCATAAATACACATATTTTGGGAAACAAGAGGAGACAGTTCAACAATTCTGGAAGTCTTCATTATATCTATGTACATGGTAAGACAAAACTGCCATATGTACAGGAATATCTGTTAAATTGGAGGGCGGACTGAAAATGTTCGCATTGACTGGTGTTCATATGATGAGGTTGATAAGCAAATGAGTTCTCACATTTTCAGGTATTCACTTTGTGGAGGTATCAAAAAATACAGGTTTAAAAATGAATAAGTGAAACATAAAAGTGTACTTACCAAATACATGACCTTCATAGAAACCTCCCTCCTGCCATGGTACAAGTTTTTCGTTGTTTTTTCCATCTATTGAGACTACTTTAAAATGGTCATTTAGAAGGCCTCTCCTAGGCTGGAGATAAAGCTTGAAATGCCTGCAATATACCCATTATCGTTATTCTTAGTACACTGGTCAAGGAGTGAGCAATAAATTTGATTATTGGTCAACAGCATTTGTAAATTCTGTTCTAAATATGACATCATAATAATATAAAATAATCAGGGAATATCAAATTTCTTTTAATTTTTTTTCTTACATTTCTTATATTTTAGTATCAAAATCAGATTGCTCTACAAAGATGTCACACGACACCTGGATGAATCCGTATAAAATATTGCATTTAAGAAAATTGCTAAAAACCAATATCAGTGATCTCCACTGGATTTTTTCTCAAGATTCTATTTTTACAATTCAGACTAAAATTGGTCAAAATATGGCCATTTTTCATGAATTTTGTCATTTTCAAGTGGGTTCAAATGGATTTTCAGGTGGATGCAAGACTATTTTCAAAATCTCATGTGGGTGCTGCGCCCACTTGCTTTAATGCTGGGGAGATCACTGTATAATATGAATGTTGTATAATTATACCTTCCGAGACTGTCAAACTCTACAACTTTATGTGTTGGTGAGCCCTCTACACTACGTTTGGTGATTGTATGTTTCATATGTACATGGTGAAGCGTCTCATAATAATGAAGTGAATTGTATAGACTGGATGACTCTGAAAATAAATGAACAACATGATTAGATACAGTATACACTATTTGCATACACTCCCCTTCAGAAGTTTGGCAACTTGAATTTATTAAAAATAGCATTTCAAAGACTTTCAATGTTTGATTTTCAATTTTGTTTACAATACCCATACATGTAGTTCAGCAATTCATGACATTTTAATTCACCAAAGTAATATTATGATGTAAAGAACATGTAACTTTAAAAACAATTGTTGAAGGTGTTAGGATTTGTAGTCAAATGTAATGAATTCATACTCTGAGGTGGAATTAGTTCAGTTGAAACAATTAACCAGAGTGATGAACATTTGTCAAAATAAAATACTATTGATTTGGAAAAATATGAACCCATTTCTCCGAACCAGCATAGTAGCTCATTAATGAGGTTTAAGGTAAATATAGAGTGTTACACAAAACTTGGCACCCGATTCAATTTTTTTTCAACTATAATATAAATGTGTCCTTATTTCACTCGATTAGGTATTGATTGACCAGTTATCTAATATTTGTAATTGAGAAGTTCAACTGAGGTGCATCAAATTCTTGCCTGATTGCCAATATAATTGCTATTTGAAAGCAAGCTGGAGAAATGGCACTTTTGAACATATTGAGATGAAGCAAACAACAGAATTTTGATTCAATCATTAGAAATTAAGGTGCCAATTCTAGAGAGGGATTTACATTTTTGTAATTATAAATTTTATATTCACTGAGTGAATTCTGGGAACATCAGCATTTTGAATCCCTGTGTTGCATGATATTCTCCAAATGAAGAGAAAGGGGGCAATATGTAGAGGCTTAATGAAACTAGTACTGATATTTCTCTGATGACCATCAATATAATGCTGTTGATAATGTTTTGACTGATATTGATGAAATTTCCCCTAAAATATATTTTTAAAACAATGCTAAATCTCTTTTGTCCAATAGACTAAGTAGTTCCCATGATTATTTCAGATGGTAAAAAGTAAGGCAGAGAAGATTACTATTAAACTCAAAACAAAGGAAATAGACAGAAAAAAGCTAAAACCTTCAATATGCAGAAATAAACGTAATCCCAGGGATGTACATGTAATATCATTGAATATGAAAAGCAAGTCTCATGTAAAAATGCCTCGCTCAAAGTAAAACTTCCATTCAACAAACCAACATTATTTAAAGCCTACAAAATGCGCAAATAAATGTCATCCTAGGTTGGTAATATCGGTGAAGATAAGAATTAAGTTTCATCTACAAATGCGCCACTCATAGTGAAACTTCCATTCAACAAACCAACATTATCTAAAGCCTACAAAATGCGCAAACTAGAAAACATTAACTCCACAGAGTATCAAATCCCACCTAACAAAATATGTCTTGATAAAAAGGGACCATCTTGAAAATTCTTTATTGAACAGACCACCCTTGTCCCTAGGCATCAGCATATGAAACTTGAACCAAATTCATGAACTTGTATTTGGATTATCAAAGATTAGATTTTTAACAATAAATGGTGGCCATTTTGTACCCTTTGCATTGTACACTATATAAATAGCGTTTCAATCGTTTCAATTGTTTCAATCAATTCAATGGTTTCAATGCTTGCATCATTTCCTAAATCTCAATGCTTAAGTCATTTTGAGCATTTCAATCGATTCGCCTTTGAAATTAATTTAAAGTTTTGCTGTTTGCGCATGTTTCGCCGTTTCAAGCATTTCAACCATATGAACAATTCATGACGAAATGGGCGAAACAATTGAAAAAAAAACGAACATGCACGTTTTTCGTTTCAAGCATTTCGCCATGGCTTTTCAACTGTTTCAATCAATACATCTCAAAAAATAAAATTACTGTTTCGCTGCTTTCGCCGTTTTAAGCATTTCAATCAATTCGCCTAAGGTGTTTTCACATTATCTTTCATTTCAATCATTTCGGCCTTTTCGCCCCCCATTTCAAGCATTTCGCCTGCCAGTGTACACACCCCTTAAGGAACATGACGTGTGTTTGTGCATGGGCTTTCAACTAGACAATCAAGTAATCCAATCAACCAAAAATTCAATCAATCAATCAATCAATCGAACATATATGAATTTGAAATCAAGATAGATAGCTTGGTGAGGTGGTCTAGTTGAAAGCCCATGGTTTGTGGCACAGAGTACTGTGCTTACTCCCAAATAAAAAATAGTTTTTATCATGTTCTTCTTCACTTTATTTTATATTTTTGAATCCTTCAAAAATCATGTCGAATGGGGAATGGCTGCATGTAGGTGATATTAGAGAGAGACGGGGAACCACAACGAGATGATTGGTGGTTGGGAGCACTAATGCTAAACTGAGATGACGAGCACCAGAAGATAACCCTCGGTATTTTCAGATGACGGCTGCATGATATCGCAGTACACAGGATTGGTGAAGCTCGGAGTAAATGTTTACTCACCATGTATTCCAATAGCTTTTGCTACATCCATAAAGAGAAGTGTGATTACTACAATCCACATCATCTTTGGTGTCAGTCGATAGTCCATTCTTCTATTATACGATTCCTAAACAAATCAGCATTTTAGACGACTTGGAATATGAAGTAAATACCACTTTAGTGGCCGTAAAAATAAAATTCCCACTTTCAAAGTTTTTCCTGATTCTACGGAGTGAATAAAATCGAAAGTAGGTCAAGTCAATTAACGAAATTTGATTGTTTAGCATAAATTATAAAATATTTAAGATACCTAATATTGTAACTTTATATCATTTAATTATAAAAAATGTATATAATTGTACTCAAAAGCCAAAAACAGATTTAAATTTGTTTTCAAATTGCATTCACCTCAATCGACATATTATCGTCCAGCAAACATGTCGGTCCAATCTCTTGTAAACAAAAAGAAGAAGGATTTTATTGGTCTTCCATCACCACTCGGCTATGTACCTGGTCTAGGAAGAGGGTAAGTTCATGAGCCTTCAATTGATAGCCATATGTTGCAATGTTTAAATGATCTAATGCAAATGACACAACACATATGAAAAGTAAAAAATCAAAAAAATTCAAAAAAAATCTTGAAAGTCAGTGTCAAGCTTTATGCTTAGACCCTCTAGTCTATGTTTTCCATTTCCAACTAGATCTAGACCTGAGAGATTTCCATATACGCACTTCAATCCTAGCTTCTCCACCTTTTTCGCCAGAGCACAAAGTGTACAGTGGGGGACAAAAATAAAACTCAACGGTCACAAGTTGTCACAATGAGCTAATTTCCAAGTTTTGTGTCTCAAACTCTCCCAAGCGGTAGAAAAATAATTCCTGTTCACTAAAGTAGCACAATAAATGAATCCAAAGCTTCATACCTGCAAATAATGGATGAATCCCTACCAAATCGAATGCATGTTTTCATGAATCGCCATGTTTGTTATCCAAGGACGGTTGACTCCCAGAATGCAACATCAGTTACCGTATTTACTCATGACAGGTTTCAAAATGGGGGAACAGCATTTTGAAAGCTGGCACGTGTCATGTTGCATTCTGGGAGCCAATCCTCCGTTCCTGCCCAATCGGGCAACAAAATCACCTCAACATTTGAAGAGTCGGCATAACATGTGAATATCCACTTCAACTTTTGAAGTTCTTATTTGTCATTAGGGACACAAATTCCAGTATATTTGGACTTACTCAGACGGAGAAAATAGAACACTGAATACACTGAGGTAAGAATTTATTACATGTGCGACAGCATGTAATTTTCATAGCTTTTGCAATTCTTTATGATCCCCACTGTAGTTCTTTCCTCTGAGTCTCCTTTTCCTCAACACTGAGAACAAAATCCCCATGGAAAAGTTCAAAGGGGGATGTGGTCACACCCAATGCACCCTCCTGGGTATGTCCAAGATACATGTACATAAGCCAATATAAATGTACTTTGGGTTATAAATGTATTTGTATGTTTTCAGTGCAACTGGATTCACCACTAGGTCTGATATTGGTCCTGCCCGTGATGCAAGTGACATCTCGTAAGTATTTTCATATATCAATATGACTTTCGAAAACACATATTGCCTCTTTTAAAGGATGTATATAACTATCTAGGCCTTTGAAAACATTAAGAAATGACTTTTTGAGGATAATCTTCAATTTGATTCCTTTTCATTAAGGTGGAACTGGAGTTAATAAATTAGCCAAAAAGAAATTACTGGAAAAAGTACCATGATATTTCAAGCTGTTTTTCTTGGCAACGAATGTACTCCATGAGTTAAAACATATATCAAAATGAGCACCACATGTATACGTATATTACACAACAATTTAAATTACATTTTAAGTGCTATGTTCCCTAGAGACAGCATTTGGACCATAAAGTGAGAGTGATTCTGGTAAACTTCAAAGAATACTTCTAGCACCGGAACACATTTGAAAAATTTCGGTAAATCATCTTTCCTTACCAGGGAACACCAAACAACTGTGAAAATGTGCATAAGTTGTGTTGATATTGAGATGGGAGGCTCAAACCACATGTCATCAATTTATTTCTTGTCATCCATCTTTTTTTCTTGCACTACTTGTTTTGACAGTCCAGGGAAATATTTCTCAGATTGATATATGAGACAAATAGATATGACAATACAATATACTTGTATTTTTTATCATCCATTATATCTGTTGATTTATTTCATTGTTAGAAATTGCAAATTTATCATTATTAAAGCTATACTGTGTATCTAATATTCCCTGGAATTCACCTGTGAAATTATTTTGTTTTGACACATGATTTTACATTTTTTGACACTTTAGCTTATTAGCCCGAAATGAAGTTATTCGTAAAGATCGAAGAAGGAATAAGTGCGCAACTGATTTAAAATTATATAACATTTTATTTTGACGAACTAATAAATGCACAAATTATCGTTTACTGACCAAAAATGGATAAAAACTGCGTAAATCTGTTTCAAAATTTGTTCCGGAAGTAGCCTATTCACGATCGTAACCTTGAAAAACGCTACATTCGCTAAATGAGATCTTGTATTTTAAACAAAATGAGATCGTAATTACATATTTAGCCGTTTTTTTGGCTTTTATTTTCTTGAATAAGTGATAAAAAATCATCTTATTGAAAATTTGTTATGTTAATCTGTTTTATTTATCATCTGAAGTCAGAATCATCACTCTCCAGTGATATTATATTCATCCGCCATTTCCTCTTATAGCCGTTAGATTACATGTATTTGAAGGAATATCATCAAAATGTAACCAAAATACTCAAAATTGGAGACAACTTGGAGATGTTACATCTTATATAGAGGTTAGTCTTTAATAAAATCGCCTGATCTTATGCGATCAGAGGGATTTCACTTTGCAAAAGCAATTTCATTTCAAATCAAAAGATTTTTGTTGATAAATCGCTGATAATAAAATCACAGATATCATGCCACAAAATTAAACTTTCAATTATTCATAAACTACCATTTAAATTATGATTTCACGAATCGTTTGTTGTTCCTGACATATCTATAGATCATTATAGTGTATCAGTTATTCATTTCTAATATGTTTGTTCTCGGCAGTATTCCTGGAAAGGGACAGTGACAATTTGATAGCTGTTTCTTTTATTGCTGATATCACACTCATGTGGTAATCCTTGGGTAAATTCTTACTCAAAATGTTATCTTCACATGTTGATTCAAATTATCTGTAACATTTTCGCTTGAAACGTTGTGCTTTATCCTCAGATTCTTATCTCAAAATGAGTCATATTTTATCTTTTTTTTTATTTCACATCTCCATATTTTTTTCAAATTTCAGTTAAGGTATGCGTTACCTTAACTAAATCTTATAAATGCACTTTACATTTCCACATTGAATGTCAACGTGCTCTAATAACGAAAGTGAAAGTGTTTGGCCGTTGTCAGGAATCTCCCAAAACAAATGTTACAATGAATGTCTCCATATCTCCATGTCTCATTTGAAAAGGTGTCAAAAACACTTTGATAGTTTATATACAACCTTTAATTAAAGTCACTTGTGGACTTTTTGAAGTGACATTACATTTTCACATGACTCAAGTGATTTAGACAATTCAGAAAATCCTTGATATAAAATTGTTAATCTTGAATATCCTGGGAGTTAGATCCCTTATCAGTGAAATATATTGTGTAATTGTAAAACATGTACATGTAGTTGACTTTTCTCCTAATTCCAGAGATGACAGGCATGCACCTCCAGTAAAGAAACCAAAGAATGATGATGAAGAGGAGGAAGATCTAAATGATGCAAATTATGATGAGGTATTTGATATTGCTCAATCTTATATAAAGTTCCCCATAGTTTTATGGCATCTTAGATGAAAAAAGCATGGATCATTGATATTGGATGAGACAAAATGTCTGTTATGATATGAGATGCAAAGAGGGACTTGGCTGGCTCAACTTTTTAGCTCATATGATGAGCTATTGCAATCACTCACTTGTCCGTCGTTTTTATAAAATAAAATAAATATACATATGGATTTTTTTAGATAGTTTAAAATACTGAGTAAATTGTATAAATAAATAAATAAATAAATAGAAAAACAAAAAATTGAAATAAATAAAAAATGTTAACTATAAAAATAGAAAACAAATGAAAAATGTTAACTATAAAAATATACTGTACACTGAAGCATTCATGGACTTGTTAATAGAGTTCAGGGACCCAGTTATGTCTTATTTATTAAATCCATGCAGGGAAGGGGAGTGTTTCCATGGACTAAAACGTTAAACCCACCAATGCTCAGTCACAAGCCTGAGGAACCTGCTTTTATATATGATGTGGATTTTATCTTACCAATCAGGCTACCAATCATGACTTATATATTAATATGGGTATTTCCTATAATTAATATAATACTGGATGTAAACTTACCAAATATGACTTTAATATTAATATCAGTTAAAACCTATAATTAATTAAATACTGGATATGACAAATAAATAAATAAATTATAATCTACCTACATGATGTAGATATCCAAATGTTAGTCTGAAATTATCTTTGTGGAAAGATTGTATGCTTCAGTTGCTTTTTAACAAAACATGTGGGACAGTGTATCTATATATTACAAGATGTCCGTCTGTCTGTCAACAATTGGCCCGTTTTGAAACCACTGTCGATAGGATTTCTGTTTTGAGTTATTTTTGTTCAAAATTAATATAGAAAACCTCTCTAATATTTTAAAAAATGAAACAAAATATACATGTGCATATTTCGACATTTTATGTAGTTACTTATAAGTTAAGTTTGTTTAACCTCAACGAAAGAAAAATACATCCATGTAATGATCATATCTGATAATATATACTTTGACTTATATTCCATGTAATACATGTAGCAAATAACAACAATGTAATTTTCAGTTCTCTGGTTATGGAGGTAGTATATGCAAGAAGGATCCTTATGACAAAGATGATGAAGAGGCAGATGAAATTTATGAAGCTGTGGACAAAAGAATGGATGAAAAAAGGAAAGAACGCAGAGAAGAGCGCTTGAAAGAGGAGATAGAAAGATATCGTCAAGAAAGACCCAAGATTCAACAACAGTTTTCAGATTTAAAGGTACTAGTGCTTTATATTGCCTTGTTTGATTAGTTTTAGGGGTTTCACTAGAATTTCTCACAACAGGGTAAGTAAATGAAACAACAGGCAAAATTAATGGAAATCATGAATTTTACATGGAAAAGATGAAAAATCCCTAAAAACAACAGACGATTTTGTGAAAACAACAGGTGAAAATCGCCTATTGCCTGCTGCTAATGAAACCCCTGAGTTTGATGAAGAGAGCTTCATCTTACTCCTCTAGTGAAAGTAAGAATCAATCATTCAATTTAGCCTTTAAACCAAGAAGAATGTATGTTTTCAACCTAGCAATTTGCTTCTCTATAGTATGATCTTAGGTCATGGTTTTTGAAGTTTAACAATTTTCATTTGAATTTGTTCTAGTACGCTTAAGAAAACTGTTTAATTTCTGAAAAGCTATCCAATTTTAGGAGAGAGAGCTGTTCATCATATAGCGTATTTAACATAAAATCCATGGTCCAATGCCAGAATGTTATTTGTCATGCAAACAACCCATGAATGAATCAAGACATACTAACAAAGTAACATTTGTGTGTTTTCAGAGGGAACTAAAAGATGTTTCATTTGATGAATGGAGTAGTCTCCCAGAAGTTGGAGATGCCAGGAATAGAAAACAAAGGAATCCTAGGAAAGAAGTGTAAGTTTATAATATTTATGTAATATATTTAACAGCTCGTATCATTGTTTCCTTTACCATATTCTTGTATCCTCAACCATTTACTTGTTCAGCATACAGAATCTGTAACAAACAATAGGTGCAGACATTTTGCATGTTAATGCCTATAATTTTTTAATTATTTTGAAACCAAATATATGAGTGACTCTGAGTCTCAATAACTTAAGTGAAATCAGTTGTCTTTGGGCTTTTTAAGCAATTCCAAGAGAAAAAGTTTGGATATTCTATTAATTCAAAGAAATGCATTTTGTGTTTTTATTTATCAGATCGAATGAAACCCTTAGTAAATGTAAGTATTAAATCATGCATGTCAGATTATCATTGTGGAAAATCCTTTTCAGGTATACTGCCATGTCAGATTCTTTCCTTGCTAAGGCGGTGCAACAAGGTCAGAGCTCTACAGCTATTGACCCTAGAGACCAAAAATATGGGGGCCTAGATACCCCCTTCCCAGGTGGGATGACACCAGGGGGCACCACTTCTACAGATATTGATATGAAGAAAATTGGGCAGGCTAGGAACACTCTCATGGATATAAAACTTACTCAGGTTTGTAAAAAAAGAAGTTTGTTTTCAGTGTATTTTTGTTGTTGTCATCTAGTTTATACACTCAAAAAATATGGATGCTGTTTGAAAAGTTATTTTCCAATACCATCCTTGGTATACGCAGCTAACGAAAATTGACCGGTACAGGTCAAAAGCTCGACCGGTACGGGTTAACGGTTTTATTTGAATTTAAAACAGCCATAACTTGCTCAATATTGACTTCCTCGTGTCTAATTTGAAATATATGATGCCTCCTGATGCTTTTAAGTACCCCAATTTTTTACAGATTTTTAAACGGACCAAAACTCTCTAAATGCGCATTTATGCTCTTTTTTCTCTCGAGAACGACTGTCTCATTTTCACGATAACTTTTATTTAGTACTTCTAACATATAAGATCTATTTTCCCCATCAAGGTATGATGTAAATGACATGCTATTTACATCTTGTGAGTTTCAATGACGCGCGTTTGATTTTATAAAAAATGCCAAACTTTGTGACAAAGAATTTCATCAGCTATTGCCCCGAACCGGTCCGTCTTCTCGCTGCAAGCAGATTGCCCCGAACCGGTCCATCTTCTCGCTGCAAGCAGGATGAAATTCTTTGTCACAAAGTTTGGCATTTTTTATAAAATCAAACGCGTGTCATTGAAACTCACAAGATGTAAATAGCATGTCATTTACATCATACCTTGATGGGGAAAAATAGATCTTATATGTTAGAAGTACTAAATAAAAGTTATCGTGAAAATGAGACAGTCGTTCTCGAGAGAAAAGAGCATAAATGCGCATTTAGAGAGTTTGGGTCCGTTTAAAAATCTGTAAAAAAATTGGGGTACTTAAAAGCATCGGGAGGCATCATATATTTCAAATTAGACACGAAGAAGTCAATATTGAGCAAGTTATGGCTATTTTAAATTCAAATAAAACCGTTAACCCGTACCGGTCCAGCTTTTGACCCGTACCGGTCAATTTTCGTTAGCTGCGTATACCAAGGGTGAATACATGCTGAGAATCTAGCTGGCCAAGATCTAATGGTAACTCCTAACTAGACAAGGCTTTCAATCTGGTTCTTATATTTTACCCTGTTCACAACTGATTGTCTTTAGATACATTTTATATGATGTGTATTCAGTGTGAGTCAAATTGATTCTGGGTTGAATTGCGCTGATTCTTCAATTCACAGGTGGGCAAAGTGATGACTGCTATCACAGAGGAAATTGACCCCCAGTGAGCCAAAATTGTATCTCACAACTCACTATATATCTACCTTTGTTACCCTAGCTTTAAGATAAATAATAATTCCACCTTTACACACACATGGATGTAGACATGTTTGTATTTTTTAGGTATCTGACTCGGTGAGTGGACAGACAGTGGTTGATCCTAAAGGTTATTTGACTGATCTCCAGTCAATGTTGCCGTCTCATGGTGGGGATATCAAGTGAGTAGATTAGCCTATATGCTCTTACATTTAACCTCTAATCGTATCCTTACCATAAAATCTTTTTTATTGCATTGGGTATGTGCTATATTGTTAGTGTCATCTTGTGTAGATGGGTGGGTCAGCTGAAGTTTGAACATGTATGTACCCAAAAAATATTGTCATTATGAAACCATTTATCATGTTTATTCATAATGTTGCTTTTATGCACCTAAATATCACTTCTTATTTGCAGTGATGTTAAAAAAGCCAGATTATTGTTGAAATCTGTCAGAGAAACAAATCCAAAGCATCCACCAGGTGAGCATAATATACATAAATGTATCTGTACATAGTTTTATTAGAAAGTCACTTCATTCTGTACTAATCTATCCAGCACTGGAACATGTTCGCCCAGTGCAAGGCTGCACTCCTAGGCTTCATGGATTTGCTGTTTTGTAGTTTTTTCATATCACCACTATAAGTAATGACATATTGTTATAGTCTCCAACTATTTTGTGGATGGTTTTGGCGGTTGATGTTCAGTGTTAGACATCTGTAACAAATGACAGGTTGTGACAATTTGCATGTTAATGCCATTTTTATGGATGATGGATTAACATCGTAAATTGTGTTTCAGCCAAGATTGCAAATACTGATTGTTAATTGTTTTTCAGCATGGATTGCTTCTGCTAGGTTGGAAGAGGTGACAGGGAAGGTACAGGCCAGTAGGAATCTCATCATGAAAGGATGTGAAGAATGCCCTAAGAGTGAGGATGTCTGGCTAGAGGCAGCAAGACTTATGGTAAGTTACAGTGTTATCATAAAGTAATACCTCTGTATGTAGAACATGTTTGGTAACTCTATAAAAGTGTTCCACTTGAGAGGTGTTCCACTGCAGAGGTAGTCAATTGGTCATGCGAATCTAAAAAGTGTTCCACTTACGGAAGTGTTCCACTTACAGAGGTATTCCACTTTACATGTTTTACTAAAGTCTTTTAGCTGCAGTTCAAACGATTGTGATAGTTGATAGTGATAATACAATAATTTATTAATATAATTTCACCTGAATTGTTTTTAAATATATATTCCAGCCAGGGGACCAGGCTAAAGCTGTGGTAACTCAAGCTGTGAAACAACTTCCTGACTCTGTAAGACTTTGGATAAAGGCTGCTACCATAGAGGTGGAACTGAAGGGAAAGAAAAGGGTCTATCGGAAAGGTAAGATGTTGATCATTTCTAGAGGATTGTGATTTGTAAAGTAGTGGTCTATATTATTGATTGTAGAAAAATAAGACTAGTGTGACTAGTGGTGACATATTGTTATAGTCTTCAACTTTATCATGGAAGGTGTTCAGCGGTGAGCTGTTGGTGTTTGACGGTCGGTGTCTGTAACAAATAGCAGGTGGTGATATTTTGCTTGTTTTTGCCTTGTGTGTCCATTCCAAAACAAAGTTGATTTTCATATGATCTCATGAAGTTTTACAAAATGAAATCATCATTCGCCTGGTTTATCTAAATGAACAACATAATGCTATAACCTGATAACAATATAATTTTAAATATTATGGAACTCAGTCTCTCAACTCTGACCCCATATACTCCAAAGGTAGAAATCACAACAGACTACACTCTCAATAGACTTCAATACAAACCTTAATTTCCTGTAAACTTTGAAGCTTAAAAATGTTGCTGAACTTGCAATAGACTTCAATACAAACCTTATTTCCTTTAAATTTTGAAACTTAAAAAATGTTGCTGAATTGCCGAACCAATATAACAGAATGACAAGTGTAAATAAAAGTAATGATTAAGATGGTTTTACAGTTTTGTCAAATTGCATTGATGGTTGGAAATTGCAGGTTATTTTGGGAATATTTGTGTACTTTAGAATCAGAGATATTATAATAGGCATAGAGTTCCTTCAAGTATATTTAGAAACAGAAATATATATACTGTACAAAACAGAAATATGTTTTCATTTTCCATTGAATCAACAAAAATATACAGTATTATGTTTTTATATGTTACTTTATACAATGATTCAACTTACAATGATAATGAACATCTTTACCAGATGACTTCAATGAATTTATAGACAAGCCAGCTACTTATTTTATTCGAAGCAAGATGTAATGTAAGGAGAGAATATTTTTTGTCATATCATGTTTTTGATGCTTATTTATTCAAACAAGCCATTGTAATCATCACATTCTAAGGTGTGGTGTTCTATTTGTATAAGCTGATATGCACACTCAATACATATATATGTAGATATAATTAATGATCATTTATTATAGAATTTTGGATACAACTTTAAGAAAGAAGTAAGTCCATATGGTTGGTCTATATATAAAGTATATTAGTTGTTCATGTTTATCCCATGATACCATTATTTACTTAGTCATGATTACTGAATATGATTTTGTTAAAACAGTCATGAATATCATGGGATAAAAAGCTTATTTACTGGTCAGGATTGAATATAAGTTTTGTTCCTCTGGACAATATGATATTTTCCACTCTCCCTCCTTTGAGAAATATTATATTGCCCCGAAGAATAAAACCCATACGCAATCCCTCCTAGTAAATAACCTTAGTGTATAACTTAATCAGGGTAGTATCCCATATTGTCAGCCCCAGCATATCTTTGTGACAATTCTGTAAGTTTCCTTGGTGATACAACAAAGTCTTTGACATAAGCTGCATTGGCTACTTCCTGTCGATGAATTTTTAGAGCTGGACCCCAGTCAGGAGTTGGGTTTGTAATAGTTTCTAGACTCTGGAATATATTTTTAGCTTGTATACTCTGAAATATTTTTCATTTATTTTATTATGTTATACCATGCTTTTTCAACCCCTTGTTACTTGCACTTTCATGAGAGAAATGTTGTGGCCTTCATCATTTAAGTAACTGGTGTTTGGCATCTGTAACATTTGTTACACTTTTGTAACAATTTGTAAAAACTTCAAGTAATGTCCCGATTAAATCAACATGGCAACGGAAGGTCAGTGGCAAATATATGTGTGATTTTGTATGGCCCATTAAAGGGTTAAGGAGAGAAGAAATGTAGCAATGAAGCTCTTACCTTTAGCAAAGACTTTCCCTTGAGACACTCCTTGACAAATTGGTAAATAGCTACTAATGGAATAAATACAACTGAAATCATAGCTATGACCCATCCAATTCCAACCACCCAATCAGGATATTGTTCATTGCCGACTACACGGTCTGTTTTGTCAATCGCCTCAGAAATGAATGCAAACTAAAAAGAATGTAACCTTATGATTATGCTATGTTTTGTGAAGAAATACAAAAAAGATAAGTCCAAAAAAGAATCAGTTCAGGAGTGTCCTCATTTATCACTGATAATTTGAAGCAGATCCTTAATTACTGAAAACAATGTCTTTTGTCTATCCCTGCCACCTGTCAAACTTGTTATACTGTCCAGAAAATATCCCAAAGTATGAAACAATGTCTAATACTCTCCCCCTCCCACATCATTCAAGAAGCACGATCCCAATCAAAGACCATTAAAGTTAGGAATAAATATAAAGAGCTTTTGCCTTACCAGTATAACACAAGGTGTAACCACCCACCAGCAGATCATGAAGAGAGGTGCCGCAAAACAGTGCCCCACCATCACATAGATATCTTCTGCAAATCTACTAGCACCTAAAACAGGCATTTGACAAGGAGTGTAAATTAATTCTCATTTCTAATAGCTTGAAATAGAATTATTCAACATGAAAATATAATTTATTTTGAAATTGCTAGCCTATATTGCCTAATCCGTTAGGCAGCATCTTATGTATATTGTATTCATATGCAGTTAAAATAAATATAATGAAATGAAATGAAAAATATGAAGCACCTAAAACAGAATGTTATCCCGTGGGGTCACATTTCTTATGAGACAATAATTTCATTGTTGTTAATGTTGAGACATTGAAATAAATGTCCCTTTTAATTTGCTCATAGTTTTGATACAGATTACTTAATCATGATACATGGTATCAACTATTTATAGGTCAAGTTACCATAGAACCATGCAACTGCGATACTCTCAAAAAATCCACATATCATGAATGCATATGGTACTGCATAGTAGTCCATCAGTCCGAGTACAGGCCCACCACCCTATAGTAACAAATGAATTAAAAAAAGTAATTAACATTTTTTGTGTATGAGAGACCATTGCAGTATAGGTTAGGCAATCCAAGTCATCAACTTTGGTGGTTGCATCGTCTCAACATGGAGTGAAATGCATTGAAACTTGGAAAGTGGAACACCTCTGTTAGTGGAAAACTTTTCAGAATCCCAAGACCAACGACTTAATGTTAAATGAAGTAGAAGACCTCCAAAGTGGAACACATTTTAGAAGTACTAAAGGTGTTCTACTTAAACAGGTTTTACTGTATAATGAAAAAATCACTTTTTATGTCATCAGTTCTGTTATAGTGTCCAACCTTTTTTATGGATGGTGTTTGGTGGCTTGAGTTTGGCAGTTGGCATTTGGCAGTCATGTTTAGTGTTTGTAACAAATAACAGGTGGTGACATTTTGCATATTAATGCCTTGTTGAATACTCTTTTGCTGCTCAGTAAAATAAAGTATGCAGCATCGATCATTGCTCAAACTTACTGGACACGTCAGTGGTATTCCTGCAGCAAATCCAATGATGCAAACCATCACCACTACATACACCTTATATTTATGAAGCCTTGGGAACTCATCAACGATTGCAGTGGCTATTCCTTCTATCACCCCAAACTGTAAATAAATTGAACCTTAAATAGATGAACATCTCCGCTCTAGTCAGATTGAGTGATTAAACAACCTTTGTGCAAGGGTGCATTGACATAACATGGTGACATACATCAGTGGCGTAGCGTCATATACGCATAAAACGCCATAGCGCACTCTCAAAGTTAAGAGAAAAGTGAATTTTTGATATTGAAATGACCCACGTTTAATATTCTGAAGTATTGGCATAACTTTTTATTAATCCAAATTATTTTTACGTAGTCGGAATTTCGTATTTTAAAATGCCCCAGAACGCTTCAAATGCAATCTAATTTTTCAAATTTTCTTGGGAGTAAGAACCCCCCCCCTCAAAGCTTGTTCGCTTCGCTCACTCATGGCGTACACTCATAAAATACCCACGCTACGCCACTGTACACGATGGTATAAAAGTCATTGGTCAATGGTGTGTGTAGGGGTACTTAAACACATTGGTCTTGTTTTTTATTAGAACTTTTTGTTGGTACTATTTAACCTTTATAGAAGTCACTGTGTGAGCATACTACTGAGATAATAAATACTCAAAGTAAAGCTTACCACACTGTCGAATCCAAGAGTTATGACCATAATGAAGAATAGTATGTTCCAAACATGAGGGACAGGCAGATAGTCAAAGGCTTGGGGGTATACAACAAATATCAGTCCAGGGCCTAAAGAAATATATAATGAATATATTATTATAGAAATATATTTGAATAAGAATTAATAATGAAGTTCATATCAATGGTTTAATCAAAAAAGTTTGTCCATTTTTAGTTAACACTGTTATTTTGTCCCTCTCAGTATAAAACAGTTAACCCAATATCAGTTTTATCCCCATCTTTTAACTAAAAAAATGTTGAAATGTTGATATAAAAAAAATTGAAATTGAAGGTTGAAAACAAAATTTTAATAAAGGCAGTAATTTTTGGAGAACAGATTATGAATATGGAAAACTGAAAAGGTGAGCTTAGAAAGGCAGATTCTACCTTCAGACAAAATGCCCAAAATCGCCATTAGCTATACCACCCTTTGAATTTGTATCACTTATGAATTGTAAAATGGTTTAAATGCTGATTGCTGATAAGATCTCAAATGTGACTTCAATGATTTGATGACGTGAAATAAATATAAGCTTCTAATAAGGCAAAAAATGTATATCAAGTTTTTTGAAACAGATTATGATACAAGAAGGGTAGATTAAAAGTAATATTGACCTACCAGCTGTGGCTACATCTTGAACTTCGTTTCCCGTTTTGTGGGCTAGGGTCCCAATGAATGCAAACACAACAAAACCAGCAAAGAAACTAGTTAGGCAATTTCCAATTGATGCGAAAAGAGTATCCCTGTTCATCAATTAGGAATGAAACAAAATTAGGCAATATTTCATGAATTAATATATGCAGAATATCATTTATATATATTTATCAGATCATTTTGAGTGATGTCGTTTTTTGATGTGTTGTTATATACAAGGCAATGAAATGATATCACAAGAAATGATCTGATATTAGGGTCATCCCATGATTGATTTAAAATTGATTGCTTTAAAAAATGCAAAAAATGCAAATTTGTTTATCATATGAATATATTACTGATAGCTGATAACAAATATCAGCTATATGCAGCTGATAAATGATACCACGCAGCATATGAGGCTAATAAACAATTTCTTTGAAAAATATCGCATGGATCTCAATAATATCAGAAATATCTCTTTGTGTTATTGTACAGATAACACAATAATTGTGGGAAAACAATTGATTTTTAGTTCCACTAAAAACTGTCTGGGAGTATCACAAAAATATCACAGGTACTGTCTTGAAAGAATCTGAGGATCTACATCTCAGATTCTCAGTCACAGATTAAAAAAGTCCACAAACTACTCGTATCTAGGATATCCATACACCTTTGAAGTCACTTAGATGTGGATGATCATTGTCTTGATCAATTTGAGATATTGCTCCTCCAAAAATACTTAAACAATTCCCTACTCTTTTTATTAGTATTTTTACCTGACGACATTGTTGTGGAACTTATTATAACTGGAGAGGCCAATAAGAGATGCACCACTCATGCTTAGGGAGAAGAAAATCTGGGATGCAGCGTCTTTCCAAATCTGTGGTTCTTTTAGTTTATCCCAATCAGCAACTTTAATATAATAGTTTATTCCATCTATGTAACCATCTTGTAAGCAAGCTATCACGAGTAGGGCTATGAGCACTGCGTATGGAAATAGTGCGGTGAAATATACAACCTAAGATGAAAAAATGATAAGAAATAAATATTTATCACATGTAGAAAGAAATAAACAACATTCAAAAATACCAAAAAGAGTTGTAACATCATATTCTTATTGTTTTGAATACCCTTTGCATTCATTTGACTTCACTGCTTAAAAGAGAGCTTCGTCTTCTTTCAAACTAAAATAAACCTGTGAACTCACCGCGCCAATCAGTGTTCGTCGGCCAAATTTGACCGACGACCGACGTTCTATATATGGTCATTCCTTCTGACGTCACCGTTGTGCCCGGAATTGACCAATGACATGCGCATATTTAATTAAAGTGCATTTGGCGTATGTTTCTTCAAGCTCGCTGATTGGTGGAAGAAAGGTCAGCGCGTAGGTCAAAAGTGATTTATTACCCAAACTGTCACCGGTACCCGTCGTGGGGGCGGGGCTACTAAACTGTAATATGGTCTCTACTAGGCAGATTGTAGTTTAACTAGACTGCATGCAAGGTATGTTTTGAAATGGATGGTTATTGAAATGTGTCTAGTAAAGTTGATGCCTAATTTTGTATCTGATTCAGCAAATAATTACTGCAAAGGGAGAATTAAGGGATAGAGGACTATAGTTCTACATGTTCATGTGCAAGCTCTCGTGAAAATGTGTAACTTAACCATCCTTTTGTTTTGTTAGCCCACCCTGTATGAATTACCTTGCCACTAGATTTAATCCCTTTTAACATGCTTAAGAATACAAGCATCCATGATGCAAGTAAGCAAAAGATGAGGGGCCATTGGGGGTATCCAATGTTTGTAATATCAGCATTAACTACAGGAAAGCCAGCAAACATATAGCTGAAATATAAATGAAACAGGTGGGTTATGAAAGGAATAGCTGAAATATAAATGAAATAGTTGAATTATGAAAGGAATAGCTGAAATGTGGATGAAAGTCTACATGGAAATGTTTGACCAAATACTCCTTTAAGGAGCTACAGACTTTGGCTTTTTCAATTCCAGTTTTGGGTGGACATTGTCTGGTTTAGCATTAGATGCATATGTCAGATTTTTGAATTGATTTTGCATAAAATATATTAGTTTTATACATTAAACTGTCAGTGTTGTTTTATGCCTTAGTGCTATGATGCCTGCTACAGTACAAGTTATGGGTGTGGTGATTTCCATACATAAGTTTGTTCATCGACTAGATGTTAGATGGGAATTGCTATGCCCTGGTGTTGCTATTGTCAAGATTATGTACAATTTGTAATATCAGATAAAATTCATATTCTTACTTATTAAATTCAGCAGATGAATATGTTGAATTACAACCTGAAAAAGAAAGAGTTCAAATTGTATTTTAAGTCTAGCCATGGATCACTGGCCAACTAAACAATAAATTGCATGAATCCAGAATTGCAGAGCCTTACTCAAATAATATTGTGACCAGATACAAGTTGTTTTTTGAAAAATTGTAAGATGACTTTGGACACACAATATAGGCTTCGTTGAAGTATCATTTTTAATGAGATCTAAAGGAGATCTGCATTTTTAACATTCACTTAAAAACTAAGTTAACATTTTCTTCTAATTAACTTTTTTCAGGTGTCCCCATATTATAAATAGTATTCTGGCCAAACAAAAGCCTCTACTGCCATCTATTTATCCATCTATATAGCAACTTCTCTGTTTGATATATGCAAAGTGAATATCCTCTCTGACAAGCAAGAACTAACTATGAAATTGTAATTTCATTCCTGTGTTCTTACCTTTTGAGTTATATGCATTCTCACATGTTGACCATGGTAATGTAAAAGTGAAGGAATTGACCAAATAGTATATACCCCAGCCAAGCACCATATTGTAATATATCATCAGAAGGAAAGCGGCAATATACCCTGCAAATCCAATTCCTAAAAGGAAATATTTAACTTTTTATGTCACCACCAAAAGTGGTGACATATTGTTATGGTCTCCGTTTTTTTGCGACGGCGGTTGGTGGTTGGCGGTTGGTGGTTGGAGGTTGGCGTCCGGCGTCCAGCGTCTGTAACAATTTCTTACAACTTCCTATAACTTAACAAATACTGTTTAGACTGACTTCAATTTTTTTCTAAATCATCTACATGTTCTCAGAAGTTCAAATCTGACTTTAGATTTGACATTTGACCTTCAATGACCTTCTCAAGGTCAAAAAGGTCTTTTTTCAACTTGCTTCACATTGACTAAATTTTTTACAAAATCATCTACATGTTCTCAGAAATTCAAATCTGACTTTAGATTTGACTTTAGATTTGACATTTGACCTTCAAATCTGACTTTAGATTTGACATTTGACCTTCAATGACCTTCTCAAGGTCAAAAAAGGTCAAAAAGGTCTGTTTTCAACTTGCTTCAAATTGACTAAATTTTTTTTTCAAAATCATCTACGTGTTCTCAGAAATTCAAATCTGACTTTAGATTTGACTTAAGATTTGACATTTGACCTTCAATGACCTTCTCAAAGTCAAAAAAGGTCAAAAAGGTCTTTTTTCAACTTGCTTCAAATTGACTAAATTTTTTTTTTCAAAATCATCTACATGTTCTCAGAAATTCAAATCTGACTTTAGATTTGACATTTGACCTTCAATGACCTTCTCAAAGTCAAAAAAGGTCAAAAAGGTCTTTTTTCAACTTGCTTCAAATTGACTAAATTCTTTTTTCAAAATCATCTACATGTTCTCAGATATTCAAATCTGACTTTAGATTTGACATTTGACCTTCAATGACCTTCTCAATGTCAAAAAGGGTCAAAAAGGTATTTTTTCATCTTGCTTCAAATTGACTAAATTTTTTTTTCAGAATCATCTACATGTTCTCAGAAATTCAAATATGACTTTAGATTTGACATTTGACCTTCAATGACCTTCTCAAGGTCAAAAAAGGTCAAAAAGGTCTTTTTCAACTTGCTTCAAATTGACTAATTTTTTTTTCAAAATCATCTACATGTTCTCAGAAATTCAAATCTGACTTTAGATTTGACATTTGACCTTTAATGACCTTCTCAAGGTCAAAAAGGTCTGTTTTAAACTTGCTTCAAATTGACCAATTTTTTTCAAAATCATCTACATCTTTTCAAAAGTTCAAATTTGACTTTACAAGTTCTCAGAAGTTCAAATCTGACTTTAGATTTGACCTTTGACCTTCAATGACCTTCTCAAGGTCAAAAGGTATTTTCCAACTTGCTTTAAATTGACCAAATTGTTTTAGGTGGTGACATTTTGTCATGTTAATGCCTTGTTAATATATTGAATAGTTTTTAATATAGATTCAGGCTATTTTTCTACTACTTATGGCTGTAACGTTACAAAAAAATATTAATGAAATATTTAATAGATTTTTGAGTATCTCTTTTGTGCTTCCTAAACTCAAACTTCCTTGGGGGAGCTTCAGTTACAAGTGTAGGAAAGTCTATAAATTATTGTTTTCTAATGGCAGTAACTGGATCCATCATGAGAACATTCTGATCACATGGAAAAAATTGAGTTATAGGCTATTGTCATGTTATTTCAACTGTAATATTAGATATGCACATGTAGCATCTTTATTTATAAATTTGATATGGATGTTGAGTGTTGACACAATAGATGGAAATCAAAACTCTGATAGTTTAAGTCACCAGAGCGCATCTACATGTACTGTAACATGTGCTAAAAATCAGCTAGTTCAGATTAAAACTAACTTGTATATGTACTTGATTAAAAAACAGTATACCTCTAAACACAGGCACACAGTTCCAGGCTGCAGGAGACCCTCTACTGCAGAACTGTCCCAGGCCTAACTCTAGGAGGGTGAGGGGGATACCCACCAAAATCATCATTATAACATATGGCACCAGGAATGCACCACCTCCGTTGTTGTACACCAAATAGGGGAACCTCCAAATATTGCCTGACAGATAGTTGATGAGCGAATTAATGTTAAATATTATGTATCATGGGGAGGTGATCAAGAACTGCAATTTTAAGATTTTTGAAAACTGAAAAAGGTCACATTTTCTTGGTTAAATTTTACTTGTTTCAAAGTGAACAAATTTTTGTTGTAATCATTATCTACAAGTTGCAAGGAGTTTACCTTTGGTTGACCTTTAGTAATATTTGAATAATCAATGTTAAGGTGAAGGTCATCGCAAAAACAGTTTTCTTTGTCTCTCAAAGTTTGGAATGACAGGTCAATAAAGTCAATATTTTTGATCATCAATTTTGATTCAGATTCAGGCCAGAAAATGTCCTGATGAGGTCTTTTAAGGTCAAAGATCAATTTTGATCGCTATATGATAGTCTAGTTTTGATTATAACACTTACCAAGACCAACATTCATGCCCAGTACAGCCAGGATGAAATCCATGCAGTTAGACCAGTTGCCTCTGTGTTTATTCTCATCAGTTTCAAATATGACCTCTGTTTCATTATCATCGTGGTACTCATTTGGCATTGAGGGTTGTGTGCTGTATGGTGCCATTTGTGGTGGAGGGGGATAATCCCTGCTCTTTCTGGGGTAGTCATCAATCTCAGAGTCGTCATAATTCTTGGGGTAGTTATTGCTGTTCTCGCCCTCTGTATGTTTATCCCCTCTATCGAACTCTTGCATCTCTGTAACTTCAACTGCAGCCTGTTGTCATCACATACAAGATATAAAGTTGTGTGAACAGCTTTTATTTGGTCATTAAGCCTGCATTTATCACATATTAGAACTATTGGTCACATATTAGTATCAACAGGTTCTTTTTGGCTCATTTTTAGCAGAGAAGACAACTCAATTAATCAATGAATTAGGGAAAGCAGACTCATTTAAAATATATTAAAACTTAATCTTAATTTTATTTAACCCATCATGCTTTCATCAGCCAACGAGGTCAACTGCGTGAGTGAGCATCATTTGGTGCATTCTGACCAATTCAAGAGCAAGAATAGGGGGGAAAGGATCCGTTACCCAATGTACCTGAAGGTGCTCCCAAAGGTTTCATTGAAAATAATATGGAAATAATTACTTTTATCAATTATGAACACATCAAAAATGAAATTAGGTCATCTGGATTAAAACTAAGGTCATTCAGTGCATTTAAGTTTGACTACGCAAATCATTCTAAATATCATTTTAGGGGTATGTTAGTCTTCATTCATGATCATTTTAAGTATGTTGACCATTCCTCAATCGATATATCGAAACATCGTTAAGGTAGAACACAAAGGGTAACATATTGAAAACACATATCATAAAAAAAACTAAAAACTTAATATATATTTTGAAAAAATGAACCTTCATAAATGTGTTCTCAACAATAGTACCATGATCACCTCAGTTGGTATACAGTAGGCATTCAACTAGAGGGTATATTAAAACATCATTAAGGTGGGACAAAAAGGGCAACATACTGAAAACACAAATCATAAAATAGCCCCGAAAAATAACCCTTTAAAATAATATATCATATGATAAAATGAACCGTTTTAAATGTGTTCTGAACAATAGTACCATGATCACCCTTAGCATTACCCTAGCTATTCAACTTAGATACTATGTCAAAACATCATTAAAGATAAGGTATAACACGAAGAGCAACAGTTGAAACTACAAAACCTAAATTCAAGCTAAATTTAGTTGCAACTTTCCGTTGCATTATATTTTCATTTGGCATCGTCAAAGAAATTAAAACAATGATAGATGACATAATGGTCTTAGTTTATTTCATATGAACAATTAACAAGCAATATTTATCTAAACGAAAGACTAACCGAAACATATTTTTTCAATTATCAGGCTCAATGCTTACATATCGCATGTTTTAAGGACAGGGTGCATGTTGGGAAATTTTCTGCATTCCTCAATTGAGTCACATGTTATTTTTCAAACATGAATAACTCCTTCCCCACATTGTCTACATCTTCCAAGTTTGCACAAAGAGTGCACTTCTGTGCCTAGAAAAGCCTTGTGAGAAGGTTTGTTTTGTAAAATGTATAAAAAACGAGAAAATTCAGTGAAAAAAATTTCTGAAAATTTTCTGATTTTTTTCACTGAATTTTCTTGTTTTTTATACACTTTATCAAAACATTCTTCTCACAAGTCTTTTCTAGGCACAGAAGTGCACTCTTTGTGCAAAACTGGAAGATATAGACAATGAAGGGAAGGAGTGATTCTTGTTTGAAAAATAACATGTGACTCAATTGAGGAATGCAGAAAATTTCCCATCATGCACCCTGACCTTAACAGTATACCCCATGAACAGATATTTGAAAAACATATTTTAAGTTACCTGTTATTAATTGCTTGCAAATGAATCATGTTTTCTTTGATCTTGTTATCATTGAAAATTAAATACAAGTCTGTTTAGAGGTTTGAACATCGGATCCCGGGTTTAATGTCTCTGTGGCGTGATATGTTGACGCAATCGTTATTGTAAATGACAGAGTTTGTTGGAAGGTTCAGTCCAGAATGTCTTTCAAAATAAGATTTTCTATTTTGTTAGAAGGTTCTATGAAACCTACCTACCTTAAAGTCTCCGATAAATCGGGCTACGTATACCGCCGTGTTTACATTAGGGGATTAGAAGAGTTTATTTTTTATTTAGGTATGCAAGCTACGTATATCAATATTAGGCCTTCATTCATGTACTCGTGTGCATGTAATTACTAATCAGCATGCCCTTCAATATTATGTAAACCAGGCTATTCAAGTATAATGTACACTTTATGTTCATGTAGAGTATAGATATGGCCGTGAGAGTCGTACATGTAAAATTATTAATATAAAATTAATATAAATAAATATTGAGCCAATTAACACAAAACACAATACCTTGGAAAATAATGGCTAATTCAAGTTAATTAGCTACAAGAGTTTACAATTTGACATAACTGTTAATTAGCTCAATTGGATATATTATAATACCATCTCCAACTCATCTTCTTGGGCGAAAATAAATCTCCAACTGGTGGTGTAAGCTGGGGAAGGAGGTGAGGGAAAAGAATCGAAATGTATAACTTACATTGATGTTAATGGATTTTGTACGCAACTAGGGAGAAAACCCTCCAACTACAATCCTATCGAAATCTCGTCTGAAGTCTCATCTCGTACTCTCGAGATCTGAAGCTTGATGTTTCGTTCAGTGTAACTTACCAGAAACATTTACCTGGGATAACCGGGGAATGGTCTTCTCAGGGCTTGTTCATACCTAAACCTTAACCGACTCTCACATTGCCATAAATGAAATTATTGTCAATAATTTGAATTTATGTTCATGTAGAGTATAGATATGGCCGTGAGAGTCGTACATGTAAAATTATTAATATAAAATTAATATAAATAAATATTGAGCCAATTAACACAAAACACAATACCTTGGAAAATAATGGCTAATTCAAGTTAATTAGCTACAAGAGTTTACAATTTGACATAACTGTTAATTAGCTCAATTGGATATATTATAATACCATCTCCAACTCATCTTCTTGGGCGAAAATAAGGCCATGCGCGATCTCTCGCGAGAGCCCAAAAGAAAAGAAGATTAATTAGAAAGTAGTTAAATCATTTATTGATACACACAAATCAATACATGAATACCAAAATATAAGAACATCATAGAAATGAACTAAAGTAAATCCGCAAATTCTGAAATATGGATGGACAAATTAATGTAATGTAATGTAATATGCTGTCAATCTCAAGTAAGATAAAGGAATTAGAATTGAATGAAAATTTTTGAATTCAGAAAGTGCGGGTTTATCTCAAATAAATTTCTAGTACATCATGAAGAAAAAACAGTAGCTACTTGAAATTTGCATGCTCGACACCTGTCTGAGCCACTTTGGGGTTTACATGAAAATTGAATACTCGACACCTGTCTGAGCAACTTGGGGCTTTAATGAAAATTGCATACTCGACACCAGTCTGAGTTTAAAAATGTCTACCTAATATATATTTTTAATGTAAGTATGTAAGTCATCTCCCAATCTTTTTGATAGTATAGTCATCAGGTCCAAGATTTGTGGCCCATGTAGTTCCGCCTATCTGCAAACTGTGGCATTTATAGAAGGTAGGATCTACCTGACATTGAACAAAGAGTTTGTGAAGAAAATTGTTAAATACAGAAGTCTTCACTGGAGCATCTCTATAAATGAAAAGAAGACCTGATGTTAAAGGACCTGATGTTCAGGTACAACTTCATATGTAATACTGGACAACAAGATGGTAATTGAGAATTAATTGATATCGTAGCAGGAGATGAGCTATGTTTAAAATGTGAAAAAGTAATAATGAAAAGGCTTCATCGGGAGAGAATTTAATACTTTCTAACTGTAAGTTGTGTCCTGCAGAAGTACTTGTCAACTCACTACTTCTTAGTAAGCCAAAAAGGCTGTAGATAACATAGATCTGTACAAGACTTGAGCAAAAGGGTCAAAATCTACATCAGAAGTTTTAGAAATCGTTTGTTCTAACAAAGCTGTGTTGATTGGCAATCTAGTGTCTATGCTAGGATTTTTTTTTTTTTTTTTTTTTTATTTACAAAAACCGGAAACTATTTGAGAGACTACATAAGAAGTAGTGGGATCCTTGAAATTGTTAAATGTGAAAATATGATAGATATGATATACCAGACAGAATTGACTTGAATGAATTAGGGGCATAATTCTTTAAACGAAGATGTGCTGCAAAAAGGCTAGCAGAGGCTGGGGTTAGAGGAAATTCACCTATACCTGTCTGGGAATTGAACTGTACTAATAAATCATATGACTTTCTGGTAGACGGGGCTTGGGCAGCTTGAAGTGCTTCTAAAAAAAATAGAAAGTAACATAAATTGTTTCTAGATAAAGCGTCAGCAGCAGAATTAAGAATACCAGCAATGTGTTCACTTTGAACATGATATTGTTTGAGAGACATTTTAATATATAGGAAGTAAGAGTTGCATGGACGTTTGATTGCTGGTAGAAAAATTATTTCGGTATGTTCACTACTGCTTCATTGTCAGAATGCAGGATAACTGTGTGTCCAGACATAAATTTTGCCTATGTAGGTATAGCAGTAACAATAGGATATAATTCAAGAATATTGAAGTCCAATTCTTTCCATTCTGATGGCCATTCCCCTTTAAACCAAAGATTATTGCAAACGGCTCAATAGCCTATCATAGTAGAAGCATCGGTAAATAGATGCAAATGTTCTCTTGTCTCTTGTTCTTCTGTAAGGAAAAAGGGTTTGCCATTAAAGTGAATTAGAAACTCTTTGCACATTAATAAATCCTGGATAGATGGAGTGTTGATAAGATTTTATAATGTAGCTCCTTCATTTTTTAGATAGATGAAGAAATATTGAAATAAATGATCTACCGAAAGGAATCACACAACAACAGTAGCTAAGGAATCCTATAGCAGATAAAGTTCTATTTTTTTTTTAACTTTCTTTGGTTTTGGCTTAATGGTGAAGGGGTTGATGTTACATAAAGTGTCAATGATTGTTTTGCCATTCCATGGGCAAACGAGCTTCTAATAGTCTTACACAAGAAGCAACCTTTTCCTAAATGTTTTATAATATCGACGGCTTGTTGTACGGTTGCATATTTAACTGTAGAAGTTTCGTCTGGGATAGTATCATTATGGATTGGCCTCTGGGATGTGATAAGTTGTGAATAACACACAATTCA